TATATTTTTTTAAATTTTTTTTTCTAATAATTCTATTACCAAAAATGTTTATTCTCGTCGGTCATCCATTATTCTAGACAACTATTCCCACGGTAAGAAATCTAAATTGATTCCTGTATCATCCTATCTAACTTAACATCAAAAGTCACCTGCTAAATTATCATCGCCTTCGACGCTATTAGTTTAGCTAATTCAAGACTTTTACAAAAAAAAAAGGCTTCAAAAGCTAACAAAGAGCTCTTGAGCTAATCGGGTTAAAGCAGTATGTAGATGACTCCGATTTGCCCGTGTGGTTCAGGCGTCGAGCAGAAAAGTCTCATACATAATAGAGGGCCGTTCGACGCACGGTCGATAACAGGCAGCCAATCCGCTTACTTTTTACACCGCCTACCTATTTTATGCAAAATACATACCTATTGCAATATAAACGGTACGACAATGAAAGCGTACGATGACTGGCCAGTGCTAGCAACAAAACAGTTACTATGAATTATTTGTTATTACAGATCAATTCAATACGACTTGTGTATCATGCTAGATAATGGCCCAGTTATGTTTCATTTACATGCAGAAATTGCCAAGCTCCGTAGTTGCTGAGATTGGCGAGTCCAACCGATCCGTACAGTGCTATGGCACTATACGTACTGGAGACAGCACCCCCGGGGATTGTTTTGTCCCGCAATATTGTTAAGGTCAACTTCGCTTTAGATGTTATTGTTGACCCACTTAATTGTTCCTTAATCAGTGATACTACCACTATTGCTAACTATGAATGTTGATTAGTTGCGTTGTTCCACCACACACATTTCCTCCAGTTACTCTATTGTCTGGGCAACATAAATTCCATAAATATCGTCGTCACTTATTTCCTAGCCTGCAACAACACCATCGCTAGCCGTGTTGTCGTTTTTTACATCAACATGTTTTACAATTCTCTAAAAAAATACTACTCTATAGAGATGATGATGATGACGATAATAACAATAATGATAGACGTAAGGACATAGATAAATATGTATTTATCTATTTATTTGACATCTATTTAAACACTTCAAGGGAATCAGCATCAAACTAGGTACCCAGCGTATACCCGCACCTGTTTATATGCCTCATAAACGATTTGTATAGTACTCTTGTTAGTTCGACATCCTGAGAAAAAGATGAAGAATATATATAAAGGAGAAATAATTATAATGTGACATTTTTTCGTTATATATCATTACAGTTATGTCGCTAGATTATAATGAATATGCGGAACGTTATATTGTAATCCAGGAAGAACATGAGTTAGTTAGGCAAATAAGTTTACTACATGTCACAATGCTGGGAGGTCCCAGGATAATATATTCATTGACATGAATTTTTTTTCATATCTTCATTTGGGGGCATAAATATAAAGCGATATTATAGGTTAGGTTCGTTGTTAACGCATCGTTCCTTTTCCGCATAACGTTGCTTGCTTGCTTGCTTGCTGTTAGGGAACATGTAGTCAATTCAGAATCGTTATTTTTCGACGTTTACCGTTCCATAATTCTTTTTAATCTTAAATCTACCCGAAACAGCTGTATGTTGCCATTGCCAGTAGGGACCGGCCTATGCCTAGAGCAACGATACAGCTTTGTATACGAAGGAGACCAAACCAGGTCAACGAGTAGGAAGATAGAGACGCCTCCACCCACATCCGTCCGACGTCCCAAAACGGTATTGCGTAACAAAAGCCCGCACATTCAAAATGAAAAGCAGAACTCTTTTTTTTTATATCATTTTCTCATAATGACATAAATGTTGGCCGCCGAGCTCCAACGTCCTATCCACAAATAAGCTGGAGTTTTGAGTTCTTTAGAAAGCATAATTTCAGCTGGTTCTATTCCCCCAAAAGATTGATTTTTCAGTCGCTAACAAGGACGACTATCCCCAAATGGAATTAAACAACCCTATGATTATATCAGGAGCCTTATTGTGTGCAAAACCACCCCAGATAGTAATAATAATAACAAGTAAATTATCAATCCAACAAAGAAGACAAATGATCGTCTGTGCAGCTGCACTCACTCTTCTTTCCAATCAGAGTAATCAAACACCAACAACAAAGCCAACAAGCCATTACACAACTCCATAGCAATCTTACATAAATATATATATATATATATATATATATATAAGGTAGATAAAAAAGAAAGTTTCATAGACACATACAAAAACCCGTACACAACACAATCAAACACATGATGCATACATGATGTCGATATATGTCTATTTGCAGACTGACCCAGTGGTTTTAATCTAAAAATTCAGTGATGAATTCGTCTCATTCAACCGCTGGCCTAGATGAAGTTTTCAGGCGAGGCAGCTGTTAGTGCTGAAACCCATGAAAAGACTTACGCAAATATGAGAAAGAAACAGCTGGTTTAACTTGAAAGCCGTTCTTGCAACCTACATATACCTTGATATATATATATGGCAGAATATTTGATACGACTCTATTAAACCCAAGTGACGTAAGCTTGTACGAGTGCCGACTGCCGACTGTGGAGTATATGACGGAAAAGACGCATAAAAGGATATATAAGATCGTGCTGTTCGGACTTTGCACTATTTAAAAGACGCTGCGCTTGTGCGAGCGGAACAAAAGCTAAAAGCGTCTAAAAGAAGAGCAAAATATACCGAGACAAAGCCCAAGCGAGACAAAATGAATACGTGAGAAAGCAAATACGAACTTGAGATGAGAAACTGCTGTGAAAGTTAAAATAATATTACGAGAAATGACTAACAAAACTAGATGAGGCCAAGACTGGTCGACTCACAAATAATCACCCAATCGATGATGTCCAACGGGCCGCCTGGACACAGGATCTCCAAGACACAAATGCTTACTATATATATGGTTTGAAGGACTTGGACTTTTTTTGGGTTTAGGCGGTTCGCCGTCTGGCGGCATTGTTACTGACGCATACATTCTGCCAGCTAGCCACATCAGTAATATGATGGTTGGCATTGGTCAATATCGGAGGGTGGCACCAACGCTCCACCTATCCACACGCCCCAAAAACGACGTGTCCCGTTAAAACGTTGTATAGAACATGCGGGACTTGATCGATCGCTCGTTGCCACGACTTTGTAGCGTCGCAACATCCATCCGGTCGATAAATAAAAATCGATTTTGAACGTGTTGACGGCACCCTTTCTTGTGCCCTAACAATATTAACCCAGAAAGGATGAACGGGGCCGTTGATTGGGAACCGTCTACCTGAAAAAGGCGAGCGGCGTGTGCCTGGTGATTTGTTAACCCAGCCGGGGCTATGCACTCCCAGTAGCTAATCCTACATTACTACCTAGCAGACTCGTTGATGACAGTTGATAATTTTGACAAATGAATATTTGACTTGCAAGGGTGAGCAGGAGCGACGAGTGAACGGAGCAGAGACCGCCCACGCAACGGAAGGCAAGAGGTTGTGAGTTTCTTAGACTAGTTCTTGTTTGCGGGGACCGCTTGAGGACCGAGGCCCCAATGGGCGACGACGTGTGGCACATCTGACTTTATAAAAAAAAAAAAAAAAACACACACACACACATACGTTGAGGGCGAGTTGACCGAGGGTCAAGTTAGATAAATACCAGGGCAGAGTAAAAGCACCGACAGAAGGGTCGCTGTCAGTGCAAATCTAGGCTCTGACAAGCGCAAATGCGGGCTACTTGACTCCCGCTCCGGGCTGACAATATGAATGTGTATTATTATATATACATCCTAAACGTGGGAGATCTCCTTTTATGTAGACCGCTAAAGCGCACCTTCTCATCGTTTATTTGCCCACCGAACCTGACAACCAACGATGTGATCCTCGAGTTTTGTGCCTCGTACTCGCCAATCTTGTAGCCCAAGTTGCCGCCCAGGGCAGTCGTCCTTTTGTTCATTGTTGACACCTCGGACATTCCGTGCGCTCCGCGTCCCGGTTCGGATACCATTTCCACTAACCATCAAACCGCCACTACCAGCTTAATTATGACAAGTAACATTCCGATTCATGATATGCTCATTAACGAGTCGATTTTAACAAAGGAAAGAGTATGCTTTTATACGTGTCAATGAGCATGTTTAAGCAGCGGCATCTTATATTGCAAACTTTGGCACAAATATGCATCGATCTGGACCAGTGCGGGATACCTCGGCGTAACCCTGTGCCTGCCCGACCGAAGCAGGCGGTTTCTTGCTACAAGTATACTCAGACAAGCAAACATATACACACACACACATACATGGAGAACCACTGTAAAAGGAAACTAGATGACGGCTACACAGAGCAAAGATGATAAGAAGCGTACATCTGCAGCGGTAGTTGACCAGAACTAGACGAGGAAGTAACGGCAAGAAAAAGAGTTCAGAGATATTAATGGCAAATATATAAAGAGATTATTACTACAAATAATGATGACTGACCGACAGAGCTCGCGTACGATACACGGGGCAACCAGCCCCAAGCGTTGCTGGTCTACTTTTGACAAGACAGAATGATTAAATTGTGTGAGCAGAAGACACGACGATAGATACAATGACATGACGATAATGTTGATAACTATGGACAAATTAAGCAAGAGAATATATCGTTAATGTAGAGAATCTATGCCTCTAATATTTAGTTCAACTAAAATGTCGTAAGACGGAGTTAAAAGGAAATTTGAGAGAGGAGAGATAACTGATACCAACAAGAATCTTGAATCAACAAGACCTGCTATGGATCGAACGGGGGGCAAGGCCCGCGTCCATAGACAGTGACTCATATTATGCAGCACTGCGCCTAGTTATTACTCATACGATAGACAAACAAAACAACCAAACAATAACAATGCACAAATAAAAACAAAATAGCAGACACGGTTTTGGCAGACGCTGAACGACGACTGGAGCAGACGATCGTATAACGACGAAATAAACAATGAAACTATGAACATTGATCACGAACAAACAAATTGTAAACACAATAAGCCGAGTTGATATAAGCAGAAAGACGCTGGCCAGCGCAAGTAAAATGAATGAGCGCATAAATGCAAACTAGAGAATAATATTAAGGCGAGCATACATACATAAAGAGATACATTTTGCAGTGATTCACGTTCTTGCAAAGGCCGAAATATGGGATTATATTCATCTTATTGTATTATTATTGCTTTTCGAAATGCTATTTATGACTGCTACTATTACAACCTCTACCACTGTCTACGAATTCGACATATAATAACGTCATTTATTATATAATAAGTTGCAAAACGAACAGAGGCTACGCGCCCAACAGCAGAAAAATTAACACTAAAAACAAATTACAACGACGACAACAACAACAACAACAGTACATAGTGCGATAATAGACTAGCAATATAAACATAACGAGTTCTGCACAAATACACATACATACATACATACATACATACAGACGCACACACAGCAACCTAACGTGTACCGGTAACAATACAGCAAGGAAAGAAAAGAATAATAGATCGTTTATAGTAATATACGGTACTATTATTATAATCACATCTTATGGTAATACTACTTTTAGTACCATAATTATTAGTATTAATAAAACAAAGAGATGGCGAACGCTGGAAGACATACACAGGATACATTTAGAAGAGTATGTACATCAAAAATAGATTTGACAGTAATAACAGAAAAAACCATTGCAATTACAGACACAAAAATGCAAAAGATGCTTCGAGCCGGTACAGCCGCCTGCGAAACAAAAACAAACAAACCGGTCCAGTGGGCCAAGTACGAACGGCTACGGGCCGCCGTCGGCAACTTTGCATTGGCTTACTTCGACGCACGACGGCAGATGTTCGACAAACAATAGAGAAGAGATTAATCGGTTGGCGAGAAATTGACGACCCATATACCTGGACAGTTGAACAAGGAATACAGACTCGAAAACACTTCTACACACCTACATAACCGAAAAGACTGTCAGCGCCAAAAGGCGATAAAATAAAGAGCCCGCCCTGCACAAAACGCAGGCCAGGCGCCACCTCAGATTAGTCGTCGGTATGATACTATAATTGCTTTACCAGCTAACAACAACAACAACAAAAACAACAACAATACCCAAGATGGTCTACGTGGTTTTTGCTTTTTCGCTTTTCTAAAGCATGATAATACTATACAGTTTGTACTGCATATGATTGTAAATAAACCCATGGAAGAAATTTTTTTAACAATGTTTGCCAACAAACAAAATCGGCAAGTATTCTCATTTAACTCTAGATACATTTAAGCATTAATAGTAGGTAAGAAAAAGGTTATTAGCAATGGACGATCGCATGCAATGGACGGTACCTTCCGTGTCGAAAAATGCATGAAATGCCAGGGTAAACCGTTTACGAATAGGGCTGCAAAGAGAACATCCTACTACCGAAAACCAGGGCCATTTTAAAATCGCTGTAAATCATTACTCTACTATTTATTGTATTGTTATATTTAGGAAAGATTTAAGACGTACAAGACTATGCGACAAACAACTTATTTTTGTAATTGTTGAGGATACCCGCGGCCATTTTCCGACCAGTGAACTTCCCAAAGACTCCTCTGTCATAAGGCTTCAGAGACGGCTGACAATGATTTACTGATGTTCAGAAATGTCCGTGGCGCGGTAACCTCACACAAAGATGAAGCCATACAGGGAATTAATGATGTCGCGCGAAAAGACTTCAGGATGTTTCAGGATGAAATCTGACTTCCAGAGAATCGATATAGTTGAAAGTAACAAGGCTTTATATGCTATACTCGCTAGTTCAAACATTGTGAACATAGGCCTTTATGAAGTTTTACTGGAGAATGAAAGGCCGGGCTTTAGATTGTCCAAATATTCTCATATACAAAAATTGAATTTTGTGTGAACAGTGACGACACAGTGGTATCGTATCAACATTAGTGTTTATTCTCGAAATCCAACGCTTTGTATAGCCCCAACAATATTGGGTGAGGCTTCTAAAGTGGTTATTTTTTATTGTTCTACTAACTTTCGAATAGCTATAAAATAAATTACTCAATGACCATATTCTGCTCCATCTTTTCAAATTTTTTTTTTACAAAAAATAGCACCTAATTGCACTTTTAAAAAATGCAAGTAGTCTTATGATCTTCGCCTTCTAGAAGCATGGGTCAAAAAAGGTTTTGTGTCATATAACTTTTGTTCCATGTAGATTTGCCTTTCTTTATCGTCTCAAATTTTTGAATTTTTAAAGGTCTGTGAATTCCATTTATCGTTAGACTACAGTTTTCAAATCATCCGAATTCTAGCTTCATGCTAATAACTAATAAAATGTTTACACGGTCCCGTAAAAAAAAAACGAAAGAATAGTCTGTCAGTTATACTGACAAATCCTAAATTTATACGTTAATGAGAAGGAATTATTCTGGCATTATTTGCTTTTTTTTAGCAAGTGTTTCTCGACAGGGGAACCATTGTTAAAGTAATACGTAGAAATGATTTGAAATACTAAGAAGACCCTTTTTGTTTTCAGAAAAGCCTGTCCTATTTCCAAAGAGGCATTTGCCGTTTCGTAAAAAGCTCCACTTCTACAAAAATGTTAATCACGCCTTTTAAAAGCATATATTTCTCATCTCCATATTTTTAACTATTTTGCATTTATAAAAAAATTGTATGACATTTCTTCAACAAAGATGATCATTCTACTTCGTCGTTCTTAAATCTCAATTTTCTCATGAAGCACAAATAATTCTATGAACAATGTACAAAATCTAGGTCGGTGTGAGAAAGTCTAACTTCACTCAAACGTTTTAAAAGACGGGAAGAGCAACTGATCTGCGTAGTTAATTCTTCTCATAGCTATGAAAAGCTGAGAGCAAATGTTACAAGTATCTCAAATACGACATATCTTTACGAAACTTTTGTAAAGATGCTAAAATTTCAGGCCTACCATAAGACCGTCGCAATTCTTTGCTAGCTCATTTACGTAGTTCTCTGCTAAGTGCTTGCATGCAAAGCTAGAGAATCTTGAGGAAGACAACATATGAATTTGATATCCAGTTTACCGTTATTTTTTTGTGTTTATTAATATTATTACTCTACATAACTATGACAAAATACTACACCAATAAAAATGACAACGCATATCGCAATTAAGGTATATTTATACTGATCTACTTATTCTTTGTCAGTAGAAATTTTATTGTATATGCTCCCTTAGACACTTGCGTACCGACTCGGATGATTTCATTTATCGTCAGCCCGGTGACTAAAGGCCTCCCAGTGAGATGTTCATATGAAAGGCTAAAAAACGTTCTCTTTGAGCGCGCCAAAACATGCCCGCTAATCGAATTTAAGTGAAATTCGATGGTGTTGGATGCCTTCCTGAGGTTCTGTATTATTCTTAATGTTCTTATAGATTTATTTGGTAAGAAATAAATCACAGCTTGCCTGTTGATTGCATGTGAATTTTGTTCTGGAATTCAATTTGCGAACTAGACCTAGACCTTTGTAAATTCTTCGCGGCAAACAGAAGTTAGCAAGTGGATTAGACTATGTGTGATTAAAATACTGGCTGAGTGACGTACCTTCAGGTGTAATCAGTGTGCTCACGATGTCTACGGTGGCAGATCGTCGTCGCCAGAAAGAAAAAGACACACCCAGCTCCACACTGCAACGTGATGAAGTTTCCGCCGTCGAAGAAGACGACGAAGTCTTGAAACTTCAACAACTCGAAGGCAATGGCATAACAGCAGGCGATTTGCAAAAGCTGCGCGATGCCGGACTCCACACGGTGTCGGCAGTAGCATTCGCCGCGAAGAAAATGCTTCTGGCAGTACGTCTAAAATCAAATTCGTAATGACAAAGTTAATCACTCACTTGTACATTTATATATTGCACTTATGTGGGTTGTACACATTCGTTCTGACTGGTAACTATTAGCATGAAAAGCTAGTATTGCTGGAACTGGTAACTCCCAACACATTTATCTCTGACAGTCAACATATCAGGTTGCGGGATGATAAAAAAAGTACACCAAGTACATATGTTCGCTGCGATATATTGAAGCTGTATTGAGTTTGCAGGCTAACACTATAATGGAACTGTGGAAACGCGCAATGTACTTATTTTACATAGGTTTCGAGACTATGTTTCTATTAGAAAGCGTTCACTTTGCGCTAAAATTATAACCGTTTGCCTTCCTCTGTGCGACAGCTAACGGCGTCAGGGATAATAACGCATTCACTGTATTTTAATGTAACATAGCTTGAAAATGTAGATTAGGGAAGACAACCAACGAGCCGGGAACTGCCTAGTAGGGGCAACCGAAGACAGCTACATCTATCAATTCATACATATGCTTTCATAAAATCATAATAATATTCTGTCAAAACTATATTTTCTTCCTCACCTGTGAAATATCTATAAGAAATATTAAATCACTATCGACCTAAAAAACATTCATGTTAGTCAGGAAAAGGCAGATTTTCAATATGCTGAAAGCTATTGTATGAAAATAAATAGCTACGGCACCGTTTACAATTGTAATAATGATATTAAGATCATTTCTTAATAAATAATTAACAAACACATTCCTTTTTGCGACTCCGTATGTACACTGTATAGTTGTTTGTTAGCTAGTTACAAAATGTTTATGCTTATGATACCTGTTTAGCACATTTACTCCATGAAACATACCAGGGCCTTAGCTTCTTTCGTAGTCTAAAAAACATTACGATAACGAGATCCATATTTATTGACCTTCCACAGATTAAGGGTATCAGTGAGGCCAAAGCAGATAAACTCATGATTGAGGCCGCAAAGATGGTCCCAATGGGCTTTACATCGGCTACAGAAATTCATCGACAACGCGCTGAGATAATCTATATAACAACAGGCAAGTAGCCATTCTATATTACAACTAGAGAGTTATTTGATGACTCTCTTTTAAAACGCGCCGATTCTTGGCATGTGTTTCTCAATTGTCGATTAAATTGTTTAGATAAAAAAAAAAAAGGTTAAGTGTACGGCATCCATATTGTTTGCGTGCGTCCAACTGTTGTTAAGGTTCAAGCCAGTTCTCCTTCTTTGAAAAAAAAATTTACGCAAATTTGGCTGTCATTTGCGTTTAATCGATATGTAATACTGCCAAATGCTATTTCTCACATACAGCACGAATATCTAATAAGAGCAAACCATAAAGTTTTGTGTGTGACATTTACCTTTGTTTTGTCATAATTTTCAATGCAGGTAGTAGTGAATTGGATAAGCTTCTTGGTGGCGGCATCGAAACGGGAAGCGTGACCGAGCTTTTTGGCGAATTTCGTACAGGCAAAACACAGTTGTGCCACCAGTTGGCGGTGACCTGCCAGCTGCCGATTGATTCTAATGGAGCCGAAGGGAAGGCTCTGTATATTTACACAGAGGGCGAGTTCCGTCCTGAACGGTTGCTTGCTGTCGCCGAACGATACGGACTTGAGTGTGATAAGGTTCAAATATAAATATAAATTAAATTCTAATAATCTTCGTGTTTCGGAATAAATGTATAACTTACTTTTGAAAAACAGTTTATCTTCTTTGGCAAATATAAGCACATAAAACAAACGTACAATCTCAGCAAAAGGTAATAGATAAATAAAAAAAAAAAAGCGAATGAAAACTGACACAGATTTTTGACTAATTCAAAGCAGGTGCTGGAGCATGTGTCTTGTGCGAAGGCGCATAACACGGATCATCAGACTCAACTGTTATTGCAGGCTGGTGCGCTGATGTCCGAAAGCAGGTATGAATGTTTATTTTGTTATAAGTTATATATTTATAGTGCTCTTTACTCAATATACGAAGAATATTTCCCTTCGAGCGACATTCTCTCAGCATAATGCTTCATTAAAAATCATGTTCCTGAAGATTATTTTTAGCATATTAAACAATTAAATCATTAGTCATGTCGCTTCTGTTGTAGCGTATAGCGAATTTTCAAATTCATAGCGTATAGCAAATTCATAGTTGTAGTAGTACGCATACATTTTATTTTGTTCATGTAAGTTATTTTTCTTTCAATATATTCTCTCATCTATGACTATAATAGGTATGCGCTTCTAATTGTGGATAGTGCAATGGCGCTATATCGAACCGAATATTGTGGCCGAAGTGAGTTAAGTGCTCGTCAGACGCATTTAGCCAAATTCTTAAGAATACTTGGCAGGTTGGCGGATGAGTATGGCGTTGCTGTAGTGATTACGAATCAGGTGATGGCACAGGTTGATGGAGCCAGCCTTTTTCAGGTATGAACAAGATATTTTTACAGATAGGTAAATAGCGACTCAGCGTCGCTTTTAATACATAGGCGACTTTGACGAAAGTTAATATTGGCGTAATAATCGAGCTGAACTCGAATTCGCGTTAGTGGGCTTGCTTTTTTATTTATCCCTAGCAATCTTTAGTAATTAAAGTGTTGGATTGAGAATTATTATTATTACTTTTGTTCATGCATTCTATCTCTTGTAAATCGGATCCTTATCACACCTAAAAGAAAAAGAGCTTGCATTTGATGAGTGGGCTGCAGTAATGAAAAAGTAAAACAACGATACCAGTTAATATACCTTTTGTAATACTTAAAAATAACGTGTTATCTACTGTGGCCACCAGTTAGATAACGCTGTAACACTTCACTCTGCTTTTTGGGGGCAGGATCCTCGGCGTCCAGTAGGCGGCAATATAATGGCTCATGCTTCCACGACACGGCTCTATCTGAAGAAAGGCCGGGGCGAATCTCGGGTGTGTAAGATTTACGACAGTCCTTGCTTGCCAGAAAGTGAGGCAACGTTTGCTATTACCGCACGGGGTATTGAAAACTCTAGGGAAGACTGAAGGTCCAAATCAGACAATTAGAGGCAAAAAACAATGACAATATTTACTGTGTAAGCGAAGAGTTTTAATCAATAGTTAAAATAATCAACTACTACACCATACATGGCTAAGTGATAATGATCAGATTTTTAATGTCTTAGTGAATTATTTAATCGAACAAGCGTCGCAGGCGGATTACAAAGGTATACGTGGTTTGTTTGTTCCTATATTCAATGCGGTATCTATGATTGTAGGATAGGTAAAATCCTCAAAAAAATAATACAGTATATTTTTCAAGCTATAGAATAATATACAGTCAATAGAACGATTATTTGTGTCACATATAATTTTTCTATTTCCTTATCCAAGATGAAAATACAATGCGCTGATAACTGACGAGTCACTTTTTGAAATGATAGATAATTTTATGAAAATATTACACAGTTTGTGTAAATGTCATGTTTGTAAAAATGTTACGAAACTTGATAAATTTGTATTATTTAAAATGTGACACGTAATGGCTTACTCAGAACTGGCCGCAAGAAATGGAAAAAACAAGAGTTAGAGTATTTTAGTTCTACAGTTTTTAATGAGTAATTTTATTGATAAACGTTCGCATGAAATGCTGCATCTGTACCTGAAAACACCTAAATATGTGTGGTTCGGTAAAAAAAATAGTTATGGTGTAAGGCATACAAAACACTGGAGCCCACAGGGATTTCATGAGGTATTAAGTAAAAAAGCATGGGGGTAAAAGTTCTGGGTAGAGTCAGGAAAGATATCCAATGGAGTTCACCGTAGAAGCTGAGACAAAGTACGATTGTGATGCACGGATTCGTAAGAAAAAAACGAAGCTTATAAATCCGAGAAATATCCAGTTGCCTATAGAGAGAATGGTATGAACACAAAAACAACATGTTTCACAATACGACACATATATCTGGAGTTTCTACTAATCTGATAACTAGGGCTCACATGTAGAAGTTAGATTGTAGACTTATTTTATGGATTAAGTGATATGCGCGTTAATTTTCGTTTCTAGCTACTACTTATAATTATTTATTTCAAAACTGCTGAAAATAAAAACCCTCGTTCATATCTCATTGAGGCTTATTTTATCTAGAAACCCTGAAGTTGGCTTTTCTAGCAAATATGTAAGATCCCTAATCTACGATGCTTTTTTAAGTTATCGACGAATTCACGTTAGGAACTACTTATTGCCTAACTACTACTAGTTAATAATTACTGTTACGTAACGAATTTGTTGATAGTGCGTAACGTCAAAACAAGTTCTAACGGTACTTTTTATAATATTTTTCGTTAGACAATTATCTTTCTAACTAAATTTTTTGTACGAAAAAAAATCCTACACAGGCTCATCCGTCTAAGTTATCCTTACAACGGGTGCACAAATACTTTAAGGTATATTATACTACAACCAAGATGACAGGTTTTCTAAAAACTAAACCTAGTGTTTCCCGCCGTTAAATTAACTGCCCTAAAACGGTTGTCTCTGCGTCCTGGAACCACTTACAAGCACACTTAATGATAAAAAAAAAAAAAACTGTATTCAGACTCGCTTTTCCAAATACACCGAGCATTTTCTTTTCGGAGGTTCCCCTGTTCATTCAATAGGTCCTGTCAATTAGTAATAGGCGTCCATTTCCAACATCGAATTGACTGAGATGAGCTGGTGTGGAAGATATTATATACATGTGCTTTATCAAAAGTCATGCTTGTGAACTTGACGGTTTCTTAAATATCAGATGTTTATTTTATTAAATATGGAAATTTCGGTAAAGAGAATATAATGAACGTATGTCACGGGTCTTTTTTAATTGCAGCAAATATTGTTCATGCACTTTCCACGAGTAACCGTTGGAATTCCGAAAATTACAACACTGCTGTTTTGTATGTATTTTTTCAGTGAAGCTAGAAATGTCAGCCAGGCGTTCTTCCCTAGAGTTTCGGTGCACTTTATTCCTTCGTTTACATTTATAATCTCATGATATTATAGAGGACCAAATATAATTTATTACTGTGAATGAAAAAAAAGAAGCAGCGAAAATCAGATGCAAGGTGATCTCTCTCTAGATTTTTTAATTTTAATTACAGTCTAGTATTATGTGGATCTATATTATATGGCAGTCGAATCATCATGATCTCTCAGTGTCGTTCCTGATGACCATAACCAAATTAGTAGGAGCTACAGGTAACATTTTATCTGTATGTACATATCTAATATATTTCAAAATAATAATAGTACATGTTCATATACTGCTGTACTATAATGTAACGAGACTAAAAGAGCCTCATTTGTACTATATCACAGCGAAACAAACATACATAAATATGAAAATAATACACACCAATTGTTGATATTGTTTTAATGTTACCTTACTACATGTAAAGTTGCGAAGTCGTCTTTCGCCAGGACAATTAATTGGAAAATTGTTACTAATTACAGTATAACATATTGAAACGGATTGATTTTGTGTGCGTAAAACGGCCAATAATCGTGCACCGCTACACTGTAGTTCTCATTTCTGAGTCTCACTTATTCTGTTTTGTATAAATGAAAGTTTGTACACTTCTCGATCGAGTCTAGAGGACTGGGCGCAACGATATGGGTAGTTTAGCCGTCAGTCGTAGAACAAGAAAGCTGCGCTGTTGTTTCCCTAATGGCAGCTTTAGACAGCCCTTAAAGTGGCATTAGGATGTTCATATTTAATAATCTTGAGAACAGTTTTGTACGGTCCTAAATTAAACTGTCTAAAAGTCTTCCTACGAGTTGTAAGGTCATTCCAGCTAAATGTACTTACAAATGGACAGCAATGAGCGCTAATATTAAAAAAGTATGTATACATGGTCACCCGTTCTTAATGTGTAACATCCAAGGTGTGATAAATAGCAGAAGTTTATCGAGCATGCATAACGTCAAGATAATAGTGCAAACAGAAATGCTAGCCATTATATTTTAAATTTTACAGCTGTTTTATTTCTTTAAAAGCTCAAAACAAAAGACGCATTTTTTATAACTGCAGATTACTCCTATTAAGTCTATCGTCGGGAAATCCGACAAAACCATTGCCAGCGACGTTAAATCTCGTCAACAAGGTAGATACCGTACTCGTACTTTGCTCAGACGTATACGTTCATCAAACTTCTTCAGTAATTTAGCGCCTCGAATGAGCAATTGCAAACGGCATAGACGTTAGAACCACATATTGTCTGAGTTAAATTCATCCGGCTTCGTCCGCGAAGAATCTTTTAACATGACTTTGTAAGGAAAATTATTAACATGTAAGTTTTTAAAAAAAATGGTCCGATGAAACCTCTTATCTAGGGTCTGCATCATAATGTCATTTTATCTCTATAAAGTGGTCTCTCATAAATGGCTAAAGGGCTTTTACATGCCTATAGATGGTAATTCTGTTTGTTCACTGGCCTATTTAGGTAAAAAACCGCATCAAGTGAGAAAATGATTTCCATACAAAATTACGATCCTATTGCACCTGCTTATCGGTTCATGCAGCAAATTTAAGACACTTCGTATGGTCAACAGGCCTGAGCTGCAGAGTTAATTAAATCTTATTGGGTCGAACATTGACCCAATAAGTGCAGCTTACGCCAACTAACATTGTAGGACAGACACGACTATTGCGATCGAATTTTTCGTGAGAACCTAGGGCGTAGGGCGATATATACAGGCTCAGTTATTATCAAAACGAGACAAAAATTACCTGGAAGGTGCAGTACATCAGTTATGCAGTGCAAGGTATCATCCTAAATATTGGGACCTACGAGAACCAATTTTAAAGAAAACTCGATGGGCTTAGTCCTTTAACTCTAGTCCCTAGTAAAAGGGTATTCCTTGCCAGTTTTTTAAACGGTATTGTGTTTACTTCCGCGACTTACTTATAATGGAAACATTTGTATAAAATCAATACATTATAGATACCCTTATATATTACATATTCGAGACAATTCAGTAACACAGCCATTATAGAACTGTACCAAAACGGTAGACACCACGAGTCATTGTTTATACTACAATCTCTAATGAGCATGAGCTATGCGAAGATTTTGTAATGTAGACCTAATCAATCAGCAAAAAAGCAACAGTTAGTTGCCATAAAAGACACCAAATATAGGATCTTAGCGCTTTAACATGTTGGGTGTACCATCGACTCATAAAGTCGGCGACTGATACTATAAAACATTTAATGGCTTCCAGTTAAGTTTAAATTTCCACCGAGTACTACTCATTTGTGATTTTCGTTTTTATATTTCATTTCTAGTTGCAGTGTTGTTAATCTGACACGATTATTCGCTTACGATGTTAACAGGTAAATTGTGTAAGATAATCTGACTATGAACTGTATTACTATAACAACGGTTTCTGTCATACTTGAGTGATATGTCTGTTCTGCATACAATCGGTTATACATCTAGTTTCAGACAATAGAATTGTTACTATCCACACTTGAAACGCTATTAGAGCAACGTATGATGTATCATATCATAAGCGGATTATATTGGCAGTGATCTACTACATGTGTGATGCTAACTTGAGGGGATTCACTTGTCCTCATTGCAAAACATCATTTTTGAAGATAGAAGGAAGGACCTATAGTATATATCTTATGCTGTTTCATCCGGTCAGGCAAGGTATCGTTATTAATTAGCACAAAATCTGTCATAGAGCTATATTAGTTCTCAGGCTATGCTCATTATAGCATCTATTTCAAAGCTTATATTATGCGTAAAGCATCTTTGACCACTTCTCTGTGGAGCGCGCCGCCGAGCGCGTGACAACGGTTTGCGGTCATTGTTACATTGGACGCGTGGAAATCGTATACCATAAAACCATAAAGATTTGTATGGCTGAAGCGGAGATAAAAAAAACAGCAAACCGGGTTAGTCAACACGACCATCAAAGCTACTCTGGACGGTCAGCAACGAACCGAATTAGCAAGAAATTATTGCCAGTAGTTGATGTATGAAAGTATAAAATCGTGGATGCTTGTACTTATTAATGGAATACTTCAAGGGTCATCCATGTCGTATATAGGGAAATTATCAAGTGTCTGTATACAATGTTGTGAAAACTTTTGATTTAGAGGATAATTCTACACAAGTACAATTTCAGAAGCACAAAACGGTAGGTGACCGAACATCGCTTCATTATTTTGCTATTGTCAACTTGATTATTTATTTGTTGCATCTAGAGAATTTTTTATTCAAAATGCATCTACTTAATAACTATTTGAATTGATAACATCTCTGGATTAAGATACCCAGTAATTTTTTATATCTTGAAGCATTTGCCATACCTTAAAACAAGATAATATATATATATATATATATATATATATATATATATATTATACCTGTATTATCAATAAATTAGAAATGATCATATATAATGAAGGATTACTTTATTGAACATACAAAAAGAGGTGGAACAAAGTAAGAATTTGAAGAAGAATGAAAAGGTGAAACGAAAAAATGCCAAAAGACCAAAAAAAAACTGGGTAGAGCATCAAGCATTCTCAGCAGCATTGTGAACATCACAGTTAATGTGTGTCTGCGCTTATGTCGCTCATATATACAACGTATAGAGCGTATACAACGACCAGAATGGTCTAAATAAGTTAGCGCAAAAAAGAATCTGGGAGAGAGAACAGAAAAGTGATTACTAAAAAAGCAGCGTTAAACCTTCTTGTGTTTTCTCCACTATTTAAAATTATGGCAACAGGAATGGTCAGAACAGCGACTGTGTTCAATAAACGTGTTAGTAAGAGCATTATAATACTGCACATGTTTCATCAGACAATTCCAGACGCGTCTGGAAAAAAAGAGGCTTTCCGCCGATACTTCAGCAGCCATAACGCCCCCGATAAAACTAGTATAAGAACACGAGTATATTGTTAATACTTCAGTTGGTAAGAAATGTTTACGAGTAGAATGGCGTATTAGGTCACATATTGTAGGTCGTTATAAAAAAAAAGAATCTTTCACGGTGATCTCGTCAAGCTTTGGTAATTACTGCTAATGGGTTACGCAGAAGTCAATCGATATTATGCGGCTCCAATGGAGCATATTATGAGAAAAAAAAAGCAGGGATCCATAACATTTGACAGACTTTGCATAAATTAATGTATCTCTGTTTTTCGAGACAACTATGACCCAACACTTGGAAAAAAGTTAAGTACCGATAGCGACCATAATGCCAACAATGACTAGTGAGTAAGCGGTGCCTTTGCTGGATCAGATTTCGAACTAAAGCAGAAGTCTATTTGAATCGATTGTCTTACCACATCATTCTTTCGATATAGTTGAAGTCGGATGTGAGATACCTACCGCCAATTGTACGCCATTCGTATCCTTGGCTATACGTGTTACCCTAACAAATAATTTGCGGATTTTTTGACAATACCTATCAGTGTGTATAACTCTGCCCATATCGAATTTGGTTCCAGACCCATTCTTTGCATTGTCACATGTAAATGGAGTCCACAAGCTCCTACTATAACACGGAAAGAGGACTCGACCACAATAGATTTTACTGATTATGATCGGTATGCCCTCTGTTTCTATGTATTTGATAAAAACAAAATGTTTTTATGGATATAATTAGATATTACTTTAGTGTATTTTTCCTAGGTTACCTGCTTAAACATAAATTGGGCTAAGAACGATCTATCATCATGCTACGACTATTTAATAACCATACTCAGCACTTTTGGGGTTACAGCAATTTTTTCTTCCTTGGAAGCCGCTAGTGGCGCAAACGCTTTGTGCAATCTCGTGTAATCTAGTAAGGTACTGTTGGACTTTAGCTTTGTGCAGCCTAAGTAGTTTACCTGATGGCCTAAGTTGGTTATCCATTGAAAGCTGCTCCCCTCAAAAGAAGTATCTCTATATGTAGGGTGCTTGTTGGCGGCAAACTCAGACGATCGGGAAAGCCACGGCTTAATACGCATCAGCGTCAACTTCTGCCGAAAGAAAGCAACAGCGGAGAATCTACTTTCCGTCTACTGTTGTCGGGTTTCTCCAGTCGAGTTGTCAAACACAGCTGCTTATTGCTACTAGTTCTATGAACCTGTGAAGTGCATCTGTACCACTGAACTAGAATTGAGAGGCAACAATCTCCGCTTCGGTCTTCCTCAGGGCTTTTGCATCTGAAAGTCCATGAACACATATAGATCATTTGTATAGCCTAGAGCAACCTAGGCTTACTTACGTGTTTTAAAACGATTCCAGAAACAACTGTAACTTTAGTTATATATATATACATATATATGGCTGTGTGTATATATATGTATATACCCATACACATATATACCGTCTCGGTGCATGTTCGTCAATCGCCTAGTAATGGGTCACATGGGTGATAACACGGGTTGATGTCCGTCTGAAGTGAACACATGAAGTTCAAGGTTATCTATTCTATTTTGCTACCCTCTTCTCTCAGTAGGGCCCCAGTTGCCATATGAATGCTTTGTCACGTCGCTCGTTACTTCGTGTTGTGCTGTGCCTATGTTACTGCTACTGTCGCAGATGATAATAATATCGGCTAATGGATTCTCCGCGCTAAATAAATTAGATATCATTGTGTATTGCCGTTCTCATTGATTTATAGTTGCGTAGGCAAGTGACATCGATTTTTGAGCGACAGAGAAATCGTCTCGAACCAAACGAAAATCCATCAAGCCGATCACTTCAAAACAACAGTATACTTCAAGGCTACATAATTTTATGGATCGGCCCAGCAAGGCGCTGCGTGTTCTTAGAACCTACTATTTATATATGATGTCTGTATTCTCCTCGAAATCTTGGCGAAAATATGATGTAAAGTTAAATAAAATAGATGTAAGTCGCAGAAAAACGTCCTAATGATAGATATAAGGGATCCGCTTCTAGCCTCTTCTGCGTAACAAAATCATAGAAGCCCAAGGTACTGCCTAACGTACTTCCTAATATCTCACACACGTACCGTAGAAAGTTCGAAAAACGTCTTCTAACAAAACGAGTGAAGTTCAACGAGCGTTTATCATAACCCAACCACTTATTTGTTGTCATGATTATTTTATTGTTTTTATTTTCGTATTATATTTTATGTATATATTTATATATATTTTATTTATATTATATTTGATTGTCAATGGATATTTTATTCTTCTTGTAGTCAACAATAATAATTATATTATTGCTATGGTTATAATTGCTACTTTAAATAATATGCTCCTGGTACAGTATCGAATTTAGGTGTACCTACGCAGTTAGCTGCGAAATAGTAACTGATATGTTTAGCTAGCATTGGCTATTTTTGGATTATATATGAAATTATCCCTCTCTTTCTCAAGTAAGTTATTTCGTCACAGTTGTGGTATTGTTTCCGGATGTCCTTGAACGCTCAGGCCGTTCTCTGTTCTACGTGTGGGACAGACCGGCCCTCTAGTTTGCTCTCCGGCATACTGTGCTTGTCCTGACCTTACCCGAGAACGCCTCTTAGATTTGTTGCCTGCCGCTGCTGCTTTAACCAGCCGTCGTCTGTCTGTGAGCAGACTAAGCAGGCGAAATGGGGAAATAAAAAAAAAAGTGGATTTCAACTACTAGATCGCAACCGTTTGTGACGCTGCGCGATCATCGACGATACGTGGGGACCGTCTGTATAAAAAGGGTCCGAATAAAAATAACAATGCGCACATTCGTCAAATGTAGCCTCTCGCATTTCCCACTGTATCCGCATCTGATTTAAATATCTAATCTTGCTTCCCCATCGGGTGTTCTAGTCGTTAGAACGATCTCAAGTCAGATGAGTTAAGACCCTCCGTCACGCGATAACGAACCGCTATTCATTTCGATTATAGCCCGTTTATAGCGCGTTTTTTCTATCATGCGTGAACTTACAACACGAACGATAAATGGCCACTCAAGTCGACCATTCAAACAGCAAGTAAAAGTAACTTAAACTACACGATTTGAATAACGTTGATGTCGTACGCACCAGACAAATAAAATATATACCATACATACATTATTCTAGAATATGCATGATTTCGATGGGGGAAACAGAGAGCTATCTGACATAGGAATAGATACGATCACGAGGATGGACTGAGTGCACCAGTAAGCGAAATATGAGTTAAGTAAGAAATAGTGTTTATGTTAGCTCAGCGAAGGAGATTAGTATGGTATCATTTTATTAATTGTGGCAGATATCTTTTATCACCCTCGTAAATACGTGCGCGCAGTATACCCACCTGACGCTTTGGTTTCAAAAAGGAAATGCAACCAATCATCAGTTGGCTTGAACCCATCTGCAACAGTTTATCTGGTGTAACAATGAGCTCGTGCACGTACCATATATCTAATAATATAGTAACTGATATATTGGTGTCAATAATCTACTGCATTCTGGCTCTTTTCCTTTAGTTTATGTCGTACGTTCCCTGTCATTTCCCTATAGCTTACACTTCGGGTCATAGAACTTTCCATAAAGCAGAAGCCCGAAAACAGAAAACTTGCCGGATTTTATTTTTGTATGTGTGTGTTTGTTAATGTGCAATACACTATCGCAGTGGTACCCTGTTACTAATTGAATTTTCTGCAGGTTAGCTTCTGGAAAAAGCTAGGATACTACTTTTAATTACGATCGGTTCCTGACACCTAACGCATTCCGCCATACATTATTGCTTTACGATCATCCGTCTAGCTATATATATATGTGCTTTTTATGTATCCTGTATAATATCGGCGATTATCGCAAGTGCCAGTTGCACTTCTCTCCACTCTCCCCTGTGGCCACTGTTTTGGCAAGGGTAAGAGCAAAAATTAGCACGCTCTCCTCCGTTCTAACACGTGACTCTAAGAGAACCTCCCGATTAGCCAAGCGACGTCCAATGGCGAAAGTGGTGGTCGGTCGACGCTACCATCGGGCTGACTACCATCCTAGTAAGCGCGGCAGCAGCGCGTCCTTTGCTGTCTGGATACAGTTGGAAAACGCACTGCTTTGTTCACGCGTTACTATGCGCTTTGCGCTCCGCTGCCACCGGTAGCTATCGCCTGGCCCATAGCAGCCTGCGTCCGCATCTTCCAATATAGCTCGCAGCTCTTGTTCGATCCTCGAACTCCTTTCCCGGTGAACGCACATCTATTCTATTTTGTGCCATTTCGAGTCTTGCATCTCGCATCTCGCTCCAGCATCGTTACAAAGCGGATCCGTTCCGCTGGGATCCTCGACGCTTGCCTTCGACGGGATCGCTGTCTTCAAAGATAGTGACAGCACGGCACAAGGATCACCCCTGAATGAAGAAGACTGGCCGTCCCCAGAAGATAGGACGACTGTGAAGATCGTACTATTGCTGTGACAGAAGATCATCGACAAGCAAGGAGAATCACCGAGAGCCAAAGTAACAGCAGCAACACGGTGGTAATATATGAGGTGGAGATACTATTACCCAGCCTTTGGCATCTGTACAATAGTTTGAAGCGGATCTAATTGCAGTAGACTACTGTGTTCAAGCCTAAACCTAAATCTGTTCGTGCAGAACAAGAGCGACACGCCGGAAATGTAATTAGGAACAAGGAAAACTAATAACAAACAACGATAAAAAATCAAATTAGCGGTAAGAAGTGCAACCAGCCCAATCCTGTTTGCTCTGTACATTTCCTTACCGGTGACCGGAATTTTTTCATTTGAGAAGTGCATAAATGGGATTGTTTTCACAGCTTGACAGGCTCTAGGAAACGTCTGTTGCCGAATTTTGGAGGAAAAACAGGTGCAAAGAAATACAGAAGTTCGCCAAGAAGAAAGTTAATACGCGGGTGGCAGGAACGCGAAGGTATCGAATCTTTTGTTTTCCTTACCCCTTTAATCTATCTTATTTTTATCATGTACATCTACATGGATTGGCCAACGAGCTAGCCAGAGCGCGTAACACCGTAAATGTAACTGATCGTTGATCTTTTTTCAATTACGACGCACATCGATTTGCTTCTGCCGCCTCTAGCGTGTTACCTTCCGTAACCTTTTTCATCGTACGCTTCTTTTATGCCTTTGGTCGAGTGCGATTTCTTTTTCTGTTTCCTTCGGTACGGTGTCTCACGAGATCTCTCTGACAGAATCCAAGACACATCAAACCGTTAGTGTCAAACCCGTTTTCCAGTCTTGCGTCATTGACGTTACACGAAACAAAGATCAGTAGCAGCGGGAATAGGGAATGGCTCATAGAAAAAGGAATATCTGCTTTTACTTAGTTGTTCGTTCTTGATACCTTTATGTGGTATGGGACCTAAACAACGTTTAAAAAGCCTACCATAAAACTCATAACCATAAACAGCGTTGAGGAGCTACCAGCCCGTTCCGAGTGGGCGGAAAAAAATAAGTTGGTAAATGTTCGATAGATGCGTAACAGTGAACGGATACCTTAACTGAAAGAAAATTTTGTTCAGGATGCAACGATTTGTGATTTTTATAAGTCCTACTGTTTTTGTACCTACGGATATAGTGTACAGTGCCGCTGAGCTCAGTTCCGTGTAGAGAACATGTGAAAATGTATAACACTGAATCATAATTGAATGCGTAAGCTGTGTCAACGGATCGATGAGTTGGACACATATCAACCGGTACAATGCACGTAAATATTGTCACTGTTATCCAACAGACTACAAAGTAATTTAGGCGGGTCCATAACGAAGAGACACCGGTACAGTTACCACACGTTTGGCAAGCGGCTGCCGTAAGATCTAGAGGAGACGAGGGAATTCTACGATTCCGTAGTGCGGCTGTAAAGCTTCGATTACCTAGGATCGTATTGCTTGCTGATCATACCTATAAAAGCTCGAAAAAAGCCAAAATGCATCTTACGCGACTCAGTCCGGAACCGCTCTTCAAAGAGATCACCGTGGTAAGCAAATATTATATTATATAATTGCAATGTTTGAACATTTTATTGTAAAAAAAACCGTTTACTTGATGAAAGTGATTGATTCATACTTCGTCCGCAAGGTCCGAAGAGATTACGCGTCCCGATGATCGAATCCAGCAGGCCCAAGTATTAACCCGTATTCATTTAGCCTGCTGTTGTATTACTAGATGCGCTTACTTAATTGAATCAGTGTTCTAATTTGCCCATAGAAATCCGCATTTGCAAGAATTAAACCAGAGTATTTATACACGATTTAGTAGTCTCGTAGATAAAAACAACGTGTGTAGGTGTTGGTACAATTTAACTGTACTATTAGGACCACCGATTTATTCTGATAGAGCTTTTCAATACAGCAAGAGGAGCATAATGTAATGAGCGGAAAGGCCTCGTTGGGCATGTAAACTTAATGTGACATAAAAGTAGATAATTTTTGCACATGTTGATTATGAAGTTGGTCAAATCTCTCTTGTTTATTTGAAATGAAATACAAAAAATAGGCGATGACTTCATTCAAATATTCGAGCTTTTGTATGTTGCTTGGTTTGACAAGGTGAAGAATTATTAAGAACGAGTATTACTAGCTTTGAAAGAAAAACAGCAATACCTGAGTTGTTCACTCGGGTGCCTCCGGCCTAGTAAACGTGGAAAAATCGAAAGGCCCTAAATCTATTTCTACTAGCTGCTTGAAAAGCCTCGCAATCCTCTTTCGCTTAAGAATATGTTGAAAAAAACACGTCACCTTTAGAAATATGGACACTACTTTTTGCGTGCTTGCGAAGTCATTATCGACTGTCCAAAATGTAACGCAGTCAGGATACTATATAAACAGGCAAAGCTTTGCCAGAAGTTAGAATCACGAGACAATCCAGTAATTTTTTGACAGCGTTATCTGACCAGCATTCATGACTCCCAGTGATTTTACTTTTCTACTTGCATGAACTTCAAAAAAAAAATAACAGAAAATGCACCTTTTTTTTCAAAGTTAAGTAGTAGAAGTTCGTATGCTATACTTCGAAAGTCGCTTTTTAACTATGGACTATTGCACGAAAGCATAATACCTGTCTCAGTGGCCCTACAGGTCTAGGTTAACTGCTGGGTACAGACAGCAGGACGCTTAGTCGCACACACGTTGCCGGCGATACGCCGGCCAATAGCTAAAAGCAAAATTCATCTTCGATCTGTGTCGAGTATAAACTACCATATTGGAAACCGTTTGATCTTTTTGCACCTGTAAAATCTATTCTAACCTAATTCAAAAATGATTGAGTGTTAATTCTCGGGCGATCAGCTTTTTTACTGCGATGCTCCCTATTTGTGACGTGGCCTTTCGGCCAAAAAGTGTAGTTAAGGTAGCGTGTATTGATCTCGGTCATCCTGTTCGTATTAGGGAGAATGAAGGACTGACAGGTCCGGCCATACGCGCACTTAATACATTTGTTAATAGAACTTGGGTAAGACAGAGTACGGAACGCTTGCAGCGCCCCACCTGTAAGTTTATCTAAAATACCGTTTAAGAACAGCCAGAAACGCGTCTGATATAAGTATCGAACTAGACCTCGAATTAACTTCTGAAGTCAACAAAAAGTGTAGTAGAAACCCGAGAATCTAATATATATGTAACTATAAATAGAACTAAAATTAACAAAATGCGTACCAACCGCAGCACAGCAGCGACAATAAATTTGGAAGATTCGTTTTTGCCAAGCTTATATTGCGAAAATATATGTTGATCCTCTCTAGAAATGGACGGTGATTATTGATGCCTTACAATAGTTTTATTTTTTTAAATTAAAAGTTCGTTTTTAGTATTTACATAATATTAAATTGCTCCAGGCATCCGTTCGGATCATTTTGTTGTTAGAATAGTGCTACATACCCGAGTTCGGTCGTTATCGCTTGTTTAATTACACGTTCATTTTAAAAATTTTCCTTTGACCCACCCTTGGCAACCAGCATGTAGGGACTTCGGGCTCTGGAGACGCTTAGGACACCGCTACAAGAACCAGGAGGTGCGCGCTTTGCCTCGTAGCTGTGCATCTTCCACCAAATATATCCCTCTAGATGCGCGCTTATTGAAGAGCGTCAACATGCATTTTACATTTCGGAAATGCCCTTGCAAAATCTATTAGCCTATCATACATACTTCTTCTATAATGCTACATTGTACGACTATATGTAGAAGTAGATGTTATATCGGTCAACGACATTTGTTTCAGAAAGGAAAGGCACGCTCTAGACAGACAAAGGCAGACCAGTGTCCCTGCTTAAAGGGAACGAAAAATAAGAACGAAACAGCCACTTCTATTCCATCTTGCGAGATAGATACGCATTCAATTAGCAAAAAAATATACAAGGCATCTTTGTTGTTTTTCCCGTTTATCCTCTTTATGTGTGTCGTTCCATTTTGCCATCCAAATCCCAAAATTCTTCTAAATATACCTATGGGACATCACGACCGATTCTGCGTTAGTTCTATGTGTTCTCATTGATCAGACAATCGTAATAATCATAATAACAGTAATATCACGCAAGTAATAGTGGTGCTATCATATGCAAAGATCTAACATTTCGAGTAATGCGACTTCGAAACATCTCGGCAAAGACGCTTGCCAAAGTCAGCGACGGAAGGGCGGAAGACGGGCAATCGAAGAACAAGCAGAACAGTAACGTGATTACGAACTGAGTCCTTGACTGCGCCTTGAAATAATACCTTGCCATTGGTTAAGATCTATCTATTGGCTGTTACAACTTTCGCCTCCGCGGTAAACAATTCGAACGAATACTGTTGAGCAGTGACAAAAAATTGTTTCAAGGCCTATCGTTCGATTTGTTCAACTTATATCTCATACCGTTGACGGCGGCGTAGCTTCCGTTGGTGTCGCGGCTGTTACGTTCAGCGGACGGCTGCATGAAGGCTTGCAAGTGGATCTGCTGCTGCTACAGCCATTGTTGCAGTTAAAAATACTTCGACCGCGTGTCGTAGACAAGAGATGCATGACAGAAAGGATAACGAGAACGAGAGAGAGAAATAGTGTAATCCCGCTAAGGGCTATTTTTCGCGGTGAAGATTGTAGAGGTGATGCTGTTGATCCTGATTGGGCTTGCTTGCATGCTGCCGATAGACGAGATAACACAGTACAATGCAGAGTTAAAATTACGTGTCATGAAACCTACGTCATCTAGCTCCCAGAATATCACAATCCACCATCGATAGAGCCCGTTCGTTCTAAGAGGAAGAGAAAATACGAAGAGGAGAGAGGCGACAGATATCTGTAAACACAAAACTGTTAGGCGATGCGATGTAATATAGCTTTGCTTCTGTTTGTGACGTTTGTTGTAACGTTTGTGTAGCATTAGGAATAAACTACCGGTAGAAAATAAAAGCAAATGCATTTTTTCGTTTTTGTAATTATTTTCTGTTTAATCATACAAACTCGGAAACGTCTCACTTGACGCAATGTAGATAACCTTGGCATTGCGCTTCTCGATATAGCTACAAATAATAATACAGTGGTAATAAAATATAGGTATTTTATATACTTATATTTTTCGGTATGGGCCGTACTTTATTAGGGTTGTTGTTCTGAATAGTGTGATCAATTTGTTCGCATACTATATTGAATTGAACTCTTAACTAGACTTACGAGAAAGGCTACATGTTAATGTAGCTAATCAATGGCTGGTAACACACGAGGAAAGTCAACTAGGTGCATCTAAATAACGTGAGCTTGGAGCCTTCTCTGCATACATATGTAGGTGCTATTAGATGTTTTGATTCGCTATTAGCAACTATATGGTAAATTGACAATGACAGAAACATATGCTTGACAAAATGTTAGCAGTCAGGAAAAGACAATGGCTCATCGATGAGATAAGCTATAGTGCGACGCGGGAATCACATCTAATAATCACTGTAGCAGACGTCCGTCTATTGACGACTACAAAACGAGGAGAGGGTGAGAGGAATGAGCCCATAGCAAAAGCCCAACGATATTCTATTACTGCCGATTGTTATATATGTGTACCTTCTACATTTGCGGATTTTAACTTCATGTCTGTTTTCAGATCAGTAAACGTTTACGTAGTAGTGACTCGAGGCCTTTGTTTCCAATACAGACAGAATTCAATTCAGAAATCCGTCACAATGGTCATAAAGAAAAAGGGAAAACATCGAACAAGTGCTGCCAGTAGCGTTTATTCTCGATGTCCTGCTGTCAGACCGGATCTATTTGACAGATGCGTTTTCAAATCCCAATCCATATAATGAGAACAAACTTCAGCCAGGACCACAGGTCGCTTTTTATCTATCGTACTTGCACACCTACTTGTAACGACAGAGCGTTTTCGCGCTTATGCTACGCCAAAAAGATCAATGGAATAATACAATTAAAGCAATTAAAATACATCGAAAGCACAATAGCAGCTCCTAACATTTTTTCTGTCCAGTACTCCGGAATGCATAATAGAATAAGATTCTTATCGTTACCTGTACGAAAACATTCGTGAAATCCATTGACCGACAGTTCAGAGTCTGAATAGAAAAGCACCTGTGCTTGAAACATTGAGCAAACCATTCGAAGCCAGTTGCTCAATAGGAAGATACGCTTATTTTGCCACAGATGATAATAATAATAATAATAATACATCTTAATGATCGGACAGCAAAAGGTTACCTTTATAAAGGTAAGGTAAAAAAGGCGCACAGGATTTCTTAACGGTAGAAAAGGACAAATCGAAATTTTGTTAGCTGTTCACAAGGTCCCAGGAAAAGAGCTAGCGATTATAACTTCGACTCTGTCCTACAGGAAAAGCTGACTTTACGATAGAACAGGTAATAGTAGCTGGCTACACTAGGACTTCTTTCGAATCTTACGAGTTGCCTGGAGAGGCTTGTGTACTGGTATAGCACCAAAACGCACGAATCACTATTTTTAAAAATGTCCTACGCGATTTTTCATGAATTCGAAACAGAAGCGTGTAATGTATGCCCGCGACATTTATATGGTCCAACGCATTGCTCGTGATCAGATATTGCTGATAGATCTCGACCCAGAACCTTATGCGGACTATGTTGAAGCTAAGACGGTTTTCAATTATTTATTATATTGTTTCGAAGCAAAATAATACCCGTGAGTAATCAGAAGTCATAACGCCATAATGTCGTGCCAAAAGGCTTAAACAACTGGAAGACATCGCTGTTTGTGAAACAGCTGAGGTCGAGTAGACGTTAGAGTATATATATGTACGGACGGAAATCTGTGCGCAAATTTTACAAAGGCTACTAAACATGAGTCTGCAAGAGAAATGTTGGCTTAGATTATTATGTTGTACTGCCTATGGTTTACAAAAAAATATGATAATTTTCACAAGTTCAGTTTACCAATAAGTATATCTTATACATACTTAGTATATAAGCGATGAAAAATTGTACCCTTTTCAAATGAGAACAGCGACATCCATACGATAGAATTACGTATGTATTGTTTCAATTCTTCGAATATAAATGGCTGTATGAGACTTTTGCACCAAATTCGGAAACAATGTTTTTGTAGGTTAACTGAAGAAAAAACAAAAATATATATACTTTCCTTATTTATTCCGAAAAATATTTATAGATTTCGACTTGCATACTATATGGATGCTTTCTGTTTGTTTTAAAGGTGTGTTAAAATACGTTTAGCTTTCGTTCTATATATGTAAATCTATCAATCGAGACTGCGCGATTTTATCGAATTGTTCAGTGCTTCGATAAATAAGTGTACTTGTCGACGGACATTAGTAGGGCCTAAATTGTACATGTTTACCTCTCTATTTATATAAACGTTAACAGATTAAATGTACATACATTTTCAAACTACAGAGGCTTTTTATTCTATTTGGTCGCGGATAACTTGTTGCTACCTCTTCACATTCCTTAGGCACAGTCAGGCTATTTGCAGCAAGGACAATACACATTGTGAAGGAAACTAAATCATGATTATGGAGGGCCTTGGCAATCTATTCTGTTGAATTTCTCTGTTTACTCGAACTGCCTGTTCCAAAAGATTGAGTTAACTATCGACATACATACAACAACAATAAACTGAAGAATTTCTATACGGCTAAGTATACACGTCATATCTCTACCGTAGAGTTTATTTATGATCCTTCTAAAGAAAAACATCGTGTCCTTAGAAGGCGAATTCGAATGAGCCTATCGTACAGAGGCGTCATCGTTTGAGCTGCTTTCATAAATTATTTTGTCTTATTACATGCCAATCTTTTAGCTCGCTGCAATTGGGCTTGGTAAGTTAAAAATCGTTGGTATAATGTAGTTGTTTGTGGTAAAATCATGTTATTGTATCTCATACTTGGGCAATTGACCTGTTTCGCTTAATTACAGCTTCGTACAATTTGCATGATGTTGGGGAGTCTAGGCAAGAAAGGGCCGACGACTACGAAGAGTTTTAGGTGAGTGTTTGGATTATGTTACTTTATTTGATCAGATCCTCACTTTATATATGTCGTATCGCAGGCTTCTGCGTGCCTGAGCGTTACAAGTAATCACCTTGCTATAGCTGGTTACCGAAGCGGCATTATCTAAACGTACGGTCACTTGCGTGCGACAAGTGGCGAACAAATCGACAATGATGAAGACATTTTTTGCCGAATAGAGATATGAAGCGTCCTCATGGTGGAATACCAAAGCTCTAGATATTCGAGCTCGCCGAAGACATACTTCCGAATTCTTGCTGGATACATTGGCAATATTGGAGTACGCACCGAAAAAGCATCTCTTTAAATACGTGTATAGATAAGGCGTGTTGCGCAGTTTATTTGTGCTACATACAAGTTTTCCCTACACACCTTTCTTGTAAAGTATTAGGGTTCTTCATTAGTTCGTATCTCTTTAGAGACTAACGTAGTGTGATCTAAGTTAGTACCATAATATGAATGTTCCTATGTGTAGCGAGCTATTGAAATCTACTGAGCAGATCGGCCATTTTGACGGAGCAGATCAGTCTTACAGGCAGACACGAGTGACAGCTTTAGACACCCGCAGAACTGTGACAAATAAATTACCGTTTGTCTTTCATTGCAGAAGCCGACGGCGAGCTTCAAAGGCAGAAAAGCTACTTGAATCAATAACAATATGCAATTTGGTAAGATATCAAATAGCTGCAAAGTACATTAACAGTACAAACGTGACGACTTTTCCAAAGATGGTCGTTGAATTGCTTTTATATATGCTGTCATTAGTACGGAGGATATACGATAACATTCTTTGTCACTGTATAACATCGTACTTTTGGGGTATCACGTAATTACAACTTTTTATTACGAAAATTACCTACTAGCATTGGATAATTGACATATCGGCGTAATAGACAAATCGGCCTTCTAAGCGAGAAGAGGTTTAATACAGTTAACATCTCCTTTCTGTTTAAAGGACGAAAACAGCGTATCAGTTAGCCTAGCAGGCTCATTTGCCTTGGGCAGGCAAGGTTATAACATTTCGTCAAATGTTCTTCTTCTTTGATTACTTAAATCAACTTATTTTTGTCAATGTTACATTAGCTATCTTCAAATCGCTTGTCAGTTTTTAGATAAAACGATACTCGTAAGCTTCATAATTCCGACTAGAATTTACAGTTAAATTCTTCTTCCTTCTTGTGCTAACGGATAACGACAAGTAATAGCATTGTGAGCCGTCAGTAGGCCCTTATATTTATTAGGTCACATTACAATAATTAAATCTGAATCATGTTGGAACTAGAATTAATGTCCTAATATGAGTTGGATGTCTTTACATATTGGGTATTCAATAGGTTGCTTGTTTTGTACGTTATCGTTTTATAGATAAGTATTATTTATCGAACAAATAATGTCAATGGAAGTTATCGCTAATTTCACGTCATCTGTTCTCGACTCAATTTTGCTTACACAATGTAGTTCCGTTATGCTACATTGAAGGATAAGCTGTTTGCCATGGTGGGTCTGACAGCGGCTCTGTTGGCCGGGGCAGTCACTCCATTGGCTCTTGTCTGTATGTCTTCATTAATCGACCTGTTCGTAATAGATCATCTATATAACAACCGCACACTGTGAGTATCGACATTTTTAAACTGATAATATATACTAACGCTAGAGCTACCAGGGTTATATCGTACAATGACCATTCTGCATGCACTCTATGCTCTTGGAAAGATCTACATTTAGGTTTTGTAATAGTTATACAAACGAACCCAAGCAAGATGTGTGTAGGCCATAGGTTTACTTCCTTATTGGCCAGAGAAGCTTTCGATAACAAGCCAAGTAAAAACATCACTAGCACAGTAAGCAGAAACAAACACTTGCATTCTGTAAAGAGTCCTTTTTTCAGTAATGCGTATGTCGCTTTGTATGACTTGAGCAAAGTTCCCCAACCTAAAAAAAGCGAAAAGCGCCTGATTTCCGATACAAATGTAATATAATCTATATTCTATGACTTACCTAACGAATAGAAAAAAAATACTGCAAGCGGAAATGTACGTGTCGGAACTACTGTATTCTATAAGAATCATCTAAAAGCGTTTTACAAAGTCACGTTTGTCCATCATAGCACACTCTGAGAAATGCCTGAAATATATTATTATTATAGCAATAACGTAACATACCAATATCGAAATGATATCAGAACGCCAAGCGTAATTGTCGATGGGTGCGAAAAAAACGTTTCTCGCTTTGTCAATAGAACGAACGCTACCGTGAGACGAAAGCAATCAATTGAATACAGGGCGTATAGTTACGGGTTAACGAATTCCTAGCAGTGAGTTGAAGTCAGCGGAAAAACATTTCACGCATATATATATGTATATAATGTAATGGCTGGAAAATTTCGAACTTGGCTAGATTGTTTGCTACTAGTATCAAAGCCGTTTAGCAGGTCGTGCGACGTGACTAATATAAGCAAAATTGCGGTGGTCCTAGAACACCCAATTCTATTACATATATATAGTAGAAGCTATGCTGAATAAAGCCTTTGTGTACGGATCGTTGTAAGCGTGCAAGGAACAAGTCCATTATTAGATACAAACTGATGTCTAGAATCGTACTAATGACAAAATCAATAAAGCGGGATTCTGTCGGATGGAATGACATTGGCAGCCTGATCTAAAAACCCGTTCCGTAGTAGCATAGAATACCATCATTGCGTCCACTACGGAAGCAGTGGAAATACAACTGATTATATACTATGTACATACTGTTTTCGAACACATGTAGAAGATGGTGTAGTCAGACCGATAATTGAAGTGGCATTGCAGGAATAACTTCGAAAAATTTTCTCTGTAGATTAGGCAAATCTATGTTAGAATGCTTAAAAAGAAGGTGAGCGCAGCGTAACCTTCCCTCCAAAACATCTCGAAGTTCCAAGTCAGAACGCAGTTTAATCGATTGACAACAGCGCCATAGCCAGGTTGATATGATGTTATCGTGTTATCTGCGATAGCTAAAATCATCAAACGTATGTATGCGTATGAAATGCCATCTTGGAAAAAACAACTGGAAGCAACTTCCGGGCTCTTTCTGAAACATTTAATATCTCTTTAACTGTAATAACCCTTTCGCTCCGCTTCTTCTTACCTTTAGCTCGTTCAGAATGTCTGAATATGATAAACTAACTAATGCTATATTAGCCGACAACAGCGGCATGAACGGTCAACGTTAAGTAGATGGTAGTAGTACAAGACGCAAGCAACCTTTTAATTAAACGAACATGGATGGTAAATGAAAAGTCAGATTCGACCTCGTGTTATCGCAGGTTAAAAGGTGACGTAATTCTACAAACACCATCGACTATGATGATTTAATGGACGTCTCTATTGGGAGTGAGCAATTTTGGACTCATTCTGTAGCTAGCTTTGCCCCAAAGGGTACATAAAAAGGGAAAAAACGGCCATACGTATAGAATTGTTTATTGTTCTGTAATATTAACATCGATCGTTGTTTAGCCAAGCTATCACTGACCAAATCGTGTTAAGTTGCTAAGTGCTAGTTATTGCATTCTCTATCCTCTATGAAAGGCGCATGATTGGCTCGCTACGTTGAAAGCGGTTACCATGTTAAAGTGTCGTTTTTATAATGGGGAATGCAACTAGACGATACTACAGCTGATCTAACATTCGCTATCAAAAAAATGACGCGCGGCTTTTTTCTCGAACCAGCCAGAGTCTATCTAGACATACTGACCGAAGATTATCTCTACTACTGCCCAGTGTATCTTTAACAGTATGTGGTGGTTATGGGCAGGGGGGCCATCTAAGTTCCGACGGCGATTCAGAATTAAAAGCAGAAATGGGTCGCTGCGTGGGTGCCATATAAAGGTTGAAAAAAGAGTTTGGCGAACTACTTTGAGAGCTTTCCTGAGTCGAATTCGATTGACTACCATTTGGTTGTATAGAAATGCAGATATGATGACCAGGACTGTAACCAAGCGGTCCAATTTAGCTGCGGTCATTGATGCTGAACTTACATTGTTTTGCACTCAATGGCCTCATATAATTTTTATCCCGTGACGTTATTACGGCTGCCAGATAACGAAACACAGCCCCGTGATTGGTTAGTTGAAGCTTTTGTTGTAGACGACTTTGCACTGGGAGAGACACGTCAGTAGTAATAACATTTTGTCATTTAAATTTGAGACTGGGGCGCTCACCATAACGACTACATATTTTCTCATTCTTGTATTGAGTCTTGCATGAGTATGAGCTTTCTTACTATCAAATCTTTGTTATTTCAGACTCAACGATACCCAAGTACCATGGCAAGAGTTGCTTGAAGATTCGCCATTGTAAGTAACAGGTTTGGCCGGCCTGATTCGTGCCATTTCGAAGCACTACTGCAGGTGTACTTTTAAGAAAAATATTATCTTAGTTGAAGTCTGCCTTTATAGACCTACATATTGTGACATAGCAGCCGCGACGAAAAACCAGGCGCGAAGTTCGTGGATAGACATTATTCATCAGTCAAGTTTGCTTAATAATCATTAAGGCACGCTCTCTGCTCACGTAATACAAAAAATGCATCTTATTTTATAACAAAAAAAGTCTTATTTTATAAAAAGTAATTCGAGATCGATTAAATAAAAAAAACAGCAAGTGACGCATTTTACTCGTCTTACAACGAGAAGTTATAGTCATGCTTTCTTCAGTCAAAAATACCGTTTATCTAACTTCAGTTTTTCTCCTTTATTATCTAGTGGTGGACATCTGATAGGAGATTTCTGGGAGAGGTCGATACTTCTTATCTACTGCCTGGTAGGGTAAGTTGAATATTGGAGAATATGAGCCTATCCCTGTAAATACAAGCGTTTGCGAAATCTTTGATCTTTGCAAATGTCAAAAAATTGTAGTTAATATTCCCAAAGTTAGGCACATTCACGCATCGGAAAATCAGAGTAGGAGAATTGTTCAGGCGGTGAATCACGCAAAAGTACTTTCTGAGTGCTCAATGCTTTTCCAGCTAAAAGTGTATGATGGTAAATTTGCGTCACATATACGCAGGTCTCTCTCTATTCGATAATCCCATCGTCTCGTACATAGCAATAGCTGAGCGTGCGTCGATCACGTTGGCGAGTTGACTTTTGTCAAAGTTAAGTTTGGCACTAAAAGCCCTCATTTTTAGTTGGGTATTAGAAACATCTTGTTATTGCCAAAGCTCAAAATTTTGAGCACAGTCGCCCCCATCGGGCATCCCCCTTATAAACGCATGACGTAAAGCATTTGCCTTTTCGTTCATACGATCTGGGACGTTTGCTGTGACGGTTCCTTATTCGCTTAAACTACGATCTGAATTAAAAAAATATATATATATTTGGTTAAATTTAACCTAGGTTTTTGTATTGAGCTTTAATGTGATTGACTTTATAATGTCTATGGTATCTGCCTACCCTGAGATGATAATGTGATAATCTGGCTTACTCTGGAGCTGCCTTATATTCTTAGATAGTTAGATAGACAGTTAAAAGAGGTCTACTAGTTGGTACCTCCTACATAACTAGAGATTTGCTGCGCCATGCTCAAAAACTGAAAAATTTAGATTACAAATCTGAATTGACATTTGTAATGCATTACATTGAAATACAATATATGGGATAAAAAACGAGATACTTCTAAGTGTAGTCATTTTTTTTTCAAATTTGCAGGTGCGTCTTTGGATTGTTCGTCTTTAACGGCCTCTTGGAGGTTCTTCTTAGTCGTGCGGGAGCCAAGCAAGCGTTCCGGATCCGTTTAATATTCATGGAAAGTGTCCTGCATCAAGAGCAGAAATGGATTCAGGCCAACATCGATGACGCCTACGTGCGAGCACGTCTCGAGTCGGTATCTAGGTCGAAAACGACAAAAAAAATACGCTAACAAACAAAAAAAACTACTGAACCAATCTTTATGAGAGTGGTTCGAGTATGAGCAAAGTATTGTTTGCTTTTTGTTGTACCTAACTAGCTTTTATTGGTGTGACTTAGGACCACTGTGACTTTATTTGTTATCGATATATGTAGAATTTGTTGTCATAAATGGAACTCGAGTAATGGCTGGATATAGTTTAGACAAAATATTTTCGAAGAATGTGCAATTTATTGAACTATTTGTACAAACAAGGGTCTGGGAAACGGGCGTATGGGAGCTGACGCGATAATTTATAGTGTCCAAACAAGGCTATCTATAAAAAAAGGCGCGGTTTTAATATAAGTATTTGAAATAAGTTAACTTCAGTATTAGTGTGTGGCTATCGTTTTTTTCACTCAGGGATCTCGACAGCATTGAAGACGGGCTGGGAAGCAAGCTTGGTCTGTTTGTTTCGAACTCCTGTACATTAATTGTCTGCACCCTTACCGCATTCGCCACGAATTGGGCCCTTTTCCTCCTTATGCTCAGTCCGCTACCGGTTGGTATCTAGCGATATGCGTTTACCGCGATAATGGCAAGGAATATTCTTGGGATAGCCACTATTTTTGAACTTAATTTTTAGTTAGCCAATATATTAAGAATAAACCTGTAAATTTCATATTTGGCAGGAAGTTGACTGAATCTGGCTAAGACCATGAGGCCGAAGGGACTATGCTACAGATGTTGTTACGGGCATCGCAGCTTTAACTCGAATTACGATGCATGTGGAATAATACTCGACCCACTGCTCGTCCCGACAACAATTTCCACAATGTTATATTATCTTACTTTGTACCGATTTGGGTTTAAGAGCCCATACTCAGAACACCTAATGCCCAACAATCGTCTGCCTATTTTAATCATCGTCATTTTTCCAGTTCAGTCAGTACCAACACAGATAAAGGTTATGCCATTAATTAAGTAACTTGCTGTTTAGAAGTTAAATAGAAGCCTATTCAAGTGGACATACGACCTATCAGGTTGTCTTATAAATTGTCCCATACATTGTTTTCTTTTCCCAGTAATTGCCTGCTGCTGACAGCCATAAAAAGGGATAGATCGAAACAGTATATATCTCTTCTCTCGTAAGTTTATTATCTGTTGTCGGTCGTTTCGATAAGCTTTCAAAAATAGCTTTCCGATATCTTTTTCTCTAGATTGGTTTAGCTTTTACCTACCGTTTTATAGTTTCGCAGCGGGTTTTATCTTTGATATGTCTTTCATTTAACTAAGTGTCGAAGCTGCCGAAGCACCTGAGAACTGATGAATCTACTTTAGCGATCGGATTCGGAGGAAAGATTCGTAGTGCAAATAAAGCGATGGTAGTAGGCTTACACCCAACACGTAAAGAGCTTGCATTTGAAATACGTGGAACATGGAATCTATATAAACGGATAGAATTATTCGACCAGCTACAAAACCCTAAAACGTCGTCGCAGCACACGACCCCAGTTTAACGTACTCGGACGTTAATTTTTCCCCATACCATTTCAAGGTCGTCCAGGCTGGCGATAGGCGACCTTGTCCTTGAACAATTAGCGTAGTTGAGGTAATGCTATCGGTCTCAAATATGTGCTATGTATTTCTGCAGATATTTTTATTGCTGGTGGTGTTTATCGGCCAGCGTGTTTCCTTGCATCAACGTAAGGAGGGCGATCAGCTTCAGATTGCGGCATTCACCGCTAGCGAAGCGATCCACAACATTCGAGCTGTGGTTGCCTTCGGCGCTGAAGATAAGGAAGTTCTCAAGTGAGGATTGTGATCTTGTAAAATCTACTTTCATTTCAACAAAACATTCATATGCCTAGACCATGTAGCGTCCTTGTCGTGACTCTTACTTTCTTAGCCACGTCCAGTACTACGATTCAACGACATAACGCTGATGAATCGCATCAACATTAGCTTTATTACAGTACGCTTTTGCTATCTTTCACCTTAAGTATGTTCTAGCACCCAAAAAGTGTAACTTACTATATATATATATATATAGTATATAAATTACTTGAATATGTATTATATGATTATAAGTTATTACTACTAGACTAACTGTAACAAACTTTTGCCAATTGCCATCCTATTCTATTCTCGAACGTACTGTCTTCGTCGTAGATTTAGCCGTCGTTTAGATGGCAGTCAACGCCATGCGTACCGCAAGCTGGTGTGGCTGAGTGCATCATCATCCCTCATCTGGTTCTTTTTGTACGCATGCTATGCCTTAGCATTTTGGTACGGTCTAAGCAATCAGCTGCTATCTGATCGAGAAAGATCGATGCTCCCATCACACGTTCTCTGCCCCATCTTTAATCTTGCGCTGGCACTTCTCAGTGCTGCAAAACTGGTATAATTAATTATCTATTCTATGCTAAATGTATTATTGCACATCTATTTCGGAAAACTTAATGTATGCTCTAAACTTTATCTATACGATCATTTACCTAATCTAACTATATTTTAAACAATTTTTACCGATCACAAGAAACACTACTGGAATCTTCCAGTGTACGTTTCTATTGTCTCATTTTTAATCGACAATCAATGATTACTAGCGAAAAATTTCCTCGACAACATTTGCCTCTATAAACAAACTAGATAATTACCTATTAACTCTAGCCAAAAGGTCTTCTGGTAAATAAGATGTGTATGTCAGTAGTGTATAGAAAATGTTTACAACAAGAAATGTGCCATAAAATAGCCTTCTCTGGCTTTTGAAGTTGAATATTTTATCGCCATCGTTATGATTGGACCGTGTTCGTATTACTTTAGTAGACTTGGGCATTCATGTCTTACAATTGATATGACCAAGTTTCTTTTGACAATTTAGGTTAGTTATGGAGGGACGTTTCGAAGGGCGCGCGCGGCAGCCAAAAGGATCTTCAGTATTGCAGACCAAGTTGCGTTCCGGAATGAGTCCGATACAGGCATGTAAACAAGGGCTGCCTTCTGCTACTAGGTCATAGCATGGATTATACCTGATACCCTTATTTGGAAGCTTTGCCTTGAGTGGTGAAGGACATTACGCACATCTCAATGAAAGTTGCAGGAGAAGAAAGAAGTTTCTTTGACAACTCCAATGACAATTTGAACATATATAGATTTGTAGCTTTTAGCCGTACTGACCTTAATGCGCTTTGGGATTTTAGGTGACGTAGGCCTTGAGTGCGCCGGTGAGGTTACATTCGATTCAGTATCTAGTCCTCATTCCGCCACGCCGCTACGCACTGTCTCGTTTACACTGTTCGCTGGTCAACGTCTTTCGCTGTATGACGCGTCCTGGGAAAAGGACCAGCCTCATGCGATCGTAGACATGCTCTTCAGGTTTTCGGACCCTTCTTATGGTTTGCATTACTTGGAAATATTCCTACTTGCTGCTTAGAATTTTCGTGGGAGTTATGATTTGACCAAAACGAGCCTGTAATTGAAATCATGATATGGCATAAGGAAAGCCATATGCCACCATATATTTACTTTTTCTTCAGTTAGCGCTGCTTTTGCGTGTGATAAGACACGCTATCTTCTCCCGACATTTAGTAACGTTATCTACGCTATTAAAAAGCAGGACAGGTGTTCATTGACGGTAAGGATATCCGTTCGTATAACGTTGGCTGGCTAAGGGCTCGAATGGCCGTAGTGCGTTCAAATCCTGTTTTGTTCGCTGCAACTATTGCTGACAATATCCGATATGGAAATCCATTCATTCAACAGAGCGACATCGAGCACGCCGCGATAGCCGCTCAAGCGCACAAATTTATTAATAAGGTAATGATAATAATAATTAAATAGCTCAGCTATGCCTGTAAGTCCTCACGGATAAACTCCTATCTTCAAAATTGCTTTGAAGATTATCAACATTTTATCGTTTGAGTGTTACCACACAAAATACACATTACTTGTGTGCTGTAATTTTTACGAACGTGTAGTAGAAAGCGTACCGAGGCTGTAATAGAATGTCATTTGTGCTGTCGTCTAGCTAAACCTTTGGGTCATCCCAGCCATGCCACTGTTTCTTCACGGTACCAAGGATCTGAGCATAATGAAATTCCCATACTATATATATATACCTAAATAACAAACGGCTTCGAAGCGGCTGTGAATCCGAAACCGCATGATCGTTGCATCAGGCGCAACCTCAGTATATTCGTACATACATGCATCATGTAAATATTTATTTCAAACCTAAGGTATCCATACTTATGTATATATACATATACGTATCTATCGATTTACTACCTGATTCGCAACAGTTACCTAGAAAATACAACACCGTGTTATCGCCGTGCGGAGCTCCACTTTCACTAGGTCAACGACAATTGATATGCGTGGCGCGGGCTATAGCTCGAAACGCCTCGATCTTAGTTCTTGAAAATCCCGGACATAATCTTCGGGGAGATGCTGCCGCAATGGTAATACATGCCATGGAAAATGTAAGTGATTTTACCCTATTAATTTACCTCTAGCCTAGAGAGGGGGTGGAGGAAGCCCGAAACTTTTACCGCTTTGATGTTTCTATTTATTTTAAAAGTTCTTTGCCGCGTTTTCCAAACATAGAAACCTAATAATTATCCCGGAAACAAGTCATCAGCGCACTTCGAGATTCGAAAACAATTTACTGAGTGTTTAGATGCTTAGATATCAGGTAATTTTTTTTCCAGAAATGTAATTAAAGGTTCAAAACATGACACTTGGTTTTAGCGGGCACTTTTAGCATGATAACTGTATAATATTTGTGTTACTACAGAATGAAAACGATAATTTCGCTATCACAAGTCAGTGATTATTGTCTATTACTCGCAGGCAATGGAGGGGCGAACATCGATTCTGATCTCGAATAAAGCCTTCAAGCTGAGAGACCACGAGAGAATTATTGTTCTTGAACAAGGCAAGGTATATATATATAATATAACGTGAACGCCGCGAGAACAAGATCTGTGCAAAAGACCGATAAGTTCATCTATATTAATTCCTATACGTGTGTGTGGCCTGAGTTTAAAAGCGTAAGCTATTTAAAAACCTAAAGTCTATAGATACTTTCCATGCAGGTGGTTGAAGAAGGAAGCTACGCAGAGCTTGTAGCTAATAAAGGAGTTTTCGAACAGCATCTCAAAAAGGAATTACACGAGATGAAGGAGTTGGGCCTTTCGCCACTTGGTGAGGTACTTCCTCCGGCAGGTAGCATTCTCGACCGCCAGGTCTCATCGTTACTTGAACAAGATGCTTCCACTGAACATAATGAAGGATTCAATCAAGAAGCTCACCTTAAAGCAAGCTATAATCATCGTGAGCTTATCTCGCTGCTGAGGGAACATATACCCATGGTAAGTAGTTCTCGTTTTGGCGAGTTGCTTTCGCTTAGCCTGATTATCGCTTCTGCATTCAAGGCCGGCTTCAGTATCAGATTTTTGTTCTGAATAATTGACAGGTATCAGTCGGGTGTATATTCGCAACTCTATCTGGCGTTTCGCTCTCGCTGTATGGCGTCGTTTTCGGAGATATGTTGTCGTCCTTCCTGCTTCTGCATGACAAATCTGCTCTAAAGTCATTTATTCTTACACAGTGCGCACATCTTATTGTCCTTGGAATTTTTACATCAATAGTTGCATTCTTCCACAGCTGGTGAGTAACGATCCGAGACGAAATTTTGAGATGACAGTTACTCCTCATTAATCGTACCTAAATTTGTTTGTGATCCTCATTCGCGTCGTCCTAATGACGTTTTATCTGTATGTTCATTCAGGGCGTTCACCCTTGTCGGCGAGCGCGTTGGCAGTCAGCTATTGAAAACAGCGTATGAGAGCGTCCTGCGTCAGCCGATGGCGTGGTTTGATAATCCCAAAAACGAAGTAACTGACGTTATACGCATCATACTGACTGATGTCGGACAGGTGAAGCTTGTGAGTATCACCAACATGTAACTTCAGTTTATGATCATCGACATCTTAGTGTGGCGAAGTAGTATATGTAACCATAAAGGTTAGCATAAAAAGCTCAAATTTCGTGCAGCTTAAAACCAGCACTCATTGACATTAACACATATGAATAACTGTTTTGTTTCAACAGACATCTAAAAAAAAACACGAGACAATTAAAAATTTTATTACGATCTGTTTACGCGTTCTCAGACAAGGATTCACTGCAAAAATTCCTTGTATTCAGAAAACCTTGAACGTGTTTTGGCAGCGGAACGGAAGGCTGTAATTGCTCCCTTTCTTGGCCGAATAGGACGCTGTATTTCAACTATGATACGATCCAATGATACAGACGGGCTCAATAAGGCAACTTGACAAACGGCGCGATTAAAACAGAATTGCAATAGAAAGATCGGGCGTTCCTGATTATATGTTAATTACATAAAGCTTTCTCTACAAACAGCAAAGCACTAATAACACCTTCAAGCGGCACGAGCATTTGCACTAAAGATCAATTTTTCCTTTACTTGACTATGTTTATCAGTACATAGATGCGACAAGCTTCCTGTAAGGTCGGCCGGTCAATGGATACACGCTATCAGCTGAAATAGAATCTGTTCCTGGCTGTCATGTCAGAACCGTTTATAGTCGCTAACTGTTTTACATTACGGTCGCTTCATAATTCTCTGACGCATCTCTGCTTGTTATGTTTGCCGACTGATTCTTTGTTGGGACAGTTAATTGGGCCTCTGCTGACGCTGCTGTTTCAAGGTACTTCATCACTTGTCTGTTGGCTTGCGCTCGCCTCCTACTTTTACTGGCGACTCGGATTATGCGCGTTGTCGTTTGCGCCGGCGATCCTGTTTGCCGTGTTCTTTGAACATTATGTGCTCGGATCGCGGACACGCAAAGGTAAATGCTTAAATCGTTATTGCGTTGTATAGGCGGTATTCTACGACCTAGTCCTAGTCGTTAGGGTTAAGGTTTACCAAAACCAAACGGTAACAGATTTTACCTCTACGTGTTCAACTCCATGGACGTAACTTGTGATCGTTGCTATAGAGTGTGCGCGGATGCAGTTACCTAATAGGAATGTTCAAGTTGTACTCCCGACACTACCGTTCAGTATTGCTTTAGATGGCTGACCTTCGGCTCCAACAAAGTTTGTGTGTATCGGATACCTCATTGGCCCTACCCAGATGGCGAGTATATAGATAGCGCACTAGCATTTATAACTCTAATGATTTTACCTATTCGGCTCTTAACGACAACAGATCAAGACGACAAAAGTCGCCATTTGGCATTAGATATCATCAGCAAACTGAGTACTATCAAATCACTTCATCAAGAGCAGGTCTTCTGCGCGGCGTACGCAGTGGCCGTAACGGGGACATGGAACAATGGGTAAGTGATTGTGGATCTATATACAGTCGAATCACTTCGAGATATTTAGTGACCGAAATGAGAAAGCTACGTTCTTTTTACGAGTTTGCTCCATATTTGAATTTCGATGTATCACGAATGACTGGTACATGAATATGCATAAAATAATACATATATGAATATATTATGAAAATATATATATATATATATATATATATATACAAAAAAATGAAACATGAAATGACAAACATATATGTTCATGCTTTAACAGACTAACCCACAGCATCCGTAACGGATTTTTGTATGCGGTATCTCAAGCAGTCCCCCTTCTAAGTTACACTGTCATATTCTACATAGCGTGTCATTCTATCAACTTGCAACAGCTTAACGATTTCACAGAGGTATGTTGTTACTCTATGAACTTTCGGGACATCGATCAGGTGACCCGTCAATGCATTTCGCTTATTTCATGATGCTAAGAGGGTAAATGTTTTTACGAGTCTGAAATATCGCTAGTTAGAAGGTATCCAATGAATTGTGTGTCTTTATTCCGCCGTCGATTGTACGCAAGCTGCTTATTCGCTGCTCGGAATAATTACGAAAGATTCTACCGAAATTACATAACAAAGCTCAAGGAAGATATAACGACACGCGTTAAAGGTATAGCGGCGTGGAGCCCAGTAATACGTTTCAGTGACGGCGATATACCGCAGTCTGATAAAAAAAAACATGTAGTAGGAACACATAGCAAGAATAAATGTTAATATGATGAAAAAAAAATTATGCATCTTGTAGTCGTTTAGCTGTAACCAAATCGATCACTTGACAGGTAAATTCTGTTACTTTTTATTCTTACTATCGATAATTCAATTCCTTATTTTATCGCCTTGCCAAATACCCTGAATATAGGCAACAAAGAATACAATTTAAATGTTTTTTCTTTTAAATAAAAAAGGAAGGCTATAAATAGAATAACTAAATATCATTCTCGCTAGTATTTCTCTATCGCTTACGCTGGCACAAATCGCAGGTATTCAAACTCACCGAAAGCATTATCTTTGGAGTATTGTTACTCGCGCAGTCGTTGGCCGTATTTGCTCCGAATTTTTCGCAGGCGCGCCATGGCGCCGCATTTGTACTCGCGCTAAAGAAGGGACTAAGGAATCTGTACGGAACCGACCGAAAATTCATCGACGATAGTAAAGTAAATTGAATGACTTTGGCTTGAAAACTCGTTAGGTTTTTGACAAGAATAAGATAATACAATGTTCTATTAAGCTTACTCTGATCATACAACGCGTGCCTGGTTGCTCGGGTTAGTTCTACTGTATAATCTCACGTGCATACGTACACTAAACAGAACATTGGTGTACGTACAGGATGTATTATAATCGAAATTTACTGTATGATAATTCATTTTTTTGTTATAGGAGGTGTGCGATGGCGTCGTTTCATTTCGTTCTGTGGACTTTCGTTATTCATCGTGCACGTACATCTTTACTCAGGATCAGATGATTCTTCGAGGAGTGTCTTTCGAAGCAGCTCCTGGACAGATCATTGCCCTGGCCGGAGAGCCTGGCAGTGGCAAACGGGCATGTCTTGAACTTCTTCAGCTCTTCGATAAACCAACGGGGGGAGAAATCGTAGGTTTTTCCGTAAGCAGCTATTGCAAAAAGAACTGACACGAAAAGAGCATCGAAAGAGGGGATCTGGATGTATCAGTAGCAGGAAACATCAGGTCGTGTTTTAAACTATGGGCCACCCTATACCGTTAAGAAAGAGAAAAAAAATTGAAAGTTATAGTATTATAAGTCGCGATCGCATATGCAATAAAAAAAGCTTTGCTCAATGTGAATTCTCATATGTAATGATGCGCTTACTCAAGGCAACGTGTTGATTTAATTGAAGACTATTAAAAGTATTCATTAATGGCGCAGTCTATGACAATGAAGTTAAAAGGAACGTAAATATTACAGATTAAATACGTCATTATATATATATATATATACGTACATCATGTACTAGAACACTTCAAATGCTATAGGGAAGAGAAGGGTACAAAAAAACGAGCGCACATGTATTTGTTATTTAGTGAGTTATTAGTTATTCTATGAATTATTATGTTTTGGACACCGATCGCAGTTACTGGATAAAAAGCCTATACGGAGCCTGGATGTCTCATGGGTCAGACAGCAAATGGGCATAGTAAATCTGGAGCCGCACTTTTTTCTCGACACGATCTGGGCTAACGTTGCTTATGGCCAGAGTAGAAGCCATGTCACGAATCAAATGGTACGCTAAATTTCATACTTGAATAACGCTCTAGACGTTATCTTAGTTGTATGTTAGCTGGACACAGTTAGCGAAACTATAAACGAGCGATAAGTATGACTATTACTGGCCAAATAAGAACAGTATAGTTTTTTTTTATGTTTACCCGTTGATGTCATAGGTCATGCGTTTTTAAATCATCCTCTATTACTCTAATTGCGCCTCAGCACATTTTTTTCTATCCGGGCGAATGGTTTGCCTGGGTTACGTCCAGGACCCAAATCTACTTTTTTTTATGAAGCAAGAACTTTTTACGCATGCGTCGACATAAAGGAGAAAAGAATAGCAGTTTATCTAGCTCTATACTATATGTATTTGTACATAGACTGAGGAACACATTTGACTGACGTCTTAACACAGTAACAATGATAAGTGGCTATTATTGAGCAGGTAGTCACGGCCTGTCAACGCAGTCGGGTCCACGATTTCATTATTAAGCTTCCCCAAGGCTATCAAACTCTATTGGACTCATCCGGAACTCAAGGGCAGGCTATTGGCCCCACACAAAAGGTGACCATCACACAACACGTATAGTGGGCGGCGTGCATGTTGACTGAAACGTTAAAATACGCTACAAATGCTTTGTAAATAACTGAGCAACGAATTGTGAATCTAAGAAATAATACGATCCAACGAGCAACTCTCAAAGTATGTCAGGAAAAGGGGCTGATGCTGGAGAATCGATTTAGGTTGAGTAGAACTGAACACTTAGAGGTTTTCGTTGCCAATAGCGGCCTAATAAAAGCGAGTCTTTCCATTTTAGGTTCTACTATCTATTGCGAGAGCCGTGCTTCGTGAACCGAAAATTTTGCTGGTTGATCAGTCTGGCTGGAGCGACTTGCCCGAGGATGAGATTAGGGTACGCAACAAATCGACGCTCGAAATTTAATCTTAAGCTCCTAAATAATTATCGGAATATCAGCATCGATAACCCACACGTACCTATGCGTTTTTCTATAGATTCATAGACATGAACACTTTTTAATACATAATTGAATGGGCAAATATTGAGTGCTAAGTAACTAGTATCAGATCAAAGTAAAGCCTTGTAAGTAGAGGACTTGTGAATAAAATCATAATATTTTATAAAAGTGCGATCACCTGTCAGCCATTACCACACGTTTTATGAATTCAAAGCGCTTGGAGCGAACATAGCTTCACTCTTTTAACCAGTAGTTGTGAGGCATTCTGCTTTATGTATATGCTGACTAGCTCGAACAATATACGGCAGAATAAACATACTACTATAGGCATAAAGGGTTTATCTTCTTTAAAAAACATTTACAGAAGCAGCGGTGGATCCTTTTCGGCATTGCTCGGCGTTAACTTCAAGGTTGCGAGTATTGATAGAACTGTATTTGTTTATTACCCACTAATCCGTTGACTCACAGGTAATCTTCGGTGCGCTAGAAGATGTACGAAAGGACCGCACCTGTATTGTCATCTCGCCCCTCCTGATAACAGCCGAAAAATGCGATCAGGTATGGCTGCTTCAACAAGGTCGAGTCGTAGGACAGGGCAAACATCAGGAGCTACTTACCCGCCGGCCGAGATATCGCCGACTGTTTAAAGAGCTACGAAGTAAACGATATGATGGTAAGACTCAAATAAAAGGTCCCGTTCGGAAGGATGTCCCAAAAGTGTATGCACTTCGCATGCAAACTGTTCTTCTCTCAATGAAAATCTATAGTTTGTCATTTCCGTTAAATGTCTCTTTCGGTTGTAGGGGAAAACCCTCTGTTGTCACGCTCCAATTCGACGCAATTAGACTCGATTATGTCCAGCGTGCCAGCGAGTACTGTCTCGAGTCGTTCGGTAAGCCAACATATGAGCCGGAATGCAACCCCTCAGCAGCTAAGTCCCCAGCGAAAAGATTCGATCATGCCCTCCTTTGACGCCGTCGATGCTGTGGAACTGGCTCGTAGGTTGGACAATATCAAAACGTTGGATTTTACCACCAAAAGTGAGCTTAGGCAAGCACCGGCTCAGAAAGACGAACAGCGGGAAACACTGCGACAGATTTATTTTCGAATAGCTACTGAAAGCAGACTCCAACCGGAAATCAAGGTTTCTCAAAACACTGTAGGTGAAACACATAGAACCGTAGTAGCAGGGGACAGTGTTTTTCAGAAAGATGAAATCCAAGAAGTTGAAACATTCCGGGAACCTATCCTAAATCAATCGTCTCGAGTAATCGAGGTGGCAGAGATCAAGCCGAAGAAGAAACCTTCGCCAATTGTCATACCAAAAGATGACGGTAAGAACAGAATTGAAATTCGCTTAAAGGCATTTATTCCAAAAATTTAGTATCTAATCGTGAACCATAAAATCATGTGTAGTTTCTTATAGTCGGTTACAATGAAACGCTACTGCAAACATTCGAGCCAATGTAAACTTTACCTAACGACTCGGGGCGTAGCAAAAGCGCCATGGCATCGATACGCTATTCAGGGAGCAGACGGCAATACGAGGTGTACATTCGGTGTACCTAGATAGTACAGTTTACTAAAGTGTCTAGGAATCAGCTACAGCAACTTAGCACACCCACACGAGGGTATAATTTTCAATTTCACAGATCTGCCACTTGAAGAAGACGTTTCAACTGACGACGAAGCTTCAACTCCGGAAACGCCTCGAAAGCGTATCAACACGATGAAAATGAAAGATCTCAGAACATTTGAGGAAGCGCATAACGATAATAATGACGGAGATAAATTTTCGAGCGAGAGTGACGACGAGCACCAAATTATCCGAGAACTGGTTGGTACAATTAGAATGATAATATTTGCATCCAGGAAACGGGAGTTTTCAGAGTTCGTAACGATTTTACCATCATCAGTACCCTCACTGTACAAACACCACTGTAAAAGCTACAAGTTATGGGCCTTGATTTAATCAAAAATGATTGGTTGATTTATGGATTTTGTTATTTTTAATTATTAATCCATTGCAGCGAAAAAGTAATCGACCTTCAGATATCATCAAGCGATTGTCACAGAAAAAGCTTGATCGAGAACTTCAATATATAGTAACAAGGATTGACGCAGAGTCCTCCGGCGAGACCAGACCAGACGGCACGAGTGGCACCATGAAGTAACGACGTTGCCTATTCAAAGCGACCCGGTGTTAATACGACCGCCCGCTAGCGTTCATAACAGCAACAACTTAATACATAAACTAAATAAATAGTTGCAATTGTAAATATGTGTGTAATAAACTATATTTCAATTGAAAAGGTTATTGTCTCAGAATAACTCATTCAACAAATTTACGAGCAAGAGATCATAAGTGGGTCTTGCTATTGGGACTGTTGATGGGAATTTCTGATACAGTTGATCATGTTACGAGTTCACTTAGAATGAATCATCTGATCAGAAACAGAATTATCTTTGCACAGGGCTGATAACTCAAGTAGGTCGTATAAAGAACGGAGACCCTGAGTCGCTCGATACTAAGCGTGAGGACCAATACACCAGATCGAGAGACTGAAACAGTAAACACAGAAATTCAGGCCTGACTATTAAATTCAGAGTGTGTATACCAGCCACTTTATATATACAGTTTGAATAATTATAACTTCATCTTTATAGACATATCATTCATGTTTAAAATGGAAAAAAATACAAATAAACAACTTTCCGATTAATACAGTACTGATAATAATGCCAATGCTTCATTTAGCGGCGTTGCCTAGCTATGCTCGTTAAATCTTTGAAGGTCGTCAGTTTTCCGACGTCAAGTTAAGTTTTGGAAAAAATTCGATTGGCATCAGTTCTAGGGCACGAACAGGATGTTTTATGAAACCTCTTCGTTCAGCCCATTTATTTAAAGATATCACGATAAGAACATATTTGATCATGTCGAAAATAATATTTGGTATTTTCGTCAAGCCCCTTCCAACTGTTTTTGCAGAAAATTTATATAATTTACACCAGTTACTGCGTTGCCGAACTAGAACGGTCTAATGAATCCTTTGCTTAAAATGCCGCACCACATTGAAACTGTTAATAAATTTACATAGTGTTCATGTGTAACAGACGGACTTCAATGTCCCTTTTTTCCCAAGCACCATTTCCAAATTGACTTTCTTCGGTCATTGTCCATTCGTTCCACGACTTTCACGATAATTTTCCCGCACGTTTCTTTAAACACCCTAAACAGTTCTATCTTTTCTTCTATCTAAATTTGTATTAATTAATAAAAGTAATAAATAATTAAATTTTATTATTATTATTAACTACTTATTGGTTGGGTAGATGGATCCACCTGAAACTACATGCAGTATTGCTTTTATATACATTTTAGAGTAAATTTTCTTTATAAAACTTAACCGGGCCCACCTATTATTTATAATAGATCATCTCTGAAAAGAGAACTAACTAGAAAACCTTACATACATTTTTTGATGCCCTATATATATATATATATCTCAACATTCATAAGAAATAGTACGTCTTGAATATTCTCGATGATAACGTCAGTCATATCCGCGCAATACGATCCATACAAGACGCCTGTCTGAGGTCTCATACCTCCTCGAATCTATTCTATCTTTCCTTGTCTTACCGACGCAAAGCTGTGGCAGCTGATGACGAACTTATAATATGATGACTCAATGGGCAAACCTAATTTTCATTAAAGGGAAGCCATTGTGTACTATGGTAACATGTCAAAATCTACACATTTTAATGAAAGTAAGCAAATTTCTTTACATTATTATACAGACAATAACAAGACGAGCTTATGGATTTATTATTTATGATAGCTTTGCCAAGGAGGAAGCATTACATGTTAGTAAAAATGCTTAATTACTATCTACGTAAAGAATTATTTAAAAAAAATTAGTAACTAATCAGCAGTTACTTGGGCATGGTGGTAGTTTTTTTAATATATATATATATATATATATATATATATATATATATATAGATCTTGATAATTTCAAAATGAATTATGCAGTCCAAGATTAATTTAGCGTTCAAATATAAAACAATATGACATGATTCGTCTGCGTAAAACACGGAGCACAACAACGATAATAGATAGGATCTTGGATGATTCTCCGATACGGATCAATACCCAGTTCACTGCGTCTTCTTTAGCCATCTTTTCAAATATATAAGCATCAGACATTTTTTTTTAGTTGACCAAATCGTCTGAAATAACCAGTGCATCAACAATACCAAAACGCCGGTTCAGCAGTTCCAGGACACTTCGAGAGAAAAAAAAGTCACGCTCATCTTAAGCGGATTTATTCTATCCACTCGTGATAAAACTAGTATCTACTTGTTTGGATTCTTGGTGCTATTTTGCAATTCGCTTTAATTAGTAGCATTGACTGAGGTTTTTTCCAGTAACCCGACTATAAAGCATGTACAGCGACCAGCTCCTCTGTCTGGTCACAGTGTGGCAACAGAATAGACGTAGCTCTGCTTCTATCAGATCACTCGACGGAGCCCTACTGGAATCATTTACTGTTTTTTCCTCGTTTCTCTATATATAACATTGCCAGGGCTATGACTTCGAGTAGTCCACGAATTCTGATATATCCACGACCTCGATCACCGTTTACTGCGTGATAAAAAGAAAAGAGAAAAAAAAACGAAAAGAATTTGAACGCCCATAAGTCACTAGCACGATGGCAACGTTCGATCATCGATCGGTCGGAACTTTTTGGCACTATCAGTACCTGTAAATGAGCTGTTGATGGCCATTGATACCGCTGTCTCGCACGCGCAACAGATTTTTAGTCTGACACTCAGCCACAGCCGAACTGGTAACTTGAATAGAAATAAAACAAGCCTTGAGCAGCGTTCAATGTTCGAAGCATCACCAATCATGAAATTGAACTTTTTAAAGCATTTTTCTTATATGTTGAAGAAGCTGCCTTAGCAAGAAGTGGTGGGTCTCGTCAGGGGCAGCAAGTTTTCCTTATAAACAAACAAATAGAACCTGACCCAAAAGAAAATTTGTGTAAATAAAACCTGGAACAGAACGACCTACAAACATAAACAGACTACATAAACTACATAAACAGAGCCAAAATAACACGTGCAAATAATAGCTATGGGTAGACTATTCAATCACTATCTCATCTAATCTGCGCAACAACGCTTTGGAATAATTTCGGTACTAGAGCTATTTTTAGGTCTTTGAATTTTTTTTTTTAGGAAACTCATGTTACTATGTTAAAGTTACACTATCTTCGTATATAAAAACACATTTGCTTAATGAATTTTATACAATCCTTACGAATTATTTATTATTAGCGTCGTTTTGTTATAAACGTTAGCCATATAGATATGTTGTTGGATAATGGTCAGCATCCTACAACCGCAGCAACGATCTCAAATGTACGGTTTTCGCCTGTCTTTTCTTTTAGATTCTCAGTTGTAAATCGTTACGTCTCATTCTTTGAACTAAGTTCTTTCAGCTTGCTCATTTGTGGCTAATTTGGTTTCGCTGTGTTAGTTTTAGGGCATGGCTCGGGATCAATCTCTTGTTTGGAAAAAATCTCGTTTAGTTGACGATTGACCCGTATAAATGTCGTCCGACTGGGTAGTTCTTCGAGCTTTGCTGCTCCGGCATACGTACAGGCACTACGGATACCTCCAAGAATTTCTTTAATTGTCACTTCGATGTCACCCTTGTAGGGCATCTTGACAGTCTTGCCCTCTGACGCGCGATAGTCGGCTACGCCACCATGATACTTGTCCATGGCGGTTGACGATGACATGCCGTAGAAAAGCTTGTACTTCTTGCCCCCCTCCTCAATGATCTCTCCGCCACTCTGGTCATGACCGGCCAACATTCCGCCCAGCATGACGAAATCAGCGCCAGCGCCGAATGCCTTGGATATATCGCCTGGGCAAGTACAACCCCCGTCGGAAATGATATGCCCACCCAGCTCATGAGCTACCTCGGCGCATTCCATCACCGCGCTTAATTGCGGATAGCCTACGCCAGCCATTTTGCGAGTGGTGCATACTGAGCCTGGCCCAATGCCGACTTTAATTACGTCGGCACCAGCGCGAAGCAGATCTTCTACTCGCTCGCCCGTAACAACGTTTCCAGCTAATATGATATGCTTGGGGAATTGTTTGCGAACGCGTTTCACGAATTCCGTGAAGGCGTCGGCGTAGCCGTTAGCGACGTCGAGACAAATCGTTTGAATTTGCGGCACTGCCTCGACAATCTTTTGCAGTTTCTCAAAATCGGCGTCTCCCGAACCGCTCGAAACGGCCACGTGGTTAAGAACCTCGGGGTGTTCATTAGCGAACTTCTTCCATTGCTCGAGCGAGTAGTGCTTATGTACAGTGGTGTACATATTATGCTTGGCTAGGACGACGGCCATTTCGAACGTGCCAACCGTATCCATATTGGCAGCGATGACAGGTACGCCGCTCAGCTGTTTTTTCGACTCACGGAACTTCATCGTGCGATCCAGCTGGACCTCGGCGCGTGTCTTCAGCTTGCTCCTCTGCGGCCGAAGTAGAACGTCACAAAAGTCCAGCTTGATGTCGACGTCGATTTGCGGCATCGTGCGCAGAGGTTGTTCCGATTTCTCGTTGATGTCTTCTAGCGACGGACACAGTAAAGAACGTCGAAACAATAATAATAACTAGGCAATGCAAAGAAATCCGCGACCGCGCACCGCAATGCGTGGCACAAAATTATCCCGACTTTTCAATCCAAACTATTGCTGACAAGAACTCTGATTGTTGTTATGAGGCCCCTATTAGCGCGAAAAATCAGTTTTACTTTCACTGGCATTTCAACCGAAAAGAAACAGAATCAAATAACGACATTTGGTAATTACAAAGCAGCATACATAAGCTATTATCCGCTGGGCACCATGAGCTATTTGTTATTTGAGTCAAACAAACCAGTAACCATTACTAAACTCTTATTTTCAGTGGCTCGAAACTGTTAGCTAAAGCGATTTGATAACGAGGTATTTTGTTTTCGATTTTCCTTACTTCAAGAGGATGCGTACGAGAATGAGTGCACCGAGCCAACATGCAGTCGCGCTTCAGGGATTGTGGAAGACCAGAGCGATCAGGTGCAGGTAAGTTGCGCGCTCACAGATCTTGGCTCTTGCAGTTATAGAACAGGGCACACAGAGCAACTTTAGCAGCCAGCAAACAATCGTCACTTGTTATTGCAAGGCTCTAGTAGCACGTATCGACCGATCCTACTGAACACAACATTTAAACAGCGCGTGTTCACCTTAGCCCGACGCCGCCGCCTACTGAATCTTATAGGCAAGCGAGGCAAACAGACCGGCTGAATCTGATGCGGTGATCGGGAAGCGTCTGCGACCATGAGAGCAGCCACCACCACCACCGCCGCCGCCGCCGCCGCCGCCGCCGCCGCCGTCGTCGCATAGGTACCAACAGCAGCGTAGAGAGCACGAGAGCCCGGAGAGCGAGGGAGGGGCAGGCGAGCGACGATGACGTCACACGGTGCAATGTGCGTGTTTGTATGTATAACTGATTGAATGGGTCGCTCGGCTGGTCTCGGTTATCTATTGGTTTGCGTGAATGGTTAAGGGAACAAAAGACATGAACATCTGAGAACGTGTATGTTTACGACGATTTGGGAGGTCAGCATCGGCGCGCTCAACGCGATCGATATAAATCGGTACGGTTCTTTGGATCGCCGTATCTATTATTGTACTGCTGGCAGCTTCTAGTTACCGTCGTTTCTTGGCGTGCTTAGCAGTACGAGCCGTACACCGTATTATATGTGCAACATGAGTCTGGCCGTTCAGCTGTTTACTGGCTAGACGCTAGGGGCCTTTGTGAAGTGTGGACGAAAAGCAATACACCAACAGACATGTATTTAGTTGTTGTAAGATAGCACTGACTATTTAAAGAGTGACTTCGGTTATCGGGAAAAAACAGCATTTAGACACATGGGATGCGGAAGGTACATGACGGTTAGCCAAAGTGTGCGCTGTCCGCTGAGGAGCCATCTCAATAAGGCCACATAATCACGATTCGATAGGTACCTGACTTGTTAGATTAATGTGTACATGTGAAGTTCGATTAGAGTCATTGGTTACATTCCGTTCTTACATTAGGGGAATGGTTTAGAGTCACAGTGATGCTGCATGTGGAATGTCATCGTGTTGAAGAATGACGTTACGTAAAAAAAAACATCAACTTCTATTATAGATCGAGTCACTGTATGAATAGGCTTAAAATGACTATTGTCCTGAAATGAATTTCCTGAGGAAAGAAATTACCACCATTGTCACAGCTATAGGTGAGGGCTTTTTTGTCCCCCTTTTTTGAAGCCCTCAGTATTTGCTAGAACAACAAACGTTCGACTTTTCCGTAGACCAAATCCGTGCTATTTTTTCGTCATCAGCGCTCGGTCGTGTCATGTTGTCAGCCTCATCGCCTGTATGTACGCTAACCCAAGTGGAAGCGAAATGAATCAATGATAGCCACACGACAAAATAAATGAAAGTGACCATAGCGGCGGGTGCTTCCACCTTTCCTGTTTGGCCGGATTCATGCAGGCTATTGTCGGCCAAAGTTACCATTCAACGTCAGAGATAACGACTGTTCTATTGTACGTAGGTAAAGAGCCCGCATGGAGCCCCAGACAATATACAGACAAGATCTCAAATCATTTGTTCTTTATGACATTTGCTTAAATGCGAAATCGGCAGTAAGACTCATGTTAAAAATATCACTCAGTCAATCTAATATTAAAGGTACTCTCTGCCGAATTTAATCATTTGTGATCTGAATCAAGTTACGCAGTTATCAAGTGATTGAAGAGTTGTCTCCGCCAATCTTTAAGCGATATCAATTTTGAGAAATAATTCCTATCACCTTAGATAGCGGCCGCAATTTGTGTGCAGCCCACCGTCACAGAAGTGCTGTAATGTCCTTTCTACATAGTTTAATTTTTTCAATATGTAACTTCCGCACACGTGAACCGTTTCGGTGAGGAAGAAGGTGAAGTCTCTACAGATAGGTCATATCGTCGTACAGCAAGGGCATTCTCTGCGGTGGTTTTACTCTTTTCATAATAAATAATAAAGTTCTAATAAGTATACCGAACAAATTTTTAAGGGAACTAATCGCATCGTCGATACGCATACGCGTTAATTAATACTTCTAGCGTAAATAAAACCGTTTAATTCTCGTTTCAACATAGCTACCATTCACGTTTGACATTATATTGTAATATATAATAAGTAAAATGTAATATAGCCTGTATATACTAGTCGATTGGTAAGTCCAAAAAGGTACTGGTCTTGATATATTACGGTAGGATATGTTAGTGCTAAGGTCAAGCAACTTCGATGGCTGAGGATTATCTACATACCTTGTATGTAACTTAGCACATAAACAACTTACAAGGTAGGTTGTTTATGTGCTCCGTCTGATGATTAACTTACGGATTATTATACGTAATCCGCTTATAAATGGCTGGTTTGACTAGAATAGCCTTTACTGTATATTCAGTTGAAGGAACTCATCAATCAAACTTGCTTTGCATCTTCAGTTTTTTGATAGTGACATACGTCGTTAATGGAATTCGATATTCAGCCAGTAGAGAACAGATCGCTCATAGCTTGCTTTGTTTAAAATTTTTTTGCCTATTTGGTCGTAGTGCCGGACATGAGCTCGTTTTTCCTGTTGGGTGTGTTCATACTGCATCAGTGAATATTTGATGTTTTGTTAAAAGCTTTGTGGTCCAGAGCTTCTGTCCAGTTTTGGCCGCTCTCACAAATGGAAACAGATCAATTGAGATTGCTCCTAAGGTCTAGAAGGCAACTTTTTCTCTCTACATACTGTAGTACCCAAAAGGTTTATAATCGCAGATGCCCAAGCATTCGGTAGTCTAATACTGTTTTCGACTGGCTAAGTAAATATCGATAAGCTAATAAACTGATAGATAGTATACCGCTTAAGCGCCGAGGTTTCGGCCATACAGATTCTTTTTCGTTTAGCATATAGCTCTCATGCTTCGTTTGACTCATTTTATATGTAACTTTGCACAGTTAGCAATACGCCTAAAGCTGTTTTCGAACAGTTTGTGGGGACAGTATTACCACAGAGCAGTTACGTTGAATGAACCACTAAAAAAATGTCTAAGGCACACAAGTCGTAATTCATGAAGCCATCAAGATGGGTTGATGAGTGACCCATGCAAAGGCCCACGTCGAAGAAAGAGTTCATTTGTTACCAGATTGACGTATGTATGTAAGCCGTTACTGTTTTCGTTTAGTCATTATTCTATAGCTTTTTTTCGTTGTTAAACTTCATATACTGTTGTTTTGTTGGTTGATACTATTATTCCTGACCCAAGCCATAGGCCATAATGACACAGGCCAGATGAGAGATGCAATTGTTAAACGAAACGTACATATCACTCCGATGTATTGCTTTCGATATCACCGTATAATATAGGGAAGATCTATGCACGTGCTGACGTGCAAGCTTCAATTGTGTATCGCATACACATTATTTCATACATGCACTTAGGGAAAGCAATTAACTGTCGAGAAGGAACATCTTCACCGGCCAACCTCTACTGGTCCGATCAAGTGATGACTGTTATAGTAATTGGGTCACGCACAACGTTCGAAGACATCGCTACATCTATACAGGGAAATGGCTGGGCTTTCGTTATCAATTAAACTAAAGTTGCTGTTATGATATCGACGGAATCTCATGCTTACGCTGTTAATGGCTACGGACATGAAGACGTCGTTGAAGTAATAGAGGCTCACCGTGTTGAGTAGGAAGCTTCGTGAAAACATTACTAACAATATGGCCTGTCAGATGTTGTAGAACTAATTATTTCTAGGCAAATAAATGACGAAATATTTTCTGTCAGCATAATTCTTCTACACGAATCAGCAGCTATCGCACAGCGTAGACTTGTTGGCATCCCTTCTGCAGTTTAGGCCATTGCGACGTTTCTTTGTAACTCGATGTAGGCTTTTCGATTGTGACATCGTATCAGGAAGAGAAATACAGCCTGATTACTTACATTTTCGGATTGCTCACTGTGAGCAAAGACCGGAAAAGGCGTAACGTTTATTTGCGTGAGAAAGGTTATATAAAAAAAAAAAAAGGTTATAAAAAATATATATATAAAAAAAAAAAGAATATCTTAACCATCATCGTATCCCTATCGAACTGTAGATGTTGATTTCGTCTCACACTTACCATATTAGATTTTATTTACTTCGGGATGACCAAGGACCCATGCCGCTGCGCCGACAAACTTCCATAGGTCAGCCTTTTACATGTATTTTGCAAATATCATATAGTTTTATGGTAACTATTGAACTTACCGAATAGATGGCTAATGTTGGGTTCAATCGTTTTGCTATCTATTTGTTCTAGTCATCAGAAACATCGACACAAAATCATACCATGAATGTAAATGGGAGTGCTTTAATAAGGCTATAGTTCGAATTTTATAATTCGTTCGAAATGGGCCATGCAAGCACAACCTAAAGCATATCAAAACAATCAGTGCACGCAAAAGTTAAGTAAATCAGTAGAATTTTCTGTGATACTTAATAATAACTTTTTCTTTATTTATTTACAAATACATCTTTATTAATTGTTGTTATGATTATAATTTTTTATTATATTTTCTATAATCGTATTATGATTATGATTATTATTATTATTATGATATTTCTGCACGACTCGCTTAATTTCGCTAAGGACGATGTTAAATACTTTTGCGGACGTATTTTGGCTTTTTTTTCTTTTTTTTTTTATTTTTCTTATTTATTATGCATGAAACACAATCATTATTTTAATACTCGATAAATTTAACAACATATTGAAACGACAGTATATCCTGCTCTGCTTTTCGTCATGCTTCCATCTTTTCGCTACGTATCTGTAAATCTCCTTGTTTGCTGTTTCGTGTTCCTGATATCTTCGTTTTCCTTTTGCTGCCCCTGTATCCCGGATTGAACATATGCTACAGCTGCTACTTTACCCAGGAATACCCGTTAATTTATTATCAGGTATCTCTCGCCTTTAACCTTCCTGCACCTTCATGCCTATTTGACGGCCTTCCTGTTCAGTCCGGCATTCGCTCTAGATCAACATATAAACCATTCCTCATACACTAGCAGCAGCAGCAGCAGCAGCGGTTAGGTGTTTCTATTAATTGTTGCTGTTTTTGTCGATTGGGAGAGATACTCCCTCTGGTAAATTTCTGTCTGCACTGATTATACATGAGCCACTTTTTACGCTCGATAGTAGTAGTTACTACTTTCGAATACTTCCTAATTAGTTTTTGACACGAAGGGACATATGCGTGAATCATACGGCGCGTCTTGTTTCAGACTTGTTGGCTGATAACGAAAAACCGCAAAATATATGTAGACCACGATTAACGATTATATAATATCGAATCTCTTTGGCCTATTTGTTATCACCGGAGGTACGTAAATAGATAAGTGATCACCCAGAATAACAACAGTTACCTCTTCAATAATAATGTTTATTGTTGTTTGTGGGAAACACAACAAAAAGCTTGACGCTGGTGACGATTCGGTATAGCTACTATTACGCACCATCACTGCAAAGGGCATATTATCAATAAGACACTTTAAGTAGTAGCAAACACCCGTATTACTGTTTTTTCACGAAGCTTTAGAAAAGTTCGAATCGTTTTCGAATTCTAGTTGATTGTTTATTTCTCAATAATGTCCCAACAGACAGTCTTTGGGACTACTCGTTTTTTGCACCTGTACTCGATTTTACGTGCTAACGTCTTTACGAGCTACGTACCACCCGTCCTTAGCCCATCTTCGTCGCGAGCTAATATCGACTAGTAAGTTCATCACAGCGCACCGTCAAGATGTCATTTTCAGGTAGTGGAACGTATTTTCTATATAACGTAACATAACAAAAGCCACGGGCATAACAAAAAGTGTAAAAAAATATTTTCTTTACTTGTCAACAAGGTACGCTTGATAATCGTAGCCGACTATGTAATCACTAAGCAAACTAAATTCTATGAAATTCCCTCAGTAAAAGGAAATTAACAACTCCTGTACGTCTTTTTGCTTCATCCTCTACCCCTTGGCCTGGGTTTTTCTTCTTACAGACTGACCTATTCGCAGCCTTCACTCAAAGCTAATTTTTAATTCAAGAACTCTCTTCGTATATCATGCGTTACTGTACATACGTTCCTGTAAGGACTTTTGCACGGTGCCAAGAAACTAATGGAAAAATCAACAGTGACGTATTTAGCCGCTTTAGTGTTCCTTCTAGCCAAGATCATCCCGAGAAGAGGGAGACTTATTGCGGCGAGCAGGGTCTTTCTGCTCAAAGCTGTTTGTAATTTCCTTGGAACACATCCTATCTTCCGTCCACTGTGGTTTTTTTTTAACAGATACGCGTTGTTAACTTCACTTCCGCCCGCGATTCATTCTGTGACACCTGTTCATTTTTCAATAATAAATTTACTACCACCTTCGGTTTATCAGGTTTTCTCACTTGTCCCCTCCATAGAACAAAGACATCTTCAAACCATCGGTGTTGCCTTGCTTCGCTCTGTCAAACCATTAACAATTCAAAATTGCTTAATTATAAATAAATGATATGGGTAATATATGAAACGACAGATCAAGCGGGGAGCAAGCGTATTTGACAATTACATCACATTATACCAAATAACTACAGAACAGTAATACTAGCTAGTACTCGTTCGTGTTCTAACTACGAGAGAACTTCGTCTGCCATCGTCATTGTCGTTACTATACGTGCCGCTATTCGCGTTACCATCAATTACTGTTATTATATAGCTTCTACTTTTGTGTGCCCCAAACAAATGAGTAGATTATTGTTTATACCGCTGTCGATATCTCTGCTGCATACGTTTGTTATGTTTTGATAGTTATAATGATGATGATGATGTTGAGCTTAAGGGCTAATATCATATCGTCGTTGTTATGTTATACTATTTATCTATGTTTTTTTTTTTTCTAAATCTAATATGTTTCTACACGTACACCGTATTGTTGAGTCAATCAATCTTTATTTCCATCATTTTATCAGATAATAATAATAGTAACCAAAATAATAATCAATTTTTGTGTAAAACACACAAATGATAGCATGTTTACAGTTGTTTGTTAGTCATTGTGTTACCACGAATAATAATAACAATAATAATGTCAAAAAATCATAGGAATTGCACTACAAGTGATCTATGTCATTACTGTTACTAGCATCCAACATTGCTACAGTGGTCAGGCGATGGCTATTTCTCCGTCTGTTCATTGCTATTGAATTTTCTGCGTGCGCGCCTTCCTGTTTAAGTTTCGTGTGATTTCGATCTACTTCTCTGACCTTTATTTTTGGAACTCGTTCTATTCTTATATCGCGTTAGTAGCTCCCGTCAATAGAGAGGAGCATGTGCCGCGCTACACCCCAACTTTTCCTTTTGTCTCAAACAGTTTAGGATCAACGGCTTCCAGGCACGCACCTCAGGGCCAAAAGGTGATCAAATTCGTCTTATATTATATCATAGTCGTAGCGGCGGTTAACCGGATGTACGAACTTTAGTTTCACCCGCTTGATGTAATTTCACAGATCATTATTTCGCCGCAAATTGTACGCAGTGTATACGCTACGTTACGTTGAGGCATGCCTTCATTTTACCCTTTTGCCCAATGTAATTCCTTTACCGTGGCCTTCTGTCTATTCCTGACCCTGTTCGGACACGCCTGTCTCTTTAAGTAAACCCGCGTGACCAATTCGAAACAAAGTACCTGTGATTATGACTCATAAAGAACGCTTTTAGAATTACAGTAGTCCCAAGTCACTGCGTTCTAGATATGTGGCCCCTTTTTTAAGACAACTTCAACAGCTTTTTGGCCTATTAAGGTTTACTAACTATTATAGACAATGCTGACAAACAGCGATATCGTGAATCTTGCCACAAGGCGGGATTATTAATCCGAACTGTCTCGCTGTAATCACTTCGTCGCTGGTAAAAAAACAGAAGACTAACAACGTTAGATACCAAACACTAAAGGTTAGTAACAGGAACTCGTAGAGGAGAACGCAACGTTGAAAAGCAGACGTATGAGGGCTGCCGGTGGCCATAACAGGTCGTAAGGATAGTTTTAGACTGAAGCATCCATTAGGTGCTAAATTCAAATTATCTGCCTTTTATTTTAAAATATTATATATCACTCATTGTATTACTAGGCCGACATTCGAACTGTCTGCCTGCAGACGCTGGCAAACGGAGCTAGCCATTTATTATCGGCAAACATGCTATAACTGTTAGTAATAATAATACTATAATTGATTAATATATGTATTATATGTTTATGGTGTACGCCTACTACTATTAGAACGGTGACGGATGTTAATGGTGGGTTGTTGGTTAAATCAGCAGCTGTATATAATAGGTATGTCTGCCCATTCCTCAGTCTCACTCTGGCTGCACCTGCTAGGCCGTACGTAGAACACTCAAAGTTACTTATATAATTCTTATTATTCATTCGTATCATCAGTATGGCGCTAACTGGACCACATTGGAGTCCTTTTTCGGAAGCTGTCGAAGCTTCAATGAACCATCGGCGCCGCACGAGAACAGACGTATCTGTTCATCCACGTATAGATGTGTCACACCTGACGCCATACTTCGAAACAGGCTATTTTTTGAGTGCTCACCCTTGAACGAGTACTGCATTGCGTATGCCGGAAGACTCCATATCTGCCGACACAGGAAACACCATAGCGAAGAACGAGAGATTTCAGCAGCCGAAATATAAGACGCGCTTAGATACACGTAAACATGCATTATAGATAAAATACTGCTCATCTGTTGTTATGCGATTCAATGTGTTGGCTGTCTAAATTAGTTATCGGGGCGTCTACGAAATGTATCACTCGCTTGGCTTAACCGTTACCAATGGTATTATCAATCGCATTGAGAGCTATCTTTCCTATGAGGGAACAGGCTATGTTGTTTAGCGGTAAATCGGGCTCTTTACCTTGATATCTCCATCAGCGGAACCGGACACAAAGAACTCCTCATTGGGATCAAGGGAAAGACACTTGACGGCCGAGTCATGGGCCTGGAATTTGTGCTGCAAGACGCGCTGGCGTACGTCTATGATCGCTGCAATTATCAATCACCAAAAACAATTACAATAAAATTACAAGGAACCAAACCGCTAGTGTTACTACTGTACAAAATCTGAATATCTAGAAATCCATATACATTAAACACCCAGTGACTGGAAGCCTTCTTCGCTACCTCGCGATATCTGACAGCTTCTCTAGATAGAGACCAAATGCATCCTTGGACTAACTCAGTTATGTTTAGTGCACGCCACTAAATCAGCCGTGTCGCTACGTGATCAAGTAAAAATGCCTTCCTACGGTCCTCCCTTTGTACATCGATAATATTAATGGTGAAGACAATTGCCGACGGGACTGCGACCTAAGCTATTGTCTCTCTATTTGATAAACAGAAATCGATTAAAGTCTTTACTCCCTACTTCTTCACAGAACAAACCCATTTCTTCTAGCGATTGTTAACTACACCATTTGATCGTTAAGTTAATGGTAAAGTCTAAATCACGGAAGAGTCGCTTTGCCATAATATATATATTAGCTTCTGAAACAGTATCACCCTGTCGTAATCCTTGTGTATAATCTACACACCAATATCTCCTTTCTTGCCGGCCGAGATGAGCAGTCCGCTGTGCGGTGCATAGAGCAATGCGGAACAGCCATGTTCGTGACAATGGAACGAGCCGATCATCGCCTTTCGTTGGGGAAGAAGTGTATCCCACAGACAGACATTTTTGCCATCAGAGGACTGACCGCCCGTGGCCAGCAAGGATGAACTGCCCGCAAACGCGAACTCCGACGCCTGTTTGCTGTGACACTGCGTCGTCTGATAAATGGCGATAATCATGAAAACGGAACCAGATAAAGCACTCATACATTGCGTCAAGCAAGCAAGCATGTGCATACTACCCCAGCATACTCTATCCAATTCCAAGAAGTTTACATTATGCAAAAATATTTCACGATAGATACGTAATCAAACGTAGTATTATCTGACAATCGTTTAAGGAGATACACTTATTTTTCATAGATGACAAATACTTACGAAGAATGGATTCTGATCATTTCGGGCAACTCCGACTTGCCACAATGAGATGAAGCCGTCACCATCGGTAACACCAAGCTTGTTTCCTTGCGGGTTAAAGCTCACGGAAGTCACCTTTGCCCGAGTCCCAGGAAGACGCAGTGCGCAAACGGCCGAGCTATGACCCCACTCCCACAGCTGGACGGCGCCATCTTGGCCGCCAGAAAGGTCTATTATGCAACGCAGATCATAAAGATAAAATAGTAATCTATTTGTTAAAATAAACGCAATAATGAAAAGCGTGCACAAAGGAGCGAACTGTCAACACCCCCTGCATAATAAATACGCTGTGTCATATATATGTGCATATACGTATCTAGGGGGCCTCAGATTGCTTTATTAGATTTAAATGTCCCTAAAATAAAACAAAACGAAAACAAGTTGTTATGGGTATTCTTATTTTTATATAAGCTCAATCTAGAAGGCTTAGTTTACATCGACCATGAAAGATAATACCAGCTAAACGTCCTCGTAGGGACCGCTTGTATGATTCGATGCACTCCACGTTATCTGAAATCACGGATCTGCATAGTTCAGCGCTACCACTTGACTACCTGAATACGGTATTTCAAAAAGTGGCAAGCTGCTCAATCCCCTCTAAGCCAACTGTTATTTACATCCAGCGCTTTCACGTCGGTGCTCAGACCCAAAACCCAATGACAACTTTGCTTCAAGGGCCGCACCGCACAGCGACTTTGTTGTTTGCCACTTATCCGTGGGTTCTCTGAGCCGAACACGATGTGATGAAAAAAAGTCCTTAGCACGTCTTCCGCACCCCAACATGTGACCAGTATATAAACTGCGTTTGTTATGAACCTGAATCTCTAGCTGTTGAGTCAATTCTATAATGTAAGAACCTTGTTCAAACTCTGGCTTCAGAATGCCTCAGACGGACCCGTCGTCAGTAAACTGAGTCATCAGTGAGGAGATCACTTTGAGATTGATTGATTAACGCGGTCTACGAAGTGCCGTAACGGCCCAAGTCTTTCACTGGAAGAGACGAGGCCAGGATCTTTGTTTCAAGTCACGCGAGTATAATTTGTATGAGTGAAAAAAGGCATATACACATAGGCGGCGAAACTGATAAGCTCAACATCAAGCGAAAATCGAAAAATATGTTTCATATTAAAAACAATTCACTATACTATCCAGCATTTCTGCTCATTACTTCTATAGCAGCTCATGCGAAAATTTCGCAAAGGCCTTATTAGGACGCTAAGACCTTCGGCTTAGTGTTACTGACTGATAAATAATCGTAGATTTAAAAAAAAATGGCGTGGAAAAAGATACAGACTCAAAGGCAAATCATGTTTTATAAGCTTCTACCATTTTCCCTGTATTGCCTATTACGGTGCGGGTTAAAACTCGCTTCTGTCACCATACATTTTTAAACAAAATCATCTACATTCCGCCTTACGATATTAGAATTAATTTTCTACCAGACTCAAGAATGTACCCATATATTTTTGCTATTGCTGTCTTCGATTTGTAGCGTATTTACATTATAATTTGTGCCCAGTTTAATCACGTTTGAAAAACCGAAAATGTAAATAGCGGAACAATCTTTTTTATACGCCACAGTCAGAATCAGCTGAAGGGCATCAAGATGTTCCTTGCATTAGAAGCCATACAACTACACATATAATCCTATCTCCTAGTAACGAACCCGTTGCAATTGTCATTTGCAAAACGTACGCATCGCGTTCCGTGGTGCGACCCTTAGCTGATTTCTTTGAAATTTTGATCTTTGTATCGCAGCGCAAGTTTAACTTTCGAACTGCATTACACTACGTCTCCGAAACTGCTTGTAAAAAAGTTAATTTCGATAATTTTACCGTCACACCCTCTACTCAATCAACGAGCTGAACGACAGACAACGAACGCCACTTTCGCAACGAGCCACTTTCCAACAAACGTTTTACCTTACGCTCTACAGGAGAAGGTCCCAAACCGATGTAAAAGTGTACAGTTGCTCTATTGCAACGCACGTACCTCTACGTGTGAGCTCATACGATCTCAGTCTCATAATGGTACCTTCATGTTTAAATAACAGTCTGAAGAAGAAAACAAGTCTGAATGGGTTAAAGAGTTGATAATAATTTCATTACACATAAGGCACGTGACCTTTGCTGAGATTTGTAGCGCGGTAGTATACGGTGAAGGAGAACATTAGGGGTACGAAGGCAGAAATTATTACCTACGAGCTAACTGTGCAGAAACACGGAACCCTGGCATTACCAATAGACTCTTGTTGTGTTTAACCATAAATAAGCAGTTATTTTTAATATACCTAAATAAGTAATTGGCAAGTAGCAGGAATGGTGTTCATATAACACAGTCATACAGCTTATATACGCGTTTATGGTTAACTTTATCACGATAGAGTACACTGAAAATCGAGGAAAAAGGCTGCCGGCCACAACTTACATAGATTTGCCGAGGGATGAGATGCCAGACGCCGTACTGAATCTACCTTGTGCTTTTTCAGCTGAAATTTCAGTCGATAAGAACCAAGTTAGCATCGTTTTGAAAGCCGCCACGTTATCTTGTTTTATTTTTTGAAACTATTTCTCAATTAAAAATAAATAAGGCTAAATCCAAAATTACTATCGATAACAGCCGATATATCAGTTAACCGACCCAATTTGTTGTTTAAAAAAAGAAGCGTGAAAATAGAAAGCCGTTGTTAGTGCCATTCCTGCTTTCATATAGAGATACCAAAGCAGGAAAAATAATCAGTATGCAGCTAGATAGGCACCGTGGACGCCGCGTTAACGTAACATAACGTTGTTGAAACGATTCCCAGCGTAGCATTTGTTCCCATTAGTTTATAAGTATCTTACCCGGCAGGCATTTCTCAAACATAATCCCTTCCAGTTAGTTGTCAGGTGTTTAGGACAATAAACGGCATAATGGTCAATTATTGGTACATAGCAGTATTAATACTGCGATACTGTTGATACATAATTGACAAGTATCTTTTATGGGTCAGTGTTCTATGAGTGTTTTCGAGCGGTCTATTACTATGACGGATCGTCGACTTATGCTCGAATTGTTTCATAAACAAGAAAGTCATAATCATTTGAAGAACGATTTTACAAAATACCGTTAAATAAGAGAGAAAGCAGTTCCGAATATTTTGAGTCTTCGGCGCAAAATTGTTCATTATTTAGGCGACAGAAGATCAAACTCTAGTTCTATAATAATGTATTGATAAACCGACTGAGAAACAGACATATGTGTTGCACACAGGCGAGAAAAACAAAAGGTCGAAAGGCCAGACTTGAGACGATCCCATTTTTACGAATTCGCCATTTGTTCCAATCCACAGATTACGACCTTTCATATGTTACGTGTTAGGAATCAAGCGCAAAAGCAGTATTCGTAACTAATAGACAAACCACACAGAAATGCCATCAAATAGAAATAAAGGGGAAATACTCGTATAACGGGCAGGCCAGTCATTGGAGCGCTAAGGCGCTCACAGCAGCGGTAGCAAAAAATCAAAAAGACCAAGTAGACGGACCGAAAACAACGAATGTTGAAGATGCAACTATAACTTTCCAGTGAACTAACCGTACGGCAATGATTTGTGGTTGCAATGGATCTAACCTTGCGGTACTTTTCCATCGAAAGCCCTAAAATCACTTACAGACGAATCTACGTATATTACAGACACTCACAAATCCTGCAGTGATTAATCGCAATGTAAAAAGCTCTTGTGATCATTTATAAGCAGTAAACGAACAGCTTAGTAAGAAGGCCAGTGGTAGTTAGCAGCAGTAAGGACAAAATGGGGACTATGGCAAATAAATACATAGCATCCAAAGGAGAACTCAGTCCTGTGCGCCTCAAAATTCGTTGCGATCACATGAATATACTGATTTCATTTTTTAAGGAATGTTGTATTTGCAAAAACAGTCGTAAATCTAAATACCTCAACAGAAGGCCTTCCGTTGGGGGCGGCGACTTTCTAGACATCGAACAAAAAGCAAAGATTGGTGTTCGGTTAATCAGCGGTACAATATAAACACAATTACGTAGAGACACGTCTATCTCCACTGAAGCAACGCGTCACTTGAACCGTCCCAGACAAGCGAAGATTGTGCCATTAGAAGGTGTATTAGGCAGATAATATAGAGTTAATTATAGGATAGAAATAGTTAGATGCTCCTTCTAAACATAATGCTACTGTAGATAGTATGCGATCGCTTATTAACACAATTGGGGTGGCGTTTTTCACATACCCTCGTATCATCACACCTTCGACTGTCATCTTGGCTCACCCGAAATCAATGTTTTAAGAAACTATCCACAAACGGCAATGGATTATATAGTTTGATAAGCTTAGTCACAGACATATGTTAAGTTGAGATATATTTAGAAGTGCTTTAAAAGACTCCAACTTCCTTAACTTGGTATAATTGCCTAGATGCTTCGGCTGACGAATTGTTACACCTGTAGCCTACCTAATCCTAGGTACTAAAATGCAACGTTCATCTATGCGTGTGTCTGACATGCGGTTGTCTATTATACTGTATTGTATGCATGACTTATTCGCTAAGATTACAAATACACAATGAACAGATATCGCATTTTTTCCGTTCGTCAATGATTCTGCAAGGAGATTTCGTTTGGCGAAGCTGATATCTATCAATACCGGTACAGATAGTAGCACACATTGAATATCCCGCTTTTTTCTTAAAATACTAATGAACTTCCTTCTTCTTGATTCCCTTTCTTTCCATCTATCTGGACGAGGCCTGAGTTCGAATTGTGGCTATGGTGACGTAGACTATTCACGGTTTGTTTAATGATCGACTATGGACACGTAAATGGACACGATGACATCACACGAATGCGCAAGCATTGACACGGGTTTCATGATCACAAATAGAAATGGTGACACACAAATCAAATAGACTTCGTGGAGGCAGTAACGGACAGTGATCTTATTATTTATCAGAACAATGACAGAAGCGCGACCGTTGACGATGTTTCATGTCGACGAAATGAAAGTACGTCGGGCGTATTTTCTCTACTCACCGTTTTCACCATGAGTCTGCTTCGGGAGAGCACAAACTCGCAGAACTGCGGGTGTTGGCTCCCCGCGAAATGCAGGTTCTTCAAGTTCTAAGTCCGTCATCAAGAGGGCAGCATGCGAAATCACGTTTATTATTAATAAGTATACTGAAGCAAATTTAGTATCTGTATGCGCTGAAGCTTGATTAAAACTAGCATAGCTTTTACGATGGAATAGTCATATAGTAATAATTGAAAAAAGAAACTATCTAGATCTTTTAATTACATAACGATCAACTTTTGATTTAATAAATGACTTATACACAATTTTCAAATATTTAAACCGCGCCTTCTATAAATATGCATTCAATACATGCGGTCAGCCTTTCAGTATAGTGTTACCAAAAAATAATTGAACAGTCACTGTTACGCAGCGACCGCTTGTAAAATTTCCCGTCACTGCGGACGAAGCGGCTGAGTACCATGACAAGTTTGTTATGGTTAGAATCAGCCGCGGATACACGCGATAAGTGTCAGTAGAAACCAGAGCTCGATTTCTACTGCTAGCATTCAAACCTATGTCTTACGCTGATGAAAAAAAAAAATGATAAAACAAGTATGCAATTTTACGTACAATATTGCTTTTTCCGTGCGAGTGAACCGAGCTGATAATCGAGTTTGATGGCAAAGGGGCGAGAGGTGTGGTGACGTGCGAGCCGACGGTATTAGCAGCTGGACCCAACAGCTGTCGGTCGATAGGATGCTCGATGACCAAATACTCGCTTCCGCCTGCACCTGTCGCATCATGACTCCTGCCGAATTAATGGTGCGCGCGCAGCAACGATTTCCGTTAGAATCAATGAAATCCGCGGAACGTCGCATGAGGATCTACACTCGGTTAGTATGAACTTCATTACTGCTTTAGCTATTGCCAAATGAAACTGTGTTACTAGCAGTTCTGATTATTCGAACCTGTTTAGAATATCGAATTCGGCTTCATTGTCTAGCCATCCAACATCATCGAGAAGTCCTGATATGTCGAGCTCCTGCATGTCTTTAGGTGTAGCGACAGTGATAACTGATGTGCTTGCGCTACCACGATTCACGCAGAAGGCCGAGATACTTTCCTGATCCTTGTGTATCACCCGTATTGGACGGATTGCCGTGTTTTCGTCTTCGTCCTCCACTCCGCTATCCGCCAGCTAAATTACAACGAACAACAATGCACGAGACACTTAATCAGTATGTAGATCTACACGGAATATACAGCTCTTTTGACGTGAGAGTAAGACTTCAAGGCCATTGCCATTGCTACGTAAAAAGGTTCACGACAAGGTGGATTGTACGGCCAGATATTCTCATCTCTCCCGGGAGGAATGATGCGGGCATAAGGTAGCCATATTAAGTACGGTTGTTACTATCACCCCTATTACTTAACCACGCATCACAAATCAGCTAGGATATGTATTTGCTGTGGATATACTGCTGACCCCATGAAAGCCGCATGCTGTTTGGCTAGAGATGTAGCACTTTTTACGAAGTTGTCTTATTACCATGAGGGGCAGCCTCTTCGGTGGGGAAAAGATGTACTTGATAAAGTACTCCTGACAATCGTCCTGTCGCACGAGGTAATTCCACAGACGTCGGACTCCCCGAAGCGCAGCTGCATTGGTGCCATGCTGGAATGGCGTATTGTCAAGTTCGAGTAGAACCTTGTACTTATGAATCGCCGGGCCTGAATGAACAAAATTGTCGACAACCATATTCGGCAGAAGATCAGCTGCCTTGGGGCCCTTGTCAAGTTGGTCACGTTGGATATTATACCAGTGCTGTAGTGCTTTTAGTGCGGCATGCGAGAGTGGGCTGGCGACGGGAAGATCATTAAAGTCGACGCCTGCCGTCTCCAGAAAACGTACAACATTACGCAGCACCAACTTCAGAACTGACAGGCTTAGAATGCCCCAGCTAAACTGTTCTTCGACCGATTCTCCCTGAGCGGGTTTGTTCGCCTTGTTATCTCGACCCTGTTGGGATTTGCTGTCAGCGGACTTATCGTCAAAGACATCCTCTTTCCAATCGTCTTCGATCTCATCTTCTTCGATATTCTCCGATGAGTCATAGTCGACCGGCTGTAAGTTCTCCTCAAGGTGCGGCTTGGAAAGAAGACGAGCAGCCTATAAAAAAAAAAACAAGCAAAATTACGATGAGGTCAGACAGCTCGTATTTACTGAATATATGAATACTATATTGACAGAAATCTGAGCAAGTCATGCTAGGACAGCTTGAAGTATTACATACGATTGATTGTGTGGGTGCAACAAAAACTTCTTTGTACGCTGGTCGGGCTTCGTTACGGTCGGCAGTAGAAGGTGATGTTGGCGCCTTTTCTGCCGCGAATTGCGGGAGGATTTTCATGTTCCATTTTAGTCGTTGGCGGTTTATAGCATCAAGGATGCTACTATCTTGGCCTGAAATCCGTTAGAGACAATGCTTAAATCAATCTGTGTGTTTTCTATATATGTTTTTCTGTTAGATTTTGCTAGAATTACGATAATCGACAAAATAACAAAGACGTCAATTGTTAATAACTCAGCTAGAGAAATAGACGGCAGTCGTAATCTAAGCCTACAGTAAAACGTACCGCTGTCACCGGTGGCACTCATATTTTGTGCGTTAACTGCGCCATGCGTCGAGGCCTTATTCTGAAACGCGACAGAGCTCATGGCGGCGGTTACCACACCCGCCAGATGAACTTTAAGCACTTTTTCCGCTCCTCCACCAAAGAGAGCTGCCCACATTTCTTCTGTCATCTTGTGGCTTACCAAACGAAACAGCACCTGACTGTCCCTCGTTGCAAGTGCGTGTACTGTTAGCGACAGATACACAGCGACGAAGGCCTCGCATAACAGCGTGTGCAGTTTCGGGGCGTCGTCGTCCCGATCGCGAGCCATCAGAGCGCGCAAACTCGGCACTCCTGGCCATTTTGACGGAGCCGACGTTGGTAAAAGGTCGCTGGCCGATGCCGAGCTGAGACGCTCGCGAGTCTGTGGCGCCAACAGGCTTAGGCTTCCATGCAATGCTCCTCCAAGGACTGCTGCCTGGGGCCCACCGTCTTCATCAACGGTGGATCTTGGCCCTCGACGAGTTGGCAACTTGTCGCTGTCACACAACGCCTGATAGATGCAGGCAGATAGTGAAAGACATAGATCACGTAGGACCATCACTTTCGTTAGCTCGCCGCGCTGTGGCAGTTGAAGCGACAAGTCTTGTGTAATCGTCAGTAAGATGTCGTGAGCCAATGATTGCACGTGTCGAACTGGGTCGGCCACAACCGTTTTATTTGAAGCAACACTAGCTGCTAATAATGGCAGGCTAGTCGGTACGGGCAGAGGTGACGCTAATAGCGCCTGAGGGGTACGAGTCTGCTGTAGTTCTTGCAGAAGAAGATTGAGTTCCATGCGAACAGCTGCAAGACCTCCGCCGTGTGCGCCATGAAGCGCCGAGTAACTCAGTAATGTTCGTAGAAGGGCTTCATTTGCCTGAAGTTATTTAATATTTAAAATTAGGTGATTGTTTAAATGGCGCGTGTCGTAGAAAAAGTACATCGATGGTTAAACGTCGGAAACGCGCCGACATTATTTAATGAAGTTAATGCGTCTCCTTTAATATATAAAAAAAGCTTTTCCTCGAAAAGGTAGCAAAATCGCTATATGTATTGCATCGTGGAATATCATAGTTCATAGCAGTTTACCTTTAACCAATGTTTACGACGTGCAGCCCGATCGATTTTATCCTCAAAATCTTTCTTATCCTGAAGAAGGACATCGCGCAACTTGACGGCCTCGGGTAATGCCTCGCCGGCTTCGGATGCCTCAACTCTTCCTACGAGCTGATCGGACCCCTCGTTGGCACCATAATGGCAGAGCTGCCGCAGAGCGGCCACACATTTCTCAAGCCACACATACAGCTGGAATCGTAGCAGGCCTCCGTCCACCTCGAGTCCCGTCGCAAGAGTTGACAACTCTTCCATCATAATTTTGAGGCACGCGATGAATTTCAGTTGTTGCGCCATAATGTCAATCACCTCAGACCCTTTCCGGTACGCGGCGGCTTCTCCTACTGACTGTAACAATTCAAGAGGCCAATTTGCTTTTAATTATCGATATAGCGCCTATCGAATTCTACGTTGGTAACTCAAGCCAAAAACTCCCAATAATGATTTTTTCAAACGTCTACGGCTATTCTGTCTGTGATACAAATGATAAAATCTGCCACCCTATTACAGACCTTTTCATTTTCACTGGATTGCGAAGCTTTGCGGTCATGTGAAGTGCCATTTAATTGACCGCTTCTCTGTTGTTCATTTGATACGGGTTGGCTCCAGTCAAAATCCTCTGCCCTTCCGCCAACCTTATTCAGGACCGGTTGACTCCAGTCAAACGCGTCCACATTTTGCGGTTCCGGTTGAGACCAGCCATATTGTTCGGCCTTCTGAGAGACCGGCTGCGACCAATCGAAAGCGTCCGCCTGGCACATTGTAATACAGAGAAAAATAGATAAAACTGCATGTAACAAGTCACCGGTCGGCGCGGTAGCCCAAATTGAAAAAGCCAAACACCGCTAATTTTAAAGTGAAGCAGATAGAAGATATAATGACGAAAGTATCCATAATTATCATAAATATAAAAAATAATGATTTCACCTTACCTGGTTAAGGTCATTATTACCTTTTGCGAGACTACAGGCATACTCCAGTCAAAATCTTCAGCTTTTTCTTCTTTTTCTATGGGAAACGACGACACGTCTTCCTTGGACGTAAATACGTCCGTGGATTCGGAATCGAGTTGGCAGTTCGGCAATCTAGAGAGCACCTCGAGTGCTAATGGTGGACAGCCTGCTCGGAAATAGGTGTGGGCCGTTGTAAAGAATAGGCGTCGCTCGAGAGGGGTGATCGTATCGGCCCCCTGGTTGTCTGCTCCGTTGGCCACGGAGTTGAAGCCGCTGAGCATGATGGCTCGTGACTGTCGGCGGTCCTTCATGAGACGGGCAAGATTCCGCCGCACTACGAATGGATGCGTACGAAGGTAAAGATAGAAATTAAAGACAGCGGGATCCGAACCGCCGGTCTGATCTTTGCCCTCACCGGCAGTGGGCTCCCTGTACGCTGGGTGCGAACAACCAATATCCGTCTGAAGTAGTGTCGAGAGAGCGTCCTCGTAACGCTTCAAAATCCAGTAAGCCATCGAACGTATAAACGGATCAGGATGCGCCTGCGATGCATGGTAGTCTTCGCCTTTTTCATTGCATCTATGTTAAACAAAGATTGTTCATCTTACTTATTGGCACTATAGGGTTACAAAAACAACATTCACACAATACTCGGGATCAAGAGTTCGATCACATAATATTGAAATGACGAAAGGCTAGAGCTCTGTAATACCGTGTATGAATCTAATAAACATCATATGCTAGGTTCGTGCTTTGTTTTGCAAAGGCATCACGTAATGAGTAATAAGTTCGGTAATGTTAATTTAAAACTCCGCACCGTCAATAGTCTCACTGACGCAACAATGACATATTGACGAACAATGACAAATTGCCGTAACAATGTTTGTGGGAGAGATTACTCACCCCAAAACGCTATTGTAGACGGTGGGTTTTAGGGTATCAGGATACGTCGCAACCTCACCTCCATCATATAATCGTACCAGGATCATTGCGAGTTGGAGGTCGTCCAAATTATTCAGACACACTTGCACCGCTGACTTAAGATCATTGGCCAGTAGGAAAAAGGCAGCGGCATGTTTGAATTTCTGCTTGCCGAGTAACGCGTAAGCATTTTTCAGTGCCGCCCTACGCCAACGATCTTCGTTGAAATTGTTTTGGAAGAACTCTGTCATTTTTTTGTCGCTAACCGAGCGGAATAATCCAGTTAAAATGTTTTTCTTCTTCAGCGCCATGTAGTAGAAGGACGCATCGAGAGGATTTTGCTGGGACTGGAAAGCGCTTTTGGCTACACGTTCAATCAACCTCTTAAGTGATGCATTGTTTTTGCACCACCAGCCAACACCTAGGTCCTTCAGGTCAGTCCATTTAAGGTTGTTTTGATTGAGCACTAGTTGGATGAGTTCATCCTGAGTCTCCGAGTGGAATGCCCATACGATTGAGTGCGGGGCTAAGCCCTGCTTTTGTAAAGACGCACGTTCAGACAGCGGTAGACACCGCATTAAATATGTGTGATGCCGAGTGGCCAATAAATAACGAAGACCGGAGTCATCCAATGCCTCGGTGGCCGCCTCGACATTCACTTCAGTGTGATGTGACTCGTGCTTGGTTATCGATACTGAAATCGATCAAGGGGCGATTAATAAGTTACCATCTTTTCCACATGACATGACGGTCCATTTCAAATAAACCCCTTTCCTCGTCGATCTATTGTTCGCTACTGTTCTCTGATAGGAAAAATTATCACCCCCTGGTTCATGTTATAAATTTTCAGAGTGTTCGACTTACCTGTAACATTCTGCGAGAATCGTTCAGTAATGTTGGACTGGAATGAAGCAACAGAGTCTGCCAGGGCAAGTAGATGCACCTGGTCTAGATTTGACAAACCTGGTAGACTGCAGTGAGTTAATACCTGAAAGCAAATCATTCACCATTCAGTCGCTTTCATTCACTTTAACGTGTTGTAGCAAACAATTAACGATGATTTGTTTCATCCCTAATAATTACTTAAGGTCACGTAAAGATGACCATCACGTATTCAATGCATATAAACAAGTATACGTACAATCAATTCAATTATCTTTTCGCTTTATTCAGAGTGGAATCGACAGTATTCCATTAGTCGTGACCCCCTACCTGAGTAAGTATATTAGCTTGTTGTGTGTCGAAATGATTCGGATTTCGATTGGTTCTCTCCGAGGCCGAATGTGTCCTGATACGACCGGATGAATCTTCGTTCAGCGTATTAAAGTTGTCCGTTGCGTCGTCGAACAACATTGAGTAGTCGTCGGTTTGCCGGACATTACGTTTGTGCTCGCCGTTGGTTCCAGATGTGGCCTTCCCTTTCTGATCTTTGGCCTGTTCTTGGCTTAGCACCTGGGTGTCAGCCTCAAGGAGCTTGTAAAGCGGTAGCGGTGGAATCGAGGTGATTTCCACATAGTCTAGGTGAACTTCCTCGGTAAACACGTTGTCGCCTGCTCCGGGTGAGGCTTGCGGTGTGGTTCCCGATGGCGCGGCCAACGAGTACGTTCGACTTTTGCTCCAGCTGTCCTGCGACAAGGCCTCGCGTTCCTCCTGTCCGGTGCCCTTCCTCAGGCACCGAACAAGATGAGCCAAGATGGCCTTCACGCGCTTGATCTTACCAAAGGCCAACAGCTCCATCAACTGTTTGGGATGATACTGCGGTAAAACAGGACACGCGAGGCGACTGGTCTCGAACAGACCGAAATCCGGCAGTAATTCCTTAATAAGCTGTCCTCCGGCGCCTATGTTCGAAGCGCCACCGGTTTGGCCGCCTGCAGTAGCTTGAGCTTTGTCTAAACCGATCTTGGCTGCGTTCGCAACCACCTGCAACGATGCGTTCCGTGTGAGATTGGCCGAGCTGCCCATTCTCAGTTGCGTTTCTTGCACACGACTCATGAGGTCGTCTTCATGAAGACACCGTTTTGTGTACGTTGGATCGCTAAATGTCTCCTCAGTGTTCTTGTGCACAACGTAATCTTCGGCAAGCGCTCTCTTATGGGATTTCCATTGTGAATAAACATGCATTTCGTTATCCATGCCGACGACAAGAATGCCATCCCGCACCCATGACAGCTGCATAGGAAGTGCCGGAAGACCGTCAGCTGTGTGCAGCTCAAGTCCACGGATTTGCATCCAGCGTAGACGACTCGACTCCATTTGGGGTGCCATCGATGACCGTTGCTTAAGCAATGGCCTGTGGAAGCCAGTTCTGCGGCATACCACGGTGGAAACAAAGAATAAGTCGCACTGACTTAACTGTAATCGAGCTAGTTTTAGATATAATTTAGCAAAATAATTGTAATATTTTTTTTTTTTTTTGATAACTCTAATATGAGAGTTATCAACTTGAAAATATATGATTTAACTAAAGAAATAGCTGCAGGATTTGCTTCAAGAAAATAAGTAAATAAATTACCCGGCAGAAGCGTTGGTCGACGAGGGCGCTGCATTGCATTGCGCAATGTCATAGGACACGGGCGCATAGAGCATCACCTTCGGGCCCAAAGCGACCGTAAGTATGTGCGAGCCATCTTCCGAAGACACCCAATCAAGCTGCATTAAGGATTTTTGAACTAGAACACATTGATTTCCCTGTTCAATGATCGACTTCTTGAGCGTCTGAAGGGTCGCGTAACTAGGAACGGACAGCATGCGGCTGAGATCGCTTTTCGATGATGATTCAGCTAACTTTTGTACGATGTGGTCCATCTGTACTCGACTTCGTAGGTTAGCATCATAGATTGATGTTAAGTCTACGTCATCCGTTCCCCTACCGCAGTACACTCGTGGTAACTGAACATTTCTGAAGCGAATCTATTAGAGAAGAACAAGGTCGACCCACAAGAATCACAAACAAGTCGAACAGTAAGATTCGTCATAACCTTAAAGTACTTATAGAAGCCTAGATATAGAGTGCAAGCTAAAAAATTTTGTCCAAAAAGGTTAGTTGGTTACTTGACACAGGTTTCCACAAAGACGCCGTCAATTTTATAAGAGTATTTTACCGTATTAACATTACAAAAGTCTTATCTCAAATAATCATTGCAAACGTTTTACATAGGTTTTGTTTTTAGCTTAATCTTCAGTGTGTAACGGCCATGAAATTTCATACACAAATTCAATATTAGCTCATCTCAGTATAAGCTGGAAATTTAGACCAGAAAAACAAAAAGCTCCATTAGTAATTCTGACCGTGTCTTCTAGAACCCACTCCGAGCCGCCGGTACTTTCGCACTCGTAAATGGCCACCGCAAGGTTGACGTATCGTTCGTCGGTGTTGCCTTTCGTTGGTCGAGTGAACGACGACCCCAGCTTGAAGGCCACAGCAACCCGGCCTGAGTAGGCCGCTGATACCGCCAGCGGAGAGCCGTCGACATCAATGGCGGACTCGGTCGTGTTCAGTACCATCCGCCATTCGGTCCACTGGAAGCTTTTAGAGCCGTCGTTTTTTTCGTCCTATTAGAAGAAATTCCGCACATATTTAATTCTTAATAATCTGGTCTTGTTTTTCTTAATAAAGGAGATTTATAGTTCGACACGAACATGCAGGTCACAAGTTTTAAATTCTGCCTGTTTATATAATAGTAGGCTTACCTGAGCGCATCTCCAGAATCTAGTCTTCCCATCGCTACACGCAGTACAGATCAGATAAGGCGAGAGGCAGGCCGGGTAGATATTACTCGAGCTGAGATGGCCTGCAGCCGGTTCAGCGTGAACAATTTCAACGCCGTCGGGCAGCGGCAGTTCGTGTTCACACAGCTTTTCGGTGACGATTTTAAGGGGGGATGCATGCAACAATGAATGCTCCGAGCGATCTGGTGTAGAACTACGAGAGGAATGACACGAATCTTTCGTGTCGTTAGACGTTACGAATGCTACAATGACAAACACAATGGTAAATCAAAAAATTAATTGCAATCTGTAAAAACAATACGAAGAAAACTAATATAATATTTTATTAATTAGATATAACGCAATGATAATAATAGATTTGAAATTTGGGTGCAGAACAACGGGTATTTTACGAACTTCTAGAGAGCGAAACGAGAAATCTATGGCTACTTTTAATCTGTAATTATATAAGTTATCTTAACGTTGTACTCCTAGCTGCTGCAGTATACGTACGATTCGTATCAGGGAGATCCTGTTTTAGATTATTCCTATTATTGGTAACTGCTAAATCTTCTTTAATCATCTCCGAAAGGCTGTGCCCGTCTGGATGTTGACGTTGGTTCGCTGAGTCGTTAACGTTGTGTGTTGAAGCAATCGTTAGTTTCCACATATGAATAACACTTTTACGATCCTTCTTTTCAATAACGACTAGATAAAAAGGCTCCCTGAAAATGGCCGAGTGCTGCAATTCTATATAGGCCTTGAAGCTCCTTCCCAAACGCATAAACTGCATGGAACCGTCACCGCATACACCAAGGATCAAAGTTTCCTAAGGAAAAAGGCGATAAAGTATAAAAATCGAGCTCATAATATAGTCATATATCTTATCTCAAATATTCAAACGAAGACGCTAATCTTATGGAATTATAGTTATGAACATTGTTGCATCAAACACAAACAGAACCCTGCCATTTACTGCTACTACTCTGAGATGGCTAAGATAAACTGAATCTGGTTTCAGTTCCTATTGCACAAAAGTTTAATATTTAGTTCTGAAGTATTTTGCGATTCGAAGGTACGTAGAGCAAAGGGCGAGTGTCTGCACGCACCTGGAAGACATGCAATAACTGCGTATGCTGCCAGTCGGCGACGGCGTCTGCAATGGCATCTAGCTCAATGATGCATCCGGGTCTTGCAGTACTCTGCAACGATACGATGTTGAAGCCTTCCAATAGCTGTTGAACATGCGTTCGTTGTCCGCCAGGACCGTCATGTAATGACAATGAGCTGGCCGCCGAGCTAACGCTCATTGTATCAATTGCTTGCTGTTGTCTTTTGCGAGCCATTACCAATTCTGCCAGAAGACTGCGTGCATCAATAAGCGCCTGGAAAGGAACAATAACAATATTAGAGTGGTATGACAAGGTTACAACGCCTACAAAGCTCTACTTTATGTCCCCGAGGGAGCCGTATCCGTATGTAAACAGGAGTTTTTTTTACATATGTAGTATAGTATCAAATGCTTTGTAGATGTAACAGTCTCGCGACCGTTACCTGATAGACGCGAAGTCTGGTACCATCAGATGCGACGAAACAGGCCGAAGGCGAATTCGACACGGTGCCTAATGTCGACGAAGGAAGTAGTGTTGGTATCCAAGCGACGTTCGAAAACGCCGATAGATGCAGGCTGTTAATACGTGCGAGTTCGCTAATGCCGCCCGATTTGCTGAGCGGGCCAACACTCTCCACTTTCCACAAGATAAGTTCTGAGCAGAATCCCCCATTACGGCCGCTCACGCATTCACTTGTTGGCGATAGAGTAGTCTGTGGTGAGTTATGGTGAGACGTTGTCAGCAGTAGCGGCAAGACCGGATGGCATGTAATATCGTTGATCCGGAATCGATGACCACACACGCGCTTATTTGAGTGCGTGACACTTAGCACATGTGTCAAACTTTCCTCATCCTTGAATGTCAGATACCACAGGTTCAGAGACCCGTTTGAGTGTTTCGAGATCATCGACACTGTTGGAGTGCAGGTCCATTCCTTAGCTTGTAACATAAGATCCTTGGTGGCGTCGCCCCCTGGTGTACTTTCGAGAGCTCCCAGTCCCCGCAGGACTGTCTTAAGGTCAAGACCAGCTGTCGGCAGATAAAGCGAGATATTCTGCGACATAGTCGCCGCATCTCCAAGAGCGATAGCGTTGGAGATTCGCGAATTAAAACTGACCTGCGGCTGGCGGAATGCTCCTGGAAGAGATTCATCGAGATAGTCGACTATCCACACGAGGAAGCTGCCATCAATTGGATGAACTGAGAATAGCAGATCACTGGTTTTGTGCCATTGTTTTAGTAGTGCTTCAAGTTTACTCTCAAGCGCTTCACCTAAACAGTGATCAGCATCCTTGGGTACGTTAATTGGTGCGGGGCCGTGTTTCTCGTTAGAGCCATTCGAAGCCGTCGACTCAGAGTGAGAGATTTTATCATCTTTGGAGTGCGCAGTAGGCGAGCGGTCAGACATGACCTCGTCTGCCGGCAGCGCCTCTTCAGCAGGTTCTGGTTTGTTGCGTTCCGCTTCTTCAGCTTCCTGCTGTTTACGGATAGCTTCTTGAAACGCTTTAACTGACAGATCATGCAGGAGTTTTTCCGCACCCCGACTAAAACAAATCTCTTTATTGTTCAGCCAATGTAGAACAAAATGGCCGCCCGCGTCATCTGCGCGATCCTCATCTGACCGCATGGCCGGTACGAGCGGAATATCTGTAAAAACAGAAAAACGTAGGACAAATTACTCCGCCCACTAATGTTTACACACTAGTACAAAAGACACGCAAAATAATGCTATTCATGTGTACTAAACTTGATGCGGCTTCCAACATACCTGATTCAGCATTAATCGACGCTGCCAAATGAAAGTGGACGCCAGGTGCAACTCCACTGCCCTGCAGGGCAAAGTTGTGGAAGTCATTAATAGAGAACGAGCTCGGTAAAGAGGGCATTGTTTCGACAGGAGCTCCGTTGGCAATGATGCCTGTGGTGTCGTTGGTTCCAGCGGGGGTTGTTCCTACCGGCAATGATCCACCTCCATGTTTCGCCTTGTGCTCGCTGAGCGACTTGATGTGTTTCAGCTTGCTCATAATCTTATTCTTATGTCGCTGCACCTTCGGCTGTTGATTAGCGAACGCCTCGATCTGGCTAAGATTAATGAGTCCATCTTCCGGTAACAATGTTTGAGACCATAATCGGCAAATACTGTCTTTACAAGAGGTGACTAGCATATTAGCGACACAGCCACGAGGCATATACTTAGACGTGTGACGCCACGAAAGTGCCGTGACAGCTCGTGGGTGCGGGAGATAAACGAAATTGAAGAGCTTCTGTTGAGGCTTCTTATCGCCATTGGCTAAAGGGAAAGAATATAAGGGATAAGATTAGTCGCACTGATAATGCAAATACTTGTTGCTGTATTTGAAAATAATTCCGAAACCACAATGGCAGGATTCCGGCAGAGCTCACTTATTGTAAGGAGAATATTTTCTGAATATCGTATAACTGTAATAATTAAACTTTTAATCTACGAGAGACTTTTTACTAGGGACCTCACTCTATCGTTTAACACGTTTTTTCTGCAAACAGAACTTTGTCTGTTTCTATACATAGCTAACAAGACTTACCATCGCAGGTCTCGTACCAAACCTTAGCAAGGCGATCATTTCGACCCGCTGTGGCAAACATGGTTCCATCGTTGGCGAACTTGAGAAAGTGCACCGACGACGAAGTCGCAATCTGCCACGATTTGAGCCATGGACTTGAATCCGAAATAGGCTCGTCATCCTCCGCTCCCATCGTAAATTTAACACCTGTAGAAATAAACACAACGAAAAAAATTCAAACATAGAAGGGCATACCTTTATCGCTAACGCCATAAATATCCCTACCTGCTAGTTACGGATCTAGCGACGCGCCGATCCTGGTGAATAGATTATAGTAACGTGTTACAGCGATTTTTAGCTTTACTTTGACATTTTTAAGCATGTACGATTTGATCTACACAAAAGAGTTATTCCGTGCCTTTTTCCGAGCAAACAGGTCGAGTACAAAAGCCTCATTCATTCTAATTAGATAGTTAACCTGACGGGTATAGATTGAATCGATGCAACTGCATTAGGTAGAGCTACACGTCGACAGTGAGCATTTGCAGTGTTAGCCGTTATCGTTTCCTACGTACCCTCAGCTGTCTCATCCTTAGGGAGATAGTTCCACAATTCGAGATTGGATTCGGTGGCAACGAGCAATCTCGTGGCTGAGATATTCCATGAAATCACTTTGACGGGACATCCGATGTCCACGGACGCTGTCTCCACCCAGCGATAATCGAGTTTCTAAATTTACAGAATAAAAAGCCAAAATAAGGTGTCGACGACTCGTATTTGTACCGGGTAGATTTGGCGAAGTCAGAGGCACCATCGTAGGTCTGCAGGTAATTCATGCGGTAGTTTCCTTAATAATTAATTCGCCTAATTATTTAGTCCCTTTTTTGAAATGAATACGAAACATTTCAGATAATGGTCTATTGCTCTTTGTTTTAAGCTTACTAAGAACTTCGAGATGACACTTACAACTTCACATTAGTATGCTAATTATCTTACGGTCAGCATGCAGAAGATATACATTAGTTTGGCCAACATTTTTTAATACTCACGTGCGCCGAGTTATTGTTTAGAAGAGGCGACGGCTCAAAGATTGAGATCTTCTTAGCATAGGCAGCAGCAATTTTTCCAACGTCATTAGAACAATCTAGCGAAGTAACCTGCAACAAGCAGTGATGTATCGTATTAAGCGTGCGACAATTACAAAAGAGGTTACGTATAAGAGGCGCCTGTAAACTTTTGTGGCATCGATTCGGTGTGTCAGTTTTGGATAAGTTGTAGTTTTTAGTTGCCATGGCACAATAACAGGACTTAATTTCGACGGCTGGCGTAGATACACGAAGTAGAAAAATTCGACCGGAAAGGCACCATAGCGGAAAAGAATATAGCTATACCGTTATGCATCTTCTAATTATTGACATGGAGCTAAAAAATGTGTAGTCTTCAGAGATCATAAGTAATCTACAGTATCACAGAAAGAACATCTGTAATAATCTTAGATAAAACAGCACAGCTTTAAAAGTTTCCATTAGTGAAAAACAAACCTGCACGTTCCCATGGCACACTCCCGCAATTATTTGAACCCTCTCGAGCTCCGATGACAAAATGACGATATTACAACCCGCGGCATACACCTAAAACAAACAAACGCCACAACATTATGATACAAATCTATGTAAATTATTAAATTAGAAATTTTAACAAAAGACGGAATACTATTGGAGACTGTTTTGCCACCTGGAATAAACGAATTTCTCAGGACGCGTTCAACGCTCAGTCAATATATGTGCTTTGTTCTGATAATACCAGTCAGTCAATAGGTTGCGCTGAATTACAGAGAAAGAGTAATTCATTGAGTATGGAACCAGCCTTTCAAATGTACGTTTCAAAGTAGAAAGGTGAACTAATGCTAAGAGAATCGACGAGCATCTCTTACTAATCTTATGTATGTAATGTATATGGACGTATGTACGTAACTTATATGTACGTAAATAGTTCGACACTAGGATGTAAAATGTGTCGTCCTTCTAAACAGACCTTTGCCAACACGTAATTCGATGATAACATTCACTCTGAAAACCCAACCGTCTCTTCTTATTTTCTTATTCTTATTCCATATATTTAACTCTTTACTTGAGTTAGATTTCTCAAAAGTTTTAAAAAACTCAGCACTGATTTTCGCGTGTTTTGTTGTAGCGTACAGTTGTTGGTAGGGAAACATTTATCGTTGCTTACGAGACGAAAATAGCCGATATTTGTATACCTAATTGCTATGGCTGTACCCTATGATTAGATTCGTATTTTACGTGCGCATATATAGATATATAGACGAAAACTGCCGAATACTTTAGCTCGCTCAGAAACTATACGGGAAATAGAAGGACAATCGTCGTCTGTACAACTCTGTAGCTACTGCCAATCTTCTTTTTATGTTCAACGCTACACTCTCACTTATGGTTATTGCAAATATAATGCTCAGCTGTAGGGCCATTGAATTTACTGTATTGTTAAGGTGATGATCGTGAGAAGAAGATTTTCCAATGCTGTCTCTTGTTACGTTTACGTAATAAGAATAATGCAAGCGCGACGGTTGTACAACTACTAAACTTTAAATGATGTATTCGTATACTTCGTGGCCTTTATTCATTTGCGATAAAAAAGGTTGGCTTAGAGGGCAGAATGCTTCCTTAGATGGGATTTGGAGGTTTGATAGTATAAACGACACTTACATTGTAATGACTGCTTGAACACTAATGTCTTATTCCCCAGCGGTGGACAACCACCAAAAAGGCTATCAAAATGCGTCTAAAAAAAAGTCGTATCTAAGCGTATTATAGCTTAATTTTCACTCCACCAAGTTTATCCAAATTTCTGCGGATGTAATTTGCTCGATTCGCCTTAATCATCAAAAATACAACGCTCGAATTATATGTACTGCAACCACAGCAGTATGTTCGACCTTGAACAATCAAAAAACCCTTGAAAATCTGTGGCAGACGATATGACATTAGGTAAAACTGTTTCATTCTAGAAAACCCAATATCTATCTACTTTGTCGAAAGGTTTCGGCGAGAGATCACGATCTCTCGACCAATCTATTCATATTTTTCGTTCAATTTCTATCAAAAGCACATTGTGATGGGAGAAGAGGTACGGAATAGAGTGCCCGCTAAAGCCACACTCCGACACATGTGTTCCATAGATATACCTATCATAGGCATTAGGTGCAGAGAAAACAAGAAATATAGTGCCACGCTTCTAACTGCTGAGGTTTGATCAATCATCTGAATTGACCCTCCATCAAGTTAGTCGCCACCAGCGCGGAAACTTAACAAGCTACTGGCGTACCAAATAACTAACTACCACCGTGTGCGTATCATAGCAAATATATTACCAGTATAAGCTTTGCTCATTCAATTTTTTACACACGCTGTTTTTCAACACAAATAAACTGACTGTGTTGATACTAAATTATATAGTTGTGAATCTTCTTATGTTCAGACGCATGTTTTATTGTGATGCGTCTGATATGTGTATTTTATGTCCCTACGTATACACTGGCTAAGCTGAACTACTTGCACTGTCGAAATCTTAACGCTTTATTGAATGTCTTTTCTTCTTTTCTCACAGGTATTGGACTATTATTTTGATCTTCAGGTCTCATTTAGACTCTTTTCTTATAAAAATAGTATTGGTGGCCTTATTTAGACTTTTGATTAAAAGTTGCGTTGAATGATATACTACGTTCATTGTGAGGACAACGGACACTGCTCGACAGTCCCGTAAGCTCGCGAAATTCCTCTTGTTCTCATGAATCTGATTTGCCACCTTTACATTCAGAATGAAACAAGCTATTTTACAAGAACAACGCGACCCAATTATCGTTAAATTGATGAAACGTTTGTCAAAAGTTATTTCAGAATTATTAATTTTTACTTCAATGTATACCCAGATACGTTTGACAACATCCATATCTTTTAATTGGCGGCTAAAAACCCAGACGTGGAAAAGGCAAAGATTTAAAGGTTACGCGTGTTAATCAAGCCACATTTTCCTTAATGGCAAATATTATGAGAGGAATTGAAGTCGACGTACAGCGTTCATTCAACGATTTACCATAAAGTGTCGCCTTCATTTCAATTACGATTTGATGACGACTCAACCAGTGCTCTAGATAGGTCATGTCTTACTATGGGGAAAAAAACTATGGGTCTGCAACGAAGTAAAGTCACCTATAAAGCGTATCTTTCTCACCGCAAAAAAGAATCTATTATCCCGCCTCCAAATGATGAGCCTACAAATGTCGTGATTCATAAGAGGCCAAGGACTGGCGAGTTAGTGGGTACATGTAGGCTTTTTCATGTACAACGTGTGTTTGTATATTTAATATATTAAGATCTACGACAGTTTCGATTAACCGAGATCGGTGTGCTCCGTTTTTGATCTACGCACATCACAGGGATGGAGTCCCCCCAATAACCCAAATTCGGAACCAGAAACCGATCTAAATGATCTTTATTGTCAAAATAAACAACTCCCTGCTAAAGTTCCTTTGTTTAATAACGTATATGTATCCTAGCACGAACTAGAACTTGCAGCCAGTTTGCGTTTTCTTCGTGCAAAAGACAAGCCTGGTGGGTGCGTTATTTTTAGCAAATGGAACAATCGTCTTCAAGTTGACTAGCTGGCTGGCTGGCTGGCTGGCTTGCTTTCGCCTATCCACCACCGTTGTTGAACTAGTTGAGACCTTCTACGCAGCAAACTCTGTCCCGCGTTTGTAGGAAACCCCACGCACTTGAACCGTTTGCTCTCTCTGCACTTGCGCCCCTGACAGCGCTCTTCTATTGTAAAGCAGCCAGCCCAGATCAACAAGATCTAATCAAATACGCTACACATTTCATAACATATTGATACACTAACGATGTTTACCCATAAATTGCTTTATTCCCCTGTAACACTAAAAAGATTAGCTCAGCGATATGTATGTGCCGTGAAATATTTAAGCTTAGCTCAGTCAGAAGAGAAGTGTTACTTTTAACTTAAGCACACATTTGGTTACATTTTTCATACTGTTTTTAAAATAAAAGGGCAAGTTTTTAAAATAGAAGATTTATTTGCACAATTTAAATTTGCACAGCAATACGCAACTGTAGGCGCATTTCTTCTTTTCAGTCGATTCAGGAAATTTTTATGTCACCCTTTTCTGCTGCCACTCTTTCCAAGTTAACGCAATTTACAGTGAATAGATGAAAATAGCGGCAGCGGGGTCTAGGGATAGCTAATGCGCATCTCATCGAGTACGCTGCCATCGTCAGCAAGAACGTGCGGCCGTCGCTGGCTTAAATTTCAACACTGGCAAATGGACACCATATCGTTTCATAAATCTGTTGGGGAACCCTCAACTAGTTTTAGTAGGACATATCCCGACTGGGCCTTTTATTTAGTAGAAGAAATCCTTGATACCGAACGGAAAAGCTGATTCCGAAAACTTCTTGGAATGCTAAAAACAACCGCAAGCATTAGAAAAAGAAAATAGGGTACCTTTTTGTGCGGGTTCTGACCCCTCACGTACGATGTTTACATAGCTAACAGCACCATTTGGAGTATCTCCTACAAGTGTACTTAATTCACGTGATCGACAAACATCATCAACCGCAGTTGTACTTTAACTGCGTCATGTTTATACGATTTTTTATAAAAAAAAAAAGTCACATTTATAACGCTCATTAAACTAGTTCAGCTTTGTCTATCCTAATTGGTATCATGCGACTCGGCACTGTAACATGTACTTCACTAATATTACTACGCTATTAGAAAAAGAAGTACGGGATAAGCCAAAGCTTCGATCGACCAACACTCATTTTGGCCGCGGATTAACCTGGCTGCAGTAACAGCAATTTCTAGACAAAAGAAACAACGAAAGTCCAATTCTCGTCGATACGAGGAAAAGGACAACTTTTCATGGAAGCAGGGACGGCGGTCACCGCATGATGTGCTACAGTATTATTCACCGATACGCATTATCTTAGTACTTTCATGAAGATGCACCCTTACACCAAACTAAAAGTTGATGTAGTTTTTTTTTTTGTCACGGAGTCCATTACGCCCACTGTCTCAAAGCCTCTCCAGACAACACATTTTCTTTACTAGCTATGGAGTGAAGTCCACATAATAAATATATCAGCAAGTGTCATATAAATGCGATTTACGAAGTCGTCATTAGATGAAGTGAGCGTTGCAAGGTTGAAAGGATTTGAGACACACAAGGAGGAAAACCTTACACAGAGCTGAAGGCAGATAATGGCTGAAACGCTACATATAGGAATGTAGTACGAGGGTATGACATTTGCAATCGTTAGATGGCTCCCGCCAACTCCATAGGGCCGATTTCATTAACTCTGTTAAGAGTCAACTCAAACTAAACTCCGGAAGCCGTTCGCAGTAAACTGACTGCTCCCAGAAGTCTCTTTTACTTTTTCATTGAGCCTCGCACTTATCTTTGCAAAAATACCCACTGATGGCACAAAACTGCTACAATCTTAATTATAAAAAGTGTATATATTCTCCTATCTTGTGCCACATCGCACTCGCAAGACTTGCCAAATCCGAAAAGCCTGCGCTACGACTCAAACGTTCGATATTAAATAAGCCATAAATACGATTATCTAAGGCGGACTGGCTTTAACCTTTAATTCACTATATTGGGAAGCTAAATTGTTAAGATTTTACCAAGTAGCTATCTAAAAAAATGCGAATTACCTGTTTCACCGGCGTTTCATTGTCTGCTAGTTTTAGATACTATAGATATATACACTATAAAAAGCACTTATAAGCTTGTCCTGTCTTTCCTACCGGATTACCTAGTTTGTTTGTAAATGATCTTGTTTTGTTTATTTGTTTGATTATTACCATAGATCGATGGCACTATGTGTCTACAGTTAGCAAACGTAAGTTCCTAATGCAAATGAAACTTACCGTAAATGGGACCCCCTCAACCGACCCGACGGAATAACAATAATCCCCTGGGTTTACGGCCCCCGTCAACACTTGGTGTAGGTTCATCCTCGTCGTTCCCAAGCAGCAACCGGCCTCTAAGGGGCAATAGCTCTCGTCTGCCAATGATCACGACGATCCATTGAGATACTCCGAGGTTACAGCGCAGCACACACTGGGAGGAACGCAGCCACTTAGTTCGTAAAATTCTCGCGGATAGCTTGATTGATAGGTAAATGAGTTCAGCTGGTGAGTCGCGAAATCCAAAAACTGCTAAAGAGGGCACTTAGACAACGGAGGATGTCACTCACAAAAAAACGACTACCATGTACTCACGAAGATACTCACGGGGAGCAGTTACGCTTAACACCCACGAATTTGCAAACAAATAAATAAGGAAACACGTTAAAAAATCACTGTAACAACGGCGGCGACAGCGGAAACGATGTGTCTGCTTTTGGTTTCTTTTCGAATAAGCACAATCTCCCCACTTGAGCTGTGTATTTTTTTCAAGGTATATGTACTTTACCGGCTTGACTTGTTTCACTCTGTGTACCGCAATTCGTAATCAAACATTTATACACATATTTGTACTCTGTCCTCAGGTGATACACGATTGATTAACCGATCTTTGAGTCTCTGTATTCCAAACCTATTCGCACTTGCTTTGCTCACCTACGACGACCAAATCACAATCAGCGTATGCTCTTCTATTGTAGTGCAATTTTACGATACGACAATTTCCCTGCGAAGCCAACTTGGGGAAGTCGTCATTGTTACGGACTAGTTAAACGGCGTAAGGCGATTCCTTGCTCGGGATAGCTGTTTGGTAGGAAATCCCTAGTTGGTCGCTACGTCAACTCATGCTTGAATCGGCGTCTATTCGCTAATACTCTTTACTCGCGGACAATGGCAATTACGAACCGTAGAGTTACGCCGTGCTTCACGCCAACCTCTTCGTCACACTAAACCTTGTTGTTGTGATTGTTGTTGTCGTCGTCTAACGATGTATGCAATATGCCTGACAGCCGGGGAGTTAGTTATCGGTGAGAACATTGAACTGCGGCTGATCGATGGTAGAGCTGTCGCCGGAAGTCGAAGGGTTTGGCAATGGCATCACTGAGAACAACCAGCAAAATATCAATAGCAGTAAATTCACGAGCACCAACACTGAAGTGGGAACATTGACAGCAGACAAAGCTAATGCTGCGCCCAGTCACTTAATCACAATGCGATCAGGTCGATATTAATATGATCGCAGACGATATAGACGTTAATCACACATGCAGATTGCATATAATTGCAACTACTGTCAGTGAGCTATTGCTATTGTAGCAATGGCAGCTCGGGATACGAACTCACCCTCGACTACCGTTCCTGACGATGATCACCGCAAGGAATCAGGTGTAAATATACGGTGCTTCTGTTAGTAAATGGAGTCTTGTGGAGTAAATGCCGTTGATTAGAAAAACAGGGTTGCGGTAACTAATCAGATCGATAAGCGTCACACGTAATACGTATACGTGAGGGATACAGATGGAAAGCCTTTTCGATCGTTCTCTGGGCTCTGTGGGCGTTTTGACAAACCCCTCGGCAACGACAGCAACTACGAAATGGTGACGGCGGTAGCTGCAGCGAATATTTCGTTAGCACAGATTCTTATGGTGGCTGCCGACTGGGGCCTACACAGAAAGATGACTTGTCGTATATCGACTCCACTCAATTGTATAGTGAATTTCACACTATTATCACTGACCAATATCTTTCTTTCTCACGTTAACATTAATTTCCTTGTTAAATATGATCAGCTAGGCCACTGCTAAGTCTTGTCTACATTAGTAACGGCTAGAGAGTAGAACAACTAGCAAACCGTCGGGCCGTGTGAGAAAAGGAGCACCTTTCCACCCCCTTCTCTCAATCTTCACTGTGGGTATATAGTTTCCCCGCCCGTCTTCACTGGCCTTTCCAGTGTAATTTTTTTTCAGGGGAAACGATTATCAATGTCTGTTAGGTTGTCGTCGCTAAATAGTCCTGGATACTCACACTGTTTCCACAAATTGTATTGTCTCAACGAGCAGCAGCTGTAATACACTCAGCACCAACAAACATTTCTCCTGCCGCACTTGGAGGTCTTGTGAATCGAGCCGAAGTCGTCCATGCTCCACGATTCATCGCATCGCGTCTATATAACAGAAAGGAACACCGACAGGCGAATATTGTGCTATCATTTGTAATAATGCTGGTGATAGTATAGGAAGTGATAGAGCCACTAGCCTTGACCACTAGCGATACTCTACGCTCTGCGTATAGCCGCTGCGTTCTCTCTTTGTCTGCTGCGGCTGCTGCCGCCGCTGTTACTGTTTGTCGTGCTGCGCTAAAGCTACATGCCCGTCACCAGCAGCAGCAGCAGCAGCACCCCAGCGCACGGCACATATAGTCGCGGTTTTTCTAAATCTCTCGCGGCAGAGGCGCCACTACCGCACTGTTGTAGCAGCATACTTGTGTGTTGTGTAGCAGTAGTTCGAAACAGTTCGACGATAAATAGCTTGCAGGAGCGTAAACCTACGGAAGTCGCTGACTGATAATGGAAGTACTCGTAACAAAAGCAGCTGCTGTTAGGGTTATAGCTGTCGTCGTAATGCAGTCACCTGACAACACTGGGCAACCATCTTAGGAGAGGGAGAACGACCGTGCCGCTGTTGCTGGCATCGGTCGGGGGTGACGAACGGACGTGAGGGCCGATCTGTCCGCCTGTCCGTCCATCCATTCGACCGTGCCTAACTCTATAGCCACAGGAGCCTAAGTGTAATGTGTCGGCTAAACAGGTATGAGCTGATGTGCGTGAGTAAGTGGTACCTATGTGTCCTGTTCGCCCGGTGTTACTGCCGTTATCATCCGCTTGCTAAGTAACTGTAGCTACAGCAGACGGAGAAGCTGATAGCTGCCTTGCACCGCCTTTGGCGGTCAACGCGATATTAATATAACAGATAATATATATATATAATGACAATTATAGAGAAAATCCTAATAAGCATACCTGAAATGTGCCAAGCAGTTATGGACCACGAATAGTTGTAGATCGAATTTGAACCACTCTCAGAGCCTTAAAGTTAGCGTATTCGATGCGCTTTTACTACAATGCTCCAAAGTAGACAAGAGCACAATTCGTTCGAATTCGTGACGCTCCTAATTGCTACGAATTGTGGACATAACAAAATGAAGAACGACGTTTGAGCAATCCTTGCTAAACATTCAAGGCAATACTTTTAAAATACAGTCATTTATCTAAATAAAATGATAATGTTAACGATGTTTATAATGTGATCTAATCCAATTGAACGTCCTGCAAATATCGCTTTCTAATGTATTTCATTATCGTAACCAGCCGCGATCTACTTATTGCAAAAAGGAGCCACTACTACGCTTTACAAAACAATATTTTAACCTGTTCAACGTTCCGTAATTATTCCTAACTTTTTTAATAATTTCAGTTGTTATTGCTCTCTCAGTTCTTACCATTATTCTGGTCAGCAGGTTAGCTGAGTTGCGTAGAGTGGCATCTGCGCAGGCCGCCGGCTGAGAGCGCCTGCGGGAGCAGCCGCAGGACACCGAAGAAGTGGAAAATGTTATAAATCTATGATTCTTTGGAAGACGGCTCTCGGACTTAAACTTCTAAATAAAAAAAAACTGCTCCGCTTTTAAGAAAACATTGCCCTAGTACGGGCCATGCGCGAATCAGTAGTAGCTCATCACAACAACAATGCACTCATTCATTTGCCTGCATCGAGCTGCTGCGCCTTCGAGGAAAGAAAAAAATCTCTGCTGTAGGAGCCGCACCGATCTGCAGGGCATGGGAAATAACTAGCTGGGCTGTTTAGCTAGAAACAGGCTGGGTATAGGATATTCACAGACTAGCACCACACAACGCGCTTTTCGGCCAGCTGTGACAGTTTTTAATTTCTGGCCTTTTTGTCGCGCACATTGTCCGGCGTATATCCCTACCGCTAGTGCCTTAGTTATGCTGCGCTGGAAAAGTCTACAGTGCCCGTAGTTCGACCGTTTATGTCGTGTAGCAAGGTCCGGAATGTGACAGTCTTGGCACAGACACGAACGGAACTCTGGAAAATGTACGTGTACCACAGGACACTAATTCGATTCACCCTCTACAGCAATGTAAAGGGAGCGCTTCAACGATGAAAAGGAGTTATCCTCTCTAGGAAGGAAAGACTATCGAGTGACGCGATGTCTTTTCAAAAGCGCTTCGAGCATACTTGAGTTCATTGTTTAGCATGATTTATAATCGTGAGATGAAAGGGAGAAAAGTGATGAATGAACTTTTTAAACTGAAGATGTTAACGGTTAATAGAACACCAGCAGTCGTTTGAAGCTTGCTGTTAAAGTAAATGAGGATTAAGTTCAGTTTGATACGTTTTTCGGGTATAAAAGCGCATAGTATCCGGTTGTAGTGGAGGAGGCCGGCAACACACGAGTACGCGTGGTCTCTCATTGTCTCCCAGCTATGCACACTACGATTTAATGTAATACTCCTTTAGCAAAAATTGAAAGCGAGCGATTTTTTCGTATGAGTCCGAACCACGTTATTGCCCTTAAATGCTCAATAAATATGCTTTGTGTACCGAAAAAGAAATTTTGCAACTGCTTTGGTATATAATTAGTACAGATACCGTAGAATTACAAACATTCTAAACGTTTATTAGATTATTATTAGGAAGAAACAGGGATTATCCGAAGGCTGCCTTGTATCGCCATCCAAATTACGATACTTAAAAGATTTGAAATGAAAGTAACTATAATTTAGACGTATTTCGTAAAAAAGAACAATTGCAGAAAAAGGAAAGTTACTTTTGGAACAACTTGTATCAATACCTACTTGCTCTACCCATTTTTAGATGTGACTTGATTTCTGCTTTGATGCTTCCTAACTTATCCAGCTACAGAATTCTCTGTTATCGTTTTATTTCATCAGTTGGCTTCTCTTCTAGTGTTTTCACTATTAAGAGTAGCTATGAGCCCTCAAAGAAGACAGAACTGGCGATTTGTTGGAGTTGTAGGCGGTCTTTTTGGAACAATTCTTCTAGCCCTGTACCCGATAGCCATTCAACCGTATTTGGACTCAAGCGAATGGAAAACCACACAGCAGGTGTGTATGTACATTTGTACAGATGCCCGTATACATATACACTTAATAAATACGCTTTAATTTCGTTTGGAACTAGTATAGTTTCATTTCATTTGGATTTGTTTTTATTTTTTTGCCTCACCCATAGTGATTGATTAGGTCATAAATCTTTTACAGTCATTTTCCATAAAGACTGTGGAAAAAAACCGCTTAGTCAACACAATTTTATTTAGATTATCTATCAAACACACACACATATAAATGGGCATTAAATGGGTTCAGATACTCGCTGATCCGGGACAACTAGAATTTGCATTTATAGATATCCATAAGAACAATTTGTTTCGGTTTTTGTCGAATTGGAAAGTGAGTTCTGACGAGCAGACTGATTATGATTTCAGCATACGCGAAAGAGTATTGTGCAAGAAGAAGTTCAACCAGGAGGCATGAGGGTGTGGTCAGATCCCTTTGAGCGGAAAAAACGGTAACTGAGCGGAAATCGGACGCCGGAACTGTCTTCACAGCGCTTCTGCATCGTTTGAATTATAAATTATAAGTTATAGCATGAGCATATTAGTGAAAATATAATAAATAATTTGAAACAATTATAATACGTTTTATTTACATAGTGTTTTATATATATACAATAATTCAGATTTCCCTAGCTATCTCATTTACGACGTGGCAGAGATACAGAATGTTTTAGTTTATAGACTAAACACTTGTGAATTTATAATCGTTATGATGATACTGATAATGTAACTCGCTGAGAAGCCATTTTCCGTCTATGTTTATTTATTGTATGTATGACAATCTTGAATAGTATACTAAATATAATAACTATTAGTAACTAATAATGTGCCTTCGATGATTAGAAATTACAATAATGGACCTAATATTATTATTTAACGAAGGTAAGCGAAAACGTTCGGTTTTTTCAGGTTCTTTTCGGAGTTTCCATAATCACCGTTTGTTAAATCCGATAATAACATACGACTGACTGCATTTTTACGTTGCCTGTCTGCTTGATCAAGCGACTTGTGTTGGGAATTGTCCATGTGCTTTTTGTTTCTAGTCCCATATTTTTTACGTAAAAGGTTTTGAGTAATTGGCACCGATAATTTTACTTTGAACCCCCTTCTAAATTTTATTTTCTCTAGGAATATGTAGTGAATCCTGGGGAGGCTTTTCTTCATTTTTTCTACCGCATGAGAAAACAAACTCAGTATACTATTAACGTTGTTTAAAAGTCAAAAGTACTATTAAGGTCTTCTACGCATGTCACAGTGAGCAAAAGTAAAACGGCTAGGTGGGATCATTCTTGGACTGATAACTGGTAACTTATCACACGCTGTTCCCACAGCTGTGGAGAAATCTGTTAGCAAATGCAACGAAACTGAATAATCACAGAGTAGAGTTCAGATTTGCACCCTTTTATACTAAGCGTCCTCTTGGCTTTTGACGCAAACTGAGATCAGGTTCTCTTTCTCAATAATCTCTTCAAGTTCATGATAGGTATGGCCAGTTTTACAGCAAATCTGGTCAAAACTAAATTCGCCAGTGAAGTATTGGCGGATCCCCTCCGGAGGTCCTTGATGAGGCCTAATTACAGTGCGTTCACATCTTTGGACGCTCTCATCAATTGGAAACTTGTGCAGTCTACAAAAAAGAAAGCAGAAAAGAACAGAATTTTTGTTTCTTTTTTTTTGCAATGTTTGCCATATACGAATTGGGCCATTTTTGGCTCAGATAAATTGTAGTTTCCTTATTTCGTATTATGTTCGTAATGGAAAAAAGAAAGGATACTCATTTTGAATGGAATAGTTCGTTTCATACCTCATCCTATTACTTACCTCTTAATCAATCCATGAATAACACCAAACTGTACAAGCTTGCGTTCATCTATAGACTTTTGTCGCGGTTTCATGAGGTTGCAGATATCGGCCACCGTGTAGTAGCTATTGAACCTAGCGTAAATGGAGAAAATGTCTCTAAATGTTGGCTGGTTACTCGTTCCATACTGAACGTTGTGCACGCAGTCCGCCTGTCAAAATCACAGAGGGCTAGTTGTTAAGAGCTCACCATTATTTATAGATGACCACTTAAATTGCGCACGGGTGAACCTAAGCTATATATTCATTACAGAAATTTGACAATATTCAGAATATTCAAATACGCGAAAAGAGCTGGGTACGAATCCAAAGAGAGTTAGCTACAAATATAACGCTGAAACACTGTAAGAATTTCTGCCTTATTGTGGTGTCCTACTTTCTTAAATTTACATTTTCAGTCTACAAATAACTTCTTTTATTTAAGCAAATCGTATGATATTTGTCTATCGTTAGCAGGGCATGACAACAATATATATATATATATATATATATATATATATATATATATATATATATATATATATTGTATGTATTCGTGAAATATTGGGACGAATCGATTAGAACACTGAATATCCGTAAAAGTTAGTCAGAAACACTTGCGGGTCAAACGTGGAGCTTCGTAGAAGAAATGCAAACTATACAAATTATGACTGAAACTATTTATTTATTTGAATGTTAGCTACCAGAAATGAGTACATTCTGAACTGAGTATATATCGTCCACAGTGTATTTTATTTTCAGTGTAATAAAGTATAAGCTTTTTTAAAACTGCTCCTAACGCAAGATTACCTGTAAATGTCTGTCTGTGTAGAGCTTCTGCATGAGAGGAGTCGCCACATAAATGGCCGAATAAAGAAATAGAGGGATAATTTTGATAACATCATAGTAGATTAAATTACGCAAACAGGCCTTCACTAGGTCAATATCCACATCTGACTCCTGGGCAATTTGGAGTACGTGCCGAAAACCATCAATCAAAGGAAGAATTCGCTGTGTCGTTAGGTCCCACTGGGCGGGTGGTACGGCAGGACGATTTTCAGTGAAGACGGCCACATGATGATCATGTACATCCTGTGGGTCTGCGTGCACACGATTCACCTGTAGTTGATACAGCCACAAGTTTGCCAGGGACAAAAGTAGCAGATAAATAGGACATGCAAGGAACTTCTTAGGCTAAACAAAATATATTTTTTAACAGTTATATCGTTATGATCGTTTGTTGAATCATGAGTAACAGAACAAATAATCATAAACAGAATATCTCATAAAAAAACATATAAAAATATAACAGAATTCATTTGAATTTAGAAGGTATATGTAATTTGTAAATGTCCATTAAGACTGATAGTAGTTGAATCTAGAAATTGTTTAATATGGATATCAAAAAATGGATCGTGGCTGTGATTCAACTTATTACACAAATAATAATTTACTAAAACATAACTTACTTTTAGATAGATTGTCGTTGCTGGGGTGACTTGAATCGAAGCACTCCTCTTCACATCGAGATCATGGCGGACTCTACTGATGATTTCAAGTAAACGAGGTTTCATCTGTCCACAAATATCACATTGTTTATAAACTCTTACATTTTTAATTAAAACTAATGAAAAAGGATCAATATCAACAAAACTTATTCAGTCTAGAGCAGAGTTTATCGTCGAAAAAAATCATTTTAGGGCCGTTGGTTCGCCGCTTTACCATTAATGACCTATCAGGTACAAGGAAGTCGAGTACGCAGGCCACGAAACCGATATTCGAAAAGTTTAGGTAACACATACAACTGGTAACAATGAAAGACCTTGATCAAAAATGCTCTAAAACGAGACAGAATGCTTTGTCTCGGCGAAAAAAAAAACAAAAAAAAAAGATGTACGGAGCATTCTCGTTGCAATTCATTTAAGGTATGGTTCTTGTCCGCATAAGTACAAAATATTAATCCTGTATAGTAGCAAACCAACCTTAGGATTCGATATAAGTTGGCTTTCTCTTTCCAGCGTGACAAGATAGTGGGCTAATTTACGGACGATAGCCTCGTACTGAATTGTCCGCATATCCACCGAACACACGAAACACAAATTAAACATCAGCTGGTTACGTTCATATCTGAGAACAAATAAAGGAGGTGCAATGAGAACCTGATTATATTAACAGGACATGTTTTGTATATATGGAAATTTATGAGAAAACCTAATCTCCAATTTAAGTTCCAGGTGGAACTTAATTATCAGTTTCTTGCTTTTAATAACGATGAAGGGCTTCTGTTTAAAAAGAGGAAAAACCTTTCTCTAGAAATGGTCTGAATGTATTTATGCAAACCTGAAGCAGTTGATAGAGTTTCAATAATAAGCTAATACTATTCACACTAGCAGAGTGATGCTTACTAAGATATACATACGACAGCATACAATAGTTCCACTTACTTGTCATCTTTAATTCCGGCGGGAAAGCCAAGAATCTTCATGGAACACATGTTAATCGTAATAAGCTTGTGTTGAAGTTCTTCCTTTGGGATGAGGTATACTTTGAGTAAATCAAAGGCTTCTTTTTGCACATAGTTCTCTGGATACTGGAATGTAATTTTTGGTCCAACCTTTGGATCGAATTCAGCGAAGAAGATGCATGATATAGGTGACTCAGCCACATTTCCTGACGAAGCGGCCTTCATGGTCATGTTTATGTGGATCTCAACTTTAAACGCATACGAATCCACTCGATTCACTTTTTGTATTTCGTTACATCGAAGGGTTGGTCTACATGATAGTCTATGAAAAACATTATGATGAAAATTCGATGATATAAATCTCCCTTTAACACATAATATGTAGATTTTATTACATATAAATATACTTAAAAATAACTCGACGCTTCTAAATCTCAATAGAAAGCAGTTCTAATTTGAAACTGCCATCACAATAGCTATGTCGTGAACTACATATTCTCAAATTTTGTCTCTGAGTAAGAAAAATCATACCCTGAACAATCTAACTGTTTACTCTTCTACTATAGAAAAATATAATACTTGACTATATGTGATCCCAACTAGTTATTAAAGACATCCTGCAGACTAGAACGCGCAATAAAAAAGCAAGCATTAAGGCAATATAATTTTGGTTCTAGCAAGCCTTTTAGGCCTTTAAAATAACTTAGGTTGGATTGTTCCGTTAAGCCGTTCCAGTTAAGAAACATCGATGAGTGAACTAGTAAGACAAGCCAGCTATGTACAGACAGTCATTCGATATGCCCGGCAGCTTGCGCCTGCCTTGAATAGCTACAGGGATGAACTAAACCACGAAAATGTTAAAGGCCAGGTACAGTCCCGTTATTTGGATAGAGTCGCGTGTCTTTAATGATGGAGCCTGCCGATACTGAGACTGCATTGTTTGAATGGCATCGTGGTATCAAACAGACAGCCATACCGCAATTTAATCATGTGGTGATTTCAAGTCTTCATCACACTTAAAGGTAATGTTTGCCTAATTCTGATTAATTAAATCCACTGAACGGTTCCGGCATACAGACACACTTTTTGTCACAAATATACGTATAACTGTGGTATTTCCTAGACTTTAGAGTACAAGAAGAAATTATACACTGTTAAATGTGGTCTTTCAAGCATTTTATCTAATTTAAAATGAGGTAAAGCCTTACCGTAATAAAGCTTCGCATTAAAAAAATGTCATGAAGCTCAATCTTTACCATTACTACCAGCCGCTTATCAGCTGTTCGTGTGGTTTCGCTGAGAACGAGTTGTGCTCGAAAAGTGTTTCAACAAACCGAGAGCACCAACGGCGCCTTCTTTAAGAATCACTTAGTTTCGTCCCCTTGCAGGTAAATTTTGATGTTTTCCATAGGACCAGTAAAAATCAATTTCTATTCTGGAGAACAGATTGTTGCTATGATGATAAATAAATATTAATTGCATTTGTTGCACCTGTTCTCAAAGCACACAAATACGTTTACTTTCTTTTCGATCTATAATAAGCAGCTTCCGAAGAAAACGTATCTTAGATTTTGACTGTTGATACATGAGTATATAGCGGCAATATATTTAGGAATCTAGGTATACAGCTTGCGCTTGCGGAGCTTCTTAACTTTAGCCTGCTTATCCTGTCTGTCTGTAAGCGTCTGCCAACTACCTCGGAGCAGACGAAATTGCTACGGCTACGCGCAGACAACACACGTAGTCCTCTGGGCACGGGAGCCAAAACTAGTAAGGACTGCGATATAATACAACCATTATTATTGTGTTACCTAGATTATGTGGTTGGGAGCTCCAGAGCTCGCCTATATTGTGCTGAACGGGTTGTGTTGTTCATCGCGAATCGCCGTTCTTAAGAACAGATTAGCTAGGCAGTGAATGTGACGATTGTCGACGTTATTGTCTTGTTATTGTTTTGTGTGTGCGCGGTTCCACTTGTGTGTCTAAAAGACAGAGTGTTGTTTCTGTCGCGGCTGCTGCGACCCGTGATTTCTAGCGTCCCGCCATCGAGCCACCAGAAAGAGTATCTTCAGTAGTGTGTAGGTCCATAGTGAGCGGCTTCAGTTCCGGTACTGAAAGTTCTGTACCGGTCGGCGATATCGGCCGTGTGCCGAGCTACCTTCGCTCGCCGTCGTCTGTTGTTTTGTGTTGTCTTGTCTGGAGTTGACCTGCATTCGGGCCGGCGATTCGTTGGACACGTCGAGCGACGACAGTCGTAGCGACGGTATACGATTTGAGCAGCCGCTCTACAACAACAGCAGTAGCAGCAGCGTGTAGCGCTAGCAAAGGCTGTCGCTAGCGACCGACTCATTAACTGACTGCCGAACTGTCTATCAGTCCGGCCGTCTGTTACATAGACACCAGATAGAGAGTCAGCAAAGCGTGCAGTTTTAGAACAGGCCTGCTGTCTCCGGAGTACAGGTGCAGCAGAATTGTTATAGTTCTTGTTGCAACAGAAACAACAGCATAAGTGGCCGCCCAATCGCTCTACGGTGTAGCTGAATTAGATATCGCCGCTGAGGTTCTCAGTTTGGAGTTAGTCGACTGTAGGCAGAAGTCGTTGGCCTATGGAGTGAAGACAGCCAGTAGGGGGTTTTCATGGTACATTTTTTCCCACAATAGTGTTACTATTCGTGGCACAAAAGATTAGATTTTGTCGCCGCTGGTATTAATCCTGCTGTAGTGGTTAGGATTGCAGGTGGCTGACCAACGACTAAAGTGGCTGTTTTCAAAAATAACTGCGCCTCGTCGTTGTTCCAGGCTGCGTTATTCGCCGCCAAGAGGAGATGAGGCCCAACTTTGTGATCGTGTTTCTATTCGTGTTAAAGGTGAGACTTTTCTTTTTATTTTTCTGCTTTGCTTTGACCTCTGAAATATGAGCAGGGAATAGCGTGTGTGCCAGCGTATACACAAATGAAAAGTTGTTCGTTAGCACATAGTTAAACAAACTGGAGTAGTCTTTACATGTTCACATCATTTCAGACTTCAGAGGGCCGGTGTTCCAATTTTTAAATTAGCTAGAACCAATTAAAGTACTGCAATACCAAATTGAGAAACTTCGATCATCAAGTCTTCATTTCGAATATTGATAACTAGTAGCTAACTATATACCGGTCATCACGAGCATTTGCAATAGGTGCAAAGTCAAATTTATAAAACATGTGCGAAGACGAAACGACCTAGCACTATTTCTGAGAAAATCAGAAATCTATTTTATTATTATGTCCTGCCATTAAATAACTGCACGTTCAAATAGAGTAGTTGAGAGAAGATAATTCTATGCCAGAAGGCACCGAAAACAGGGAAGATGTTATCGCTAACAGAGTCGCTTAGCTCTCGTGTGAGTAATAAACCGGTCGGTGCGTACGTTTGGAACAAACTGCGTACATGGGTGCTTGTGCATTTTTAACTACCTGAAATCTCCAAGTTAAGACTGACTAGCCTATATAGAGTACTCATTCTGGTAGTATATAGAGTGTCGAATCCGAACGGACTATATCCTGTAGACTATATCAGATACGACGAATTACCCCAAAGTTGACTATGAAAGGACTAAAACGTGCCACGGCTTTTACTACAAGTATGCCTGCGAATAGGGAGGTCTTTCTTATGGAAACAGGTGTCAAACGTTCATAGCGACGAGAGCAATCTTTGTTGAGAGATTTTCCTTCTTTCCCTGATGATAGTAACCGTTGAATGCTGAATGCAGCCCCAAATATAGCAAAGATGTCATTTCTTCATATATATATTTTTCACTGGCAGCGTTGAGGTTCGAATGAATTTATCTATGATAAAATGCAGTTTATTATATTTGCAAGTCTGTCAACATTTTCCTAACACAAAAATTATTTTAAAACTTAGTTCGCGTTGAAATAAATGTAGATAACGTACAAGACAGCTGAATATCATCATACGTCATCTTGGTAAGAACTTACCGAAGTTACGGCACTAGTACCAATAATAATAACAATAATCTTTGGTATTATTTGTATTTGAAGCTTCCGATTCTGCGATCTAGACAAATGTATAAAGCTGTCTTTTAATCAAACGCATTGTATATATGGAAAAAAGCGGGACGTTAAAGACTATGTAATATCCGTTCGTCAAACATACATTTATATAATAAATTTGTTTGATAGGAATGGAGTCATTTTTAGGTAAAAGCTATCATCAAGTGATTTGTACATATAAAACGCTCTTCAACAAAACAAGACACTGCCTATCCAAGTGGCAATTTATGACGCAAACGGGAAATTCTCTACCCTTTATAAATCAATTAGGAAAATCGTTAGTAATTTGTTGTTTGTAAGGATTTGCTAAAACCCGTAAAAGTTTTCGAGCTTTTCAACGAATAACGTACCTTACGACGATGGTGTTTGTCCACCAACGAAATCATTTCCGTGTTCACCTTTGTAGTGACTTGTTTATACTAGATTGCAGATCCATGTAAATACTACGTTTTTGAATATGTCGTTCTTAGTTAGGAGAAATCGTTAATTCGGCAGCTAGACTACCTTTCCAACAAGTTTTGATAAAGTTTGTAAAAATAGTATATTTGCAAGCTTGTGTGGAGCTCCAGAAATTCTTAGAAGTCCAAAGGATGGTGTTCCTATTCCAGCTGGCTGATTGCCTGTTTTGTAAAGTTGTGGCCTCAGGTCACGCTAGGTGGGCTTTGTGCCCTTTCGAGAAGCTAACGCATACACTTGCATTTCATCCGTTGTAGTAGGTTCATTTTTTTGACTGGATGCTGCCTTTCATGAGCGATGGTCTATAATAGTAAAGCAGTACATTCCTTTGTTCAGCGTTAGCTACGCTGCTCTCTTCTGCGTAGACGTTAGTGGTGGAGACTGAATTTAAATGTTTCAGCCTCGGAAATATTTATACAATCTTACTCCCATCACTTTTGAAATGGGACACAGATGGCATGACTGGTATGATCATGCATTTGACGCCTCAAACCACCAGCATTCAAATAAATCTGGTTAAAGCAGGCAGGCCCATTTGAAAAACTATCAACAAGTAACATAATCGGAGTATGACCTTATTGTTAGTATCTAACATTATACTAGCTTATGTTTAAACCAAGTGTTAGTTGCTTTATATACAATACACTGCACTGTGGCCACACTTAGTCTAGACAAAAATTTTTTCATTGATCCAAGAAAATTTGCTCAATTCCACTTACATAACTTTATAGTCTACATGTGCATATTCAATGTCTATTCCTATCGTGCTCTGTTTCACAGATCTAAACGAACCATCCGATATATAAGAACAGCTCTGACTATAATTTCGCTACTCATATCCTCGTACTCCCCTCTTCTCTTTGATGCAAGATGACTGTTCAAAAGGTTTTAGCTTTACGTGTAAGTTGAATTTAACTAATACAAATGGACATTAACTTGTAAAAATATTTTCACCTAGACAGCTGCCGCATAGTACTACGATCGTGACTTTGAAGTAGAAGGGTCTTTTACTAAAAGTTTACCGTTTTCCTTGTGAATGAAATATAATTGTGTTTCGCATTATCGTTTTTAACAATTTCACTTAACCAATTTGAGTAGATCAATCTATAAAAGTTTGCAAGAATACATTTATAATGTGTGGGGAAATCCTTATAAACATATAATACGTTGTTCTAGCGTGCTCAAACGACGCTTGAGCATAGAGAGAAAGGAACATCGACATACTGGTCTGTCGATCTAAATCAATGCTAAAGCGATTCACAAAAGGATTCTAGGTCCGCATTTGCAAATGCATGTTACATGGGCATTGAACGTCAAATGCAAATTTTCTCTTAGTGGTGTTGGTCAGTTTACTTAGTAATCTTTGTAACCCACAGTAATGGGTTGTTTGCAGCTTAGCATATTAAAGCTTGCGTTGATCCAAATGGAGCAGTAAGTCGTTCGTCCAGCAATTAATACAAATAAAGTACACTTTGCAGAGCGCTGTGCTTCCAAACAAGGCAATGTTGGTGGTGGATTCTAAAATGACATGGATCCCTTCTACGGTATTATGTTCTCGCCTTCTATCTTCAATATTGCTCGCCTGTGTATCACATACGTAGAATAAATATACAAAGAAAAAGTACTCTATTAACGTCTTGTTCACGTTTCACAGCTGTTGAGTAGAGATAAATAGATAAACGTAAGCATGGCAGTCTTTCAATTCGTCATATAAATTTCACGGTTATTGTATTTTACAATTCATGTATCTATTTGCCTAGATCATGTGTACCCCATTTCAAGCTATATTCAACACCATCTTTAAGGCTGAAAGTTGTGTAGTATAACAATACCAGTGAGACGATCGAGTTTGGATAAAAAAAGTTTCAGGTGTTATGTCATACAGGGCAAGCAATAGCCGAAAATTTCGGGTCTATCGATAAAACACACTGCTTGCTTGAGGGTTAATTCGAGCGTCACTGTCTCACATGTATGTTTTTCTCTTTCAGGAATAATAATTTCTAGGCTCACCTTTGGACGCGGGATGTAATATTTTTTTTGTGGTAAAATTTTTTTTTGGGCTTGGTTCTATACCTATCGAGGGTGGCCATACGTTTCATGTTTTCATCCGTGTTATTGAAGTTTTATATGAATTCCATTTTGGGTTATAACTGGTAAATATAAGAACAGCTGACAAGAACCAAGCCAGCCAAACAAGTCGGCATGCTTTTTCTACTGTCGTTCCTACATGACGAGGAATTACGATTATAAAACCTAATGAATAGCAAAACCCGCGATCTATTTTGAAACATCCAAACAGATTCATACCTTAGTCTGGAAAAAACTATTGGAATATTTTTTATTTTCAGTTATTTCAGCTAAACTTTTAAATCTGCTGATTTCAGTGTTGATTTGTATAACAATGATTTTTATTACCAAAGCACTTGATATTGTATGCACGATAAATATTTGCCTTTATGACTGTAGTACAGCACTTGGTTGTAAATCTTACATGAAAAGTAAAATTTCACCTTTGTAAAGTAAAATATTGAAGCTTACGTGCAGCTCAGGTTGCAAATCATGGGCATATTTAATCCATTTCCCTTTTAACAATTTCCCCGTCTTCCTAATTACATTTTTGGATAAATTTCAGCTCTTAGTCGGCAGCGCTAATGGAGAAGCGCGGGTGATGACTATCTCAAATTACGAGCAGCTTTTCGGTAAGTGAACAATGCAGTTTGACGAAACCCATTCAGTTAATGACAAACACCATAGTTGAGCAATAGGCTATCCGACTGAAGGATTTCATAAAATATCCAATTATACCACATTACATCAGCGTGATACAATAATGATGGCCTTACCCAGTTATTTATCGTCACCTATATTATCACTACGTGCAATAGTTAATACATTGATAGAAAGTCAACAAATGGTAAGCTCAGTGCGATGATGAAGTACCGCATTTTCATTCTCTAAAATTCAATACGTCGTGTCAACGTTTTATGTGAAATGACTCGGATACGATCGGTGACTTCCATAGATAATTTTATATTACCCTTAAAGATAACTGCACTATGCGATGTAATTTCCAGCTGAGTATGAGGTGGTGTTCATCAACTTCTACGCAGACTGGTGCCGATTCTCACAGATTCTGCAGCCTATCTTCGATGAAGCAGCTGTAAAACTTGAAGCTGAATTCCCAGGAAAAGTATTGCTAGCAAAGGTCGACTGTGACGCACAAAGTACGTATGGTGTTTTCTTACTTGGCTTAAGAATTCTATGTAGCATCTATCTGATTGGTGCGAGTGCGGTCCACGCCATCTATTAAGACTAGCTTCACAACGAAGTCCGCTAGGAGATAGTAAATGGAAAAACATTCCAGGGAAAGCATTTTTAGATTGACAGGTCACATTGACCCACCGTTCTGGCTCTTGTTTCGTTTGCAGCAACACTAGCCGGAAAATTCCACATAACAAAATATCCAACGCTGAAGACAGTTCGGAACGGTTCAATGTTAAAAAGAGAGTACCGCAAGTCGCGTTCTATTGAAGCTATGACTCAATATATACGGGAGATGCTTAAAGATCATGTTAAAGAAAGTACACCATTTGATCTCAGCAAGGATGTTGACGAAGCTAAGAGCGCTCTCATAGGCTACTTCCAGTCGAAGAATAGCACAGCCTATGAGGTCAGTATGAAATTCTTAAATCAAAGCACATCTACACCTAAACGATTTTCTACTTGCTTTAGAGTACGTATTTTTTAACGGTTATCACCAATTGACTGTTATTTAAGTATACACCAGTGTAAAGCAAATTTACGTTTCACGCGTACGCAGTTTTTCTTTTTAATTCTGATACTTAAATCATTACTTCAGATGGGTCTTGCTTAAGTTATGTGGGTTTTTTTTTCAAGAGACCTATAAAACGGCATGGTATTAATATGGCATAATAGCCATGTGCCAATGAACACGCGATCTCCGCCATTAATTACCATGGCAACAACGCACTCAGAAAAGCGTATTAACCAGCCAAACTACGCTCTCCCTATATATAAGCAGGAACTGAAGCGTGATCAAATCAAATAAGCTTAGAGCTGTCCTCAATTTGCCTATTGCCAGGTATTCCGCCGCCTGGCGGCCGATATGCATGATGAATGCAACTTCTACTTTGTTGCCCGAGAGCCTCAAGGTGATGAGCCAAAAGATCGTATTCGATTTAAGGAAGCCAGGAACAAATATGACGCGGTTCGGTCACTAGAATACACTGGAAGTGTGGTAGACTTCGACAAAATCAAGGAGTGGTCACAAGAAAAATGTGTGCCGCTTGTTCGCGAGATCACCTTCGAAAACGCTGAAGAGTTAACTGAGGAAGGTGCGTGGTTCGAATATGCTTGTTGCAGACTTTGCTAGTTGTTGTATGGTAGCTAATTTGGATTTCAAGAAATTTCGTTGTCGTGAATTATACTGAAAGCAATAACTGGGTAAAACTTCATTTACTAGAATAAATCTCAGCATGATTGATTATTGCGAGTCATGTTATGATGACCTATTGAGTGCGCGTGATTTTGAGATTGAGGAATGTCAAACGTGGCATTGCTGTTAGTATACGCGTTCGCCATATGTTCATTTATCGAAAATAAAATAGAAGAAACTTACAATAGAAAATGATCCTGTCCTGTTGATTTTTATAGCTAGTCAACGATATGATTCATAGTGCGTTTCATTTTGCTTGTTCTTTCAGGCTTGCCGTTCTTGATACTTTTCCATCATCCGGGTGATAAAACTTCCGTGGCTGAGTTTTCTCAATTGGTGAAAAATGAGCTTATAACCGAAAAAACGTCCGTCAATTTTCTCATTGCTGACGGTGTTAAATTTGCTCATCCACTACATCATCTCGGTAAATCCGTGAAGGATCTACCGGTCATTGCCATTGACTCATTCCGGCATATGTACATTTTCCCTCGCTATGGCGACATTCACACTCCTGGCCGACTGATGCAATTCATCAAAGATCTCTTCTCAGGCAAACTACACCGGTGAGATGATTTATCGAATCAATTAATTACATACTCACATAGGCTTCTAAGTGGAATGTGATAGGTTTTTGTTGCCCATGAGTGCTCAGTCGTCCTATTTTCTTTCTTGGTTTGACAACTAGAACTACGAGAAGATATTGTTCAATACCATCAGTCTTCGCATCTATCGTCGACCGTATGTTTGTGTAATGGTAAAGGTAGTATACTAAAAATATTGCGTTTTTACCTAACACTTACTATCCTGTGTGTTTTTCAGTGAGTTCCACTACGGCCCTGACGACCCAATTGTCAATGCTGTACAGACGGACCCCCCGGAGTCAACTTTCCGTAAGCTGGCACCATCTTCGAACAGATATACGTTGCTTCGCGACGAGTTGTAGCTGTCTTCACATCAGCGGTGTTGTGTGTCGGAGCTTTAGTAACGACGGCGTGGTAGGATATTAACAACAAAAATGACAACGACCGCATAAATGGACCTGCTCTGCTGTAGCGGTTTTCTCCGGTGCACGATTTCTCTCCTTTCGCACTGTTCAAGAACTAGTGAACATTATATGTCGATAATTATTCTCTGGAGAGTGTACCTCGAAATCTACGAATATCAACTATATTCGATTAACTTGCGGCGGCGCAGGAGAACAAACGTGAAACAAAAATGATCACTAAGTGCAGGGTTATTGTCGTTAAGCATTTGAATAGGGATCATCTACGCTGCTTAACATTACAGTGCTGTCATCATCCGCTCAAAATACAACACAGACAGTTACGAAAGCTAGTGCATATCAGCAGGCGTGGGATATGCATAACCCGTCTATGAAAACAACTAGTCGCCAATAAATTATCAAAAACACTCAAAAAAAATCATGAAAACTTAAGGGTAGATCAGACTTGAATGCGTCATTGCATTTGCATGCACCGAACACGGAGTTAGGAGATAGATTTTTGACTGTACATCTGAATTACTATGCATTGGAAGATATAGGAACTGTAAAGTAAGGTAATCGGATTCGGCGAAGGTAACTTATTCTTGCTATTTCGGACACGAAACACTGAAATTTATTTACTGATTATTGACATCTGATTAAGAAAAATCGGAAAAACAGACAGCTGTGCTGCAAACGATGGAAGGTCGCTGCTGATAGTGCAACATGACGAAAACGCAAACTGAGAACGAGAAAATGTAACTAGGTTTTATTATAATATAAAAGAAATACTAAATAGATAATTGCGGAGTATATGAGGAGCCAGATAACTATAGGCTGGAAGGTGAGAGCTACGTATGTATTAGACGCCTAGGATATCTTTTGATGGGACTTAAATAAAAGAAGAAAGAAAAATAGAGAACTGTTAAGCGGAGTAAGATCCTATCAGCATCGTCAATAGGGGAAAATGAAGAAGAAAATTATCTAATTAAATAGCTTATTACTGGGGTGAAGGGAGGGATCATGCGATCGCTGAAACAGTATCTAAATGTCGATACACTAATATTTCATCAGACGAATAATCTGTCAGTGGCACAACAGGGCTATAGAAAAAGGACTTGTAAGGGGTGATACGAATAGTGAAGCTAAGGAAAATACCCTGCTGTTTTCCTGGGCCTTTGAGAGGGTGATGTAGGTGGCAGACAGCGAATAATCATGTAAAGTGTCGCCAACTGCGAAAAAGAAACCTTGGAAGATTGTAACTACCTTATTGTTTGACAAAGAATAGAAAAGACATGCAATTTTTGCAAGAAGACTTAAAAGGCAACGACGACTGAAAAGTCAGGATAGGTTGATAAACGTAGGGAACTGATTAACTGAGGAAACGGAATTTAAGTGATAATGCTTCATAAATGTAAGATAGAGGTGGATAGAGGCTATGATAGAGCAGAACCCAAGCAAACTACAAAGTAAGATTAAAATAGGATTCTCGCACCTTGTTTCATTTCGTAGCGGTACCAAATTTGTATTTGGCATGAGTGAGGGGTACAATGTTGAGTGAAGAGACGGCACCCAACGAGAAACAGGATTCTGGAAACTGACTGCTATTAGATCTATTTTCACCAATAAAAAAGAAAGCGGGCTCATTGCAGCAATTATTGAATTTTGTTCAAGACAAGTCGTTCATAAAGAGCATACATTGACACGAGGAAATTTCAACTAAATTAAATTGTTGGAGTTTGAAGAAGCTGTCTCAAACAATGATGACGGAAGCATTCGAAGTTCAGCTATTTTTATGTGTGCAGGTGATATTGTATTTTAATACGATGACGTGAAAATAAACCTGTATATTTATTGTTAACAAACTTGTACTCATAAAAGTTGTAGGGAGGCACTAGAATACGTTATAAAAATTAAGTTGCTTTCATGTTTGTTTGCAATTGAGGTCACAATCCCTGTCAAGTTTATACATAAGACAAAACGCTATATGTATATACTTTCTGCTAGAGGTCAAACAGTGTGTCCTTACCAACAACGATAAATATGTAAAGATGAATGATATATATATATATATACATATATATATATATATGTACACGGCAATATCTTTCACAGGTATAATTTTATTATCAAAGAAAGCACACAAAACTTATTTCTACTAACAGGTGAAGCAACTATAATTTTTAGTGTTTATTAAAGTCCTTCTAAAGGAGGAATAGTGAATATTTTTCTTAACGAGAGGGTGTCGCAAGAATGGATCATATTCTGTTAAACGTCCATTACAAAATTGGTTATAGGATAGAACTAAGTTGACATATTAATCTTTATTGCTTTGAAATAGCGGAAATCATTTCGTAAAAGTTCTAGACATATTTTCTCTGGAATTTAAAAACTATCAGGCAGTATAGCAATCAAATAAATTAAGCTTAAATATATGGTTAGTCAGTGGTCACATATTAGATGCGTGCTCTACAAATAAGTTCTATAAAAGTAAGTAAATTACTAAGTTAATGACGTTATCGTTGATGAATATTACTGATGTTGCTTACTACGTCAAGTGTGTAAATCAAATATCTGTTCTTTTTTTTGTTGTCACTGACGGTAATCGCACTACTGTACCCAATTTAAATGTCTGTGGATTCCTTGATAAAACTTCGGACTCCGCAAATAGAAATGAGACCAAGGTTCAAGCATATATATACTACACCGTCCGCAAATACCTTCGGTTAAAAGATACGGTTAACACGATTTCTTCTGATTTTAAATGTACGCTGTGGCTGTATATATGAATGTTTCTCTATATCTCAAGAACCACCTTTATTTCTGAATTACCAAAATTCACATCACGAATAAGTTCAAGTTGCCTTGAGATCTGTTTCATTTCGCAGGTTTTTTGCAGTTCATTGCACAGCACAAGAGAGCAGTGTATTTGTAATGTGAGGCGTTCTTGCTTGATTTCTATCTGGGCTATGGCATCTACATCAAGCTTCTGCTCTTGCAAACCGTCTCCTGGAAGTTGAAATTGGTATCAATAGTATTATAAATTTTCAAATAAAACAACTGTAGTATTACCTTCCACTCCTATCTGCATAAAATGCTCTATATTCGTTAAAGAAATAGTTACTTAGCAAACGATCCTTTTAAAAAAGCCGATTGTGTTGTTTTCATACAAGGCACATTAAACAACAATGGATTTCAATAGATCTGTGTTCCTATTCACAAGAACTCTTAGCCGTGATTAACTGTACCTCGTAACGTCCACGTCTGTGGGGCATCACTGTTTAGTTCAATGCCATTTGGAAGTAGAAGATCGAGGCAAAGCCCCAAACTGGACTTTACTCTCAAAGGACCTTCATCTGTTGCGCGCCATGATACGAAGTCCCGTACAGTCAATAGAGAATCCACCACATCATCAGACGAGTCAGAATTAAACTAAAGGACAAGAAAAGATCATATTTTGCGTATGGTATCCAATGTACACGTTGTGGGCACATCTCTAGATAGATACAAGCATTTCACAACCAGCTGTGTTAGTTGTTAGTTGCGAGATATATATGTATATATATGAGGTCGCTGTCAGAGTTCTGCCACTGAAATAACGTCAATTTTGGAGGTACTGGTATCTGAAACAAGTTACCGTGGACTCGACAAGGAAAGTCTACACGACTATTTCACACTCCCTCCTCTCCTTTCATGCCTTCAGTAGACTCTAGAGACATTTTTATTCGACTTTTACTGACTTGGTTAATACTACTTTAGTCAATTTTTCTGAACTTAAAAATGCTTATACACATAATACTTTAACTAGGATTTACTACAATTTTTTATGCACACTGAGATTCATGAAAACTGTACTTCATTAATAAGGTATCGGGCACTCGTACGGCAATCAACGCAAAAAATTATTTTTGTGCGAGCAAATTAAGATAATCGCATAAGAAAAGCTGTAATTACGAGTCAAAGGGCTCTCGGTATATACATACGTGTCGTCCTAGAAAAGCTCTTAGCTATTCAAGATTGTAATGTTAGTTTTTTTGTATGATTATCTTGAGAATTTTTGGAAACATGACGGCCTTTTCGTATCGTTGAATGCTTTGTGAATGACGGTCTTGACTAGACCTGTCAAGCGTGAGTAGCATCGCCATTATTTTTACGCCCGTCCTCCTAACAAGAACGTTAGCCTCAACCGAGAACTCCTTCGTTGTCAAACGACCAAAAAAGATGACGACAATTTTCAATTTGTAAATTTGGACGAGCTGGCTTTAGCTCGTCTTTGATTGAGTAGCTCTATACCCATGAAAATCAAATGCTAGTTTAGCTTACATCTGTGTGTATGCATATAACTGATTAACCAAAACGAAGAATATGATGTGCATTTTATACCAACACGTTTATTAAACTCTGTTGTAGGTATGTCACCTCCGTCTTTTTAAATCGATTAGGACTAATGACTAAGATCACCTCTTCAATTCACATGTCTCTTTTTGTAAAAAATAGCTTTTTTATTACCAATGCACTTGTATAGATTTCATTATAATTTTACTCACAGGTTTTTGACTTCTATTCTACATACGATCCCCTTCTCGTGGTCTCCTTTATTTCTATTGTGTAAAGCTAAAACAATTTGCTCGATAGATTTTGAAAATCTTTTTAATATGTCTACATTGTGCTCTTCTGCCAGCGAGAAAAGAAAGATGAAGAAAGAAGGGGGTGAGAATTAGTTGTACAATAGAGATATACAACAAAAATATGACGTATATATATCACATATTTGTTAGTCATTTTTCCAACGTATGCTTAATCTAGGCCACTCACATTGCCCGATTGCATTTTACTCTCTTATGGTAAGTAAAAGTTCACTTTTAATTTGTTACTCATACCCATACCTACCGATTTTCCTTTTTCTCATAACTAGCTGAAGAAAAAATGTACCTGTAGCGACTGCTAATACCATTCAAGTAGTGATTTATAAGTCGGATAGTTAATTCGAAAAAAGCCTTTCGTTGATTTAGCATGATCAACTTGTAAGTGCTATTCTTGATTTTACTATATGACACTAAATATTTCTACTTATTCAACAGTTGATTCTTGTCGAGGTAATTGAAATCCCCTGCTGCATTGTATATCGAGAATCACAGAATTCGTCTGATCACCGTGTATTGAACTAATATCGTAAAAAATAGCCATCCTATTTTAATATATCTTCATGTATCTTGCTGTTGTTACGAGAATCACTGTAAACATGGCTTTATTTTCATATTTATTTGTTGTCACCTAGGATGTGTAGGGCTTTGCAGATTTTATCCTTTAGTGAGAAATATTGTGTTAATCGGTTTAACTCATTGAGTGGTGTCTCAACTTTTGTGGCGATCGCTTCGCGGAACTCTATCCGAATGATGCACACGTTGATAACAAGTGTGACGATATTTTCGATGAACTCGTTCGCCATTATAGCCGCGTTATTACTACTTGACACAATTGTATTAATTATGTCACCAATTAACTCGGCCGTTTGGTTTAGGTTCGAGGCAAGAGCCTGTCGTACGTCTTCAGGAGGATTTCCATTTGCTAACAGCGACAACGCAATCACTGCTTCGTTTTGCATTACGGTGTGCTCACTTTTGAGCATCTCGACAATGGCAGGCACCCCGCCTTCGATTGCCACCGCAGATCTCACTAAGTCTGACGAATTATTTTTTAATATCCAACAAAGAGCCCTCATTGCTTCGCTCTTTACGCCGACATGCAATTCTACGCGAGACCACGTTACGATAGCCCTGAGCAAGTCATGGTTCGAGCCGAGTCTCAACGCCACGTCTGGCTGTCGATCCACCAGCATCCGCATACAAGCTAAATATTTAAATGCTACAACGTAGGATTCAATAGGAAGCAGGCTGAGTAGTTTATCGACAATACCACTCTGTATAAGGGATCTTTTGTTCTCCTTTGGAATCAGCAAATTACGAAGGCCAGCAAGAATTGCGTCCTCTAAGGCTTCTATTTCCTGTAGTTTTGTCGATCGCATCGAACCAAGCATATTTATCAGCTGAGCAGCCACCCCATCATTGGCTAAAATCACACACAAGTCGTCTCTTCGGGCAAAATTCCCAATCGCCAGAGCCCCGTATGTTCGTAACTCTTTGCTATCGTTATTTAGCCACTCTCGCATGAGAAGATACTGCGGTCCCTCGCCTCCGGCAAACATACGCTGCATGCAGCCATCATCAGCTAGCATTATAACCATGAGACTTGCAGCCTGTTTCACCAAAACTCCTTTGTCCACAATCTTCCGAAGGTGGTCCCACAGGCCAAATTCGAATAGTGTAATTTTTTCCGACTTATCTGCTTTGATGAATACGGTTTGTATTACGTCGATCAGCATCTCGAGCATTTCTTGATCTTCGACGGTGTCAACAATTCTAAGAAGAGACGGCATGTTCACTACGAATTGATGATGCCACTCTTCAGAGTCACTCATATTATAAAGAAGGTTTGTCGCATGACAACCTGCGTCACCCGGCATAATTGCGACGCAGTCAATAAGTAACGGAAGAACATCCATTTGTTGAAATTTTTTTTGGCAGTCGTCGTTGTCAGCGACGTTAAACAAACAGCCCATGACGATCATAGCTAGCTTCTCCTCGATCAGCAAACCACTCGGGGATCGAGCACCTTCTAGTAACGTACGGATTAATTTGAGTAGTATCTTCAGTCCATCATTATCCATAACGATCTCGCGAGCAGCATCGTTGTCAAAGCAGAGGTTACCGAGCACACGGCAGATCTGTTTTACAAGCTCGGCCTGATTCGATTCTAAATCAAAGCTATCCGTTTGTTGAAGTATATTAAGTAGCTGAATAATAAGAATATCACATGTTAATTCATTGCGAAGTGTTAGATTTCGAACACATTCGGCAATCAATTGCACCTTCTCAGCGAACCGCAGAAAATCGTTTTTTTCGTTTGTATTTTCGCTAACGAGAACATCAATGAGACGTTTCGGCCCAACGCTTTTCACTGCGTCAATTATTTCGTCGTTTTTCGATTCATCTTGGAACATCTCCAGAAGTTTATGTAAAGCGTGTACGTTGTGATGTTCGACAAATCTCCTTAACAAATCTTCGGCCATAATTTCAATACAATCTGTTTTCAGCTGGTTGACAGTTTACACTCTTGCTATAATACCGGTAATGGTCACGTCGCCTGCATTTACGGCAGAAAAATTACCGTTGTAGCTTCTACAAGTCCTTTCCGTATTCAGAGGATCTTTTTTTTTTGATTTTTAGCAAAGTCCGTCAAAAATGGTCAAAGAAAGCGTCCTATGATGGATTTACTAAGTGCTCGATTTACGTGTGTTTATATATCGAGACTGGATTTGAGTATTTATTATGATCGGCACCTCATTGAAGCATTGCGTTCAGTGTCCAGTGTTATAGAGCTAAATCCCACACATGCACCATTGAGGCGCTAACATGCTCACACTGCTCACTTAGATAGCAATGGAGCGGGAAAAGACTGGTTTAGTACACAGCATTTGTGTTTTGTTTTGGTATATTTTGACACGACGACAAACGAGAAAAGGATGGCAAAAACTATAAAAAATACGAACTTCGATGGTCAATACGCGATAAAAGGAAACCATTGTCGAAACATTTACTATTAAGCCGTTTATGTTGTACTCACTTACAAATGAGCAAAACGTAAAAAGATTAAACAAATAATACGACCCATTAGGGTATATATACTGGTAATGTGCAAACTCTATAGAAATGGCTTTGGGAAGAAGGATTGCAGCTTTGGAGCTAACTAATTAAATAAATTAACGCGTAACTGCATATATGCAAGTATCTACAACATAAATTACAGCGATGAATCTTCTGATTATCTTAGCAACTGCTCGATATGAAGATAGAGGTTATACCCGTAAGAAAAGCGGTTATAACAAGGTCTTTTTTATACTGCTAATTAAGGATCCACTTGTCCAGAAAAAACTCATCTAAGACATTTAGGCACATGGCAGTGAGGAAGCACATTGAATAATGCTAAATAAGTAGTTCAATAGCTTGGAAGCCACAGATAGCTAAAAGCTCATTTTAAATGTAGTAAGATACACATACCTTAAGCGTAGGCCCAATGACTTCATCCGAGAACAGGAACTCGTCATTTTGAAGCTCTACAACCTTAATCTGGTGATTATTTGTATCCGCAATATACAACCTAAATATAAGGAATTAGTAAACGTCAGCCCTGATTTGATAAATGCCATTCTTTCGGATACTTGCACAACGAACGAACCTCTCTCAAGTTATAAAACCTCGAGTTTAATTTTCGGAAAAATTAATCGTGTATGTAAATAAAAAAATTAACCAACATTTTACTAAACTGTAAAATGTTAATAAAAAAAAAACTAAAATAAATAAGTTGACAATCACGATTTCAATCTTGGCTTGAGTTATTCAGGTTAGACTACTAGCTCTATAAATTACTGTTACGGCTTGATTAATTAACTAGTTGGGTGTTCAATAGCCGAGATAATTCTATTTTACGAACGTGCGCTGATAAAGGCTTTATAGTTTTTTTACAGATTCGCCTCTAATTGAACATATGTAAAACTCAAAATATTAATTTAGAGGTAAATCTATGGCAAACCTTGAAGTCTTTAACGCATATTGATCAGATAAGTTTGTTTGCTTTTTATAAAAATAACAAAATAACTGCAGCATGCTACCTATTGGCGACGTTGTCGATAGCAAGACCGGCAGGTTCGTCCAGACATAATGTTCCCTTGATCTGTGCGGTCTTACACATTCGGCTTTTTAAATCCACAATCTTCAGCTGAAAAAACGTTATTTAAGATCCAGAAAATGTCTTTCTTGAAATATTGACAACTAGTCCAACTGAGGGTCTAGCATTTGTTATTTGCAAGTACTGCTAGAAGGTATTGCCTTGGATAAAACTGATGGAGGGAAGCGCATGTTTCGTGTAAGATGACGAGAATGAAAAAATCCGCAGTACTGAAAAGCAACTAATCAAGTCGGGTATATGAAAAAAATAAGGTTGATCTACATGCCGCATAAGTAGCGCAAACACCTACTCGTGCATAGAACAAACACTAGCCTATAGGTTCAAAAAAAGAGAAAAAATTACCTTGTGATTGTACGAATCAGCAACGATGATAGAACTGCTCCGAAAATCCCATACAACCGCCAGTGGATGCTGCAATTTAGCATCAGGACCCCTGCCATCGTGGTCTCCAAATGCAAACAAGTTCTAAAATATGAGTTATTACACTGTGGTGAAGAACGCTTATTAAATCTAGAATATGAAACACAAATGTATTATTATAGTCACTTAGCAGTATATATATAATGAGGAAAAGTTCTTCCAGGAAGAGTTCCAAATTATAAAAAATGATAGGTATTTAGTAATAGCCTTGTGCACAAGGCAGATAAATCCATTTCAAACCATCGGGTCGTGAGCTCCTCCACAAATATTCTTAACGGAGCCAGAATTCAAGTCAAAGCTTCGAATTGTAGAACTTTCGCTGTCTGCCACGATGAGCAAATTATGGTCGCAATCAAGGGCCAACCCAGATGGTTGGGCAAAACCCGCTTTTAATGGATACGTTGTGTTTCGATTCTCTTCGCGTCCACTTCCCGCGATACAGACACACTTGCCAACTTCCACCAGCACACTAAAAAGAGGTAACAACAATATAATTTTTTTTAGGCGAATGCGAATCCTCTCTAATATTTACTATGCGTTCTTTTATGCTATTTCCAAAGATATTTATTACGAAAACGCAAGCCCACGGCTGCATAAGTAAATCCATTTCATAGCCAGCCAATTACTGATGCTTAGAATTCACAAAATCTCAACAATTTTCATCGACTGAACGATCACATCTATACAATTATTATACATACTGTCTATTGAAAAATTTGGCATCTTCGTTAATTGCGTAGGCCCAGATCTGATGGGTTCCAGTCATAGCAATGAAGAGAACGTTATCCTTGTAGAGAGCGAGGTCCCAGGGCGAGCTGATCTCTTGTTCAATACCCAGCCGTCCACCTGCGTAATCTTCGCCTTGCCTACCCGTTCCAATGATTGTAGTCACCCTGCCTGCCTCCAAATCAATCTGAAATTGAGAAGAATAGTACGCAATTTGGAAAAGACGCTCATTAAAATTTAATAATGAACTACTATATATGAACAGAGGTAAACAGCTCCCACTGAATAATTCGAACGATTGAATAGGTAGTACAAGATTATACCAAAAGAACCTACCTTCCGTATGGAGTGGTTTTCTGTGTCGGCAACAAACAGCACGTAACGTCCATACCAGCATATGCCTTGAGGTGAATTAAAACGGCTTTCTGACAACGTGTCGTTTTTTCGGCCTGGCTTTCCGGTAATTCCGATAATATACTGAAACATCGATTGTACATGATAAGTTCTTTTATATTCCTATTGTGTGTTGCTGGTGTAGCCCTTCCTGCTCCGATTTGTACCCAAACCTGTGGAGTATAGAACTTATGGTTAAGTTCAAACACGGCCTTGTGCGTAAAACCTGCCTTGTCATAGCACAGCTACTGATATGATAGTTCCAATTATTTGCTGTAGTATATGGTTGGGTAATATTTTCACTGATTCATAGTAAGACGAAAAATGTTATAGATCAGAGAACCTACTCATCTTTTGTGCAAAATAAATGTAATAGCCTACCAAAGTGTATATGTATACATTTCAATTTAAGTAAAGAAAATTACGGTATTACAGAAAAAAATATTTTAAAGCTTTACTGACGAGCACATTGAATGTATGTTTGTCGCAGATAAGCACCCGGTGATTTGAGGAATCAGCAATCGCAAGAAATAATTGATTGACTGCCACTTTACCAGGACAACAAAGTTTACTCGATTCCGCTGACTCTCGAAAAAGCTTAATAGGAATTTTTATTGAATTGGTCACCTGTGAAAAGGACAAAAAAAAAACAATAAATGCCGATTAAGCTTACATGATCAAACTCGCCGCCTCGTTGACGTTAGACGATTTATCTAAGCTGAACAGAAACGTTATAATAAACTATTTTAAACTATTTAGACTATTTAAAGACCACTAAACGTTCCATATTGCGTTCTAGGAGTATTCATTTTATAAACTTCGATTGTTGGTACAGTACATTTTAGAATATGGTCACCACACTTCCTAACCTAAATAAACTGAAAGTCAAGGGATGTATCCCTTTTGCTACAAAAAATTTCCGGACAAAGCCAGATCAAAGGCAAATCAGCTCACCTGCCCTCTAGAGCAATAGTAGTCAATGAAGATCCTTACGTAAGCTTCAAATCTACTCATATTCTTTTCACCGATAAACTTGTAGATTATTTCACCGTTGGGACCTGGAAATTATTGAAAGAAAACACTTGTGATGTATCATGTGTGAAAATGAGACGTTTTTTTTTATTTCATCGTTTATATCTCCGTCTGATAGCTATAATAAATTTATTGAATAATGTTTGATTAAGTCTGTATTACTTTCATTTGTCTAAGATGAGCATGTTTTAGTAAATCTCTATTTTTCGTCGCTTTTTAGGCTTTTTTTACTATAGCGGGCTAATGTATATAAAAGTCGCTCGTTTTAAAAGACCAGTGTATCTCATTAAATTTTTTAATGCAATGCAGGTATATCGCTTCGCTCTGTCACTATTAGCACCGTAATGATCAATGATGACACAAACTATAAACATTCATGCTTCAATGGCTCATCAAGATTTAACGCCAAAAATCGGCGCTCCTTTTATTGATTTAGAACCAACATATTTATAGACTGAGATAGATAAATTATAATACTCACCGACTAGCATAAGGGTGGGCCAGCAGATAATCTGGCAAAGGTTCCAGAGCCGCATTTCGGGATCATTAAGGACGGCATGTTCAATACCGTATCGCAAGACGGCACTTTTAACGTGATCTGAAACCTTATTGTTCGTAGGTATAGAAAAATATAATTAACTGGATTTTTTAACCATTACCTGTCTTCACATCTAATTTGGCTTAGTAAATGGAGTTAATGGCTAAAATCTTGACCGAGTCTTCAAACTAAGCATCTAATAAATAGTCGTAGAAAATGAATAAGACACTACATTGCATTGTACCTTTTCATTGTCGAACTTGGCAGAATGGACCCCTATGATGATTAGTTCTGCATTTGCGATGCTCGCCTCTAAACGATGCAGGTAGGGAAGGATGTGCATACAGTTTATGCAGCAGTAAGTGAAGAAATCCACCAGCAGCAATCTACCGCGTAAATGTATGCTGCTTTGAAGTGGCGAAGCGACATTTATCCATTCCTTACCTACATATAGATGTATTCATATAGGTCAGGGTTACGTAGAGGCTGACTAAAACTAACGATGACAGCTTTTTGAATACCACTATGTCAAACAGGTCAGAAACACTGCCTAGCGGGCGGTAAAAAAAGAGGTATTTACATTTTTCTTTATTTTGAAATAATATGTTATTTTTAACTCTTAACAGCATTAACATTAAGAAGTAACGTCTTTGAATTTGGTAAGCATGTAATTGACGGTCGTACGTTTCTTTGCCCGGTTAAATGCTAGCCTGCCGCTAACCACGAAATATAATACATATCGCAGGTATACTCGAACAACATATTAAAAAATTTGGAAAATATAAAGAAAATTATTGTTATTGACCGAAAAACGTAATGATCCTATCGAATAATTCTGCAATTGATGACCGAATGCTCAACAGTGTATCGTATGTGTTTCAGCTAACTAACCAGTCATGTCGTCGAACGATTCATTAGGAATGCAATATCTGAAATTTTGTTGCACTTTATCCAAATAAACAAATATTTTTTCCCTCCACGAGCTGCTATCTTGTAGTGCATCTAATTCTTGGTCAAGATCGTCCTGTAGTATTGTCAAAGCTTCCAAAATATCTTCACGTTCCATTGCGCCCTCTGATGTGTAGAGCCCCAGTTTGACACATAAGCCTTGTTTGATGCTGATTCTAGGTGCTGGTGGAAATAGTGAAACAAAGGTCTTTTTTGCAAGTAACTGCGCAAATGGCTAACTGAGTATTGTAGTACTGCGGCAAACGTTGTTTTGTTAGAGGTTGCTAGCTAAGCAGCCCACTAACAGAAAAACCAATAAAATATGAAATGCTTTTTATTTCGAAGTTTCGGGAGTAACCGGCAGCTAACAGCATTGTAAAAATCGGTCTTGCGCACCCGGAAACCAAGCTTCTTTAAGAGTAATCTGCACTTGAAATAGAATACATTTATCCAACCTTAAAGGAAATTACAAAAGCCAATAATGTTGAGATATTATAAATGACAAACTTCTGTAAACGCTTCACTGGAATATGAAACAAATCTCTAAACAGTGACGAGGCAGCACCCGGATGTGAAGTCGACTTAATGTGTTTTGTAGATTCAATACACCAATAGGTTTTAGAGTGGATATGGGTTGTTCTGTCCTGGTGTTTATTAATAGCCGTCTTCACCCTACGAGAGATACATCGCAAAGCCCGCGAGTTGGGTAATACATAACAAAATTCGAATTTGATGTTAGATTCATACATCAGCTTATTTTGGTCAGAAAAAGATCCCTATGGGCTCGAAACAATGTTGTCATCTACAACCAAACTGTTTAATATTACATCGGAAAGCAGAGCCGATACTATTTGGCTAGATTAATTTCTATGATTATTACAATATATTCTTATGATGATTAGCCTTATAATTTTATTGAAATGAAAAAAGTATAAAATTTCCTTAAAGGGAAGCAATGACAAGCTGAGTGAGTGTTTAATTCATATTTCAGAACATTAATATACGAAGACTTAGTAGTAAGACCTGCTCTTGGATTGTTTGAAGCTCATAGGAATGGTTAGCAAATATAGAGCTAATCTATTTCGTGCAAAATCTTGAACTATTGGTATTCAAATGCATTGGTCGAACTCGAAGGTACGATAATAACGCGATATCTCAGTGTATTTTCAATGGGCACATTCCATTCTACAATTCCATATTCGTGTAAATATGCTCAGTTATGGGTTTAGGGAACGTATTTTCGGCGATCTAACGTTCCTCTTTTATAACATTGGCGGTGTGAGAGTAAAATGAAAAAAAGAATTCTGTATGTAGATATACAAAAAGGACAACGTTTAATAGCAATAGCATCTACAAGAACAACTGATGGACAGATACTGCAAGAAAAGACCTATTGACAGGTGAGAAAAGAAAAATGATTAAGCGAGTACCGGCGACATCTACGGCTATAGACCTAGTGAGCCATCGCATATTCCTTTTAGCTAAGTCGGCAATTTGAAATTTCTTGGACTCAGCCTTTGCCATGATACTGTAATGGAGTTACTTATCGAACGCTCCATAAAAAATTGAAGGCGCATTTCTTTGCTGTTCGATTATACGATGACATCTTGCTGCCTGTACATGGCTGTCGGACGTATATTAGTACGCCCGATTCTGTGATGGCTATCGTTAAGATTCTTGGAAGTACCTAAAACGCAGGTAAAAAAAAAAACGAGTTTTTCTGACGATACAGGACATTGCTGCCTGTAAGGCCGGAACCACAGGTTGGTGCGCGTTAATTTTTGTCTGACAAAGTGCATTATGGTCTTCTACCATTTTCCGACTTTCATCATTGATCAACATCCGATCCCATAGGTAGTCAGCAACAGGCTTCGTCTATTTGAGAAAATCAGACGAGCGAAGACACATTAGCAAGCTTCGTCTCACACATTTCGCGCTAAAAGCTTCCGAGTCCACGGCAGTGTTTCCGAATGACTTCAGCATAATGTCGTTGATTCAATGTTGATCTTGTGGCGAACAATGGTTCTCAAACCTAATGAGCAACTCTTTGACTATAACAACCGGGAGGAGAATGACCGTATACTTATTGGATTATGGTGGGCAAACCATTGAGTAAGCCAATCTTTATTTTTGTGCAGTAAAAATGCTAAAAAATTAACTTAAAACTGCGATGAAATCTTGCTCGAGTATTGGTAATTATTGCAAATATCTGAATAGTGTGACGGCTTCAGTCTTGTGCTGAACAAACGTCGTGGTATTATTGTTTCGATAGCTATATATTGCCAAGTTGTAATGAATTTGATGTGTTCAACTAACAACTGTTGTATACAGACACAATGTACCTGCTAGTAAATGCCTGGAGTGATTTTCGTTTATAAAACTGCGCCATTGGGAACTAAAACTTATCAGGTTACTAACTTATATATACCTATATAATATATGTTTTATATTATTTTATCTGGTAAAGTTACTTAACAGAATTCGGCTTAGCAGATTAACCCATTTACTTTCCTAATTATCAGGCACGATACTTTACTATTCTGTTTAAAAAAACAAGTAATAATTTTTATACCAAGAGCAGCGCAAGAAATGAACATAATACTGTCATAAACGTTCGCGTAAGTTTTTCGAGCGTTATGCAAGTTGAAAATATAACATCAATCGTGTTATTACTACATTTACTAACTGTATTCGTATAAGCAGAGATTCTTACAAACAGATACTTTTCTATTTACGCCCTGCTTAATCCGCCAACTTAGACATCGAGTCATCATTTAGGCATAGATCAACATCGACTTGAGCGATCGTAGGCCACTCCTCGCCACGTTGTGTTCGATTTGAGTCGAAAAATATTGTGTTTCGTTTGTCTGGCAGGCTCTTAACGCCGTCCTACACTCTGTCATCTCTAGCATAAGACATAACGCGTGTTATATATTCGTTCGTAAAGTGACTCCGGAGCATCAGAGTGTCCTTAAGAATACTTGTTCGTAAGTTGTTTTCGGTGCTGGCTATTTACAATGTTGACATGAGTGAAGAGGTTTAATGAGATGCGACAATTCGACACAGTGGCTGACTGAGTGCAAATCTTGACTACCTTTCCACGCAAAATGTCGTAAAATTAACTACTATTACATTATGTATAACATCATTACAAATATACGTAATATCCTTGACTGGCGTTTAAACGTTGTACGATATCGCGTTACTGTTTCTTCTCTAATACGATTAGCAGACACTATGTTTTTGAGCGAACTGTTTGATTCTGATTCTGACCAAGAACTTTTTGAGTGGCTTCTATTATACAAAAGCTCATGTTAACAGCAGTGACAGATATAATACTGAATAATATATTGTATATTTCGTTTACCATACTTTCAACGAACATTTATTAGCTATTTGCCTGAGTTGAACTATCACGATTAGCGGAGATTTTCCTGCGTGAAGTACTGAGAAACGTATATACATATGTATCTTTACAACTTCTTCGTACGATGCAGTTGCACCCAGTTACGCATGCCTCCATAAATAGCATTCACGCGACACAGTTATAGTGTGCAATTACGTAAACTAAATACATGCCACAGAGGAATCCGCACGCTGCTCAATGGTAGCGTGACGAATCCTACTTCCTGGTGACAGGCTAATCAACGCACGGTAGTTACCTAAACTGGGAGTATGAATACGTGTGGAAATTATGTCCTTTTTTTTGTCATGTCTCTTGATTTCCCGAATTTTAGTATTTAAGTTAAAAGCACATATCATAGAAGTTGCAGATTGTTTTATCTCAATGTGCGTTTCTTCCTCCTAGCAAAACTTAAAAGCAAACTTAAGGGCAATACGTTGCAAAACATAGTTTCGGGCCCAGCAATAATTCTTATGTTCTAAATATAGATGTAATTTTCGCTTATTGCAGTTATTCGTTAGGTAGTTATATTTTTGTCGCTTTCCTTTTATACGCTCCCAACCTTTCGACTGCGCGCAACATCTGGTGGACGTCGTTAAATCTGAAAAAAAAATAAAATACGCTTGTGGCTACAACAGTATCAACAACAAAAGAAAATTGATGGATAGAACACGCCGTTCCATTAACGCATCATTGTCACGCTGGGGAATCGTGCCTCAATATCGGTCCCAGTGATGTCATATGATGATGATAGGCATCGAAACACAGAAAAAGAAAGATCTTTCTGACCTCACTCTAATTTCGCAGAGCAACATGGACGGGCTGGGCAGCAATGCTAAACACCTGAAAAAAAGACTGAAGAAAAAACAGAACACAGGGAAGAAGGCTTCCCTTACGAAAGTCGCCCATAACGAAGCTAGAAAAATTGCCAAGCTGAAGGCTAAGAACAGTATGAGCATTGGAAGCAACGGCCAAGAAGATAGCTGTCATCAGAGTGGCATCGTTAAAGCAAAAAGAAATACATCAAGGCCTTCTTTGGCAAGTGCCAGCAGAGAGGTGGCGTCAGCGAGATCTTCAATTATCGAGGGAGAGGGAAACGTGTCTTCGGACTTTATGTCCAAGCAGTCAAGCTTTGAACGCGCAAAGGCTGCCTTCTCCTGGATGATTGCACCCGTTCAACGCGAGAGCTTCTACTCAGAGTATTTCGAGAAGAAAGCGTTCGTGGTAAAACATAAGGACCCTGCATACTACAAACAATTGTTTTCCACGAACAATTTGGATGATCTAATGCACAATCACGACCTCTACTTCGGCAAAAATATTGATATTACATCGTATGTCGATAGCAAGCGTGAAACGCACAATCCGGAAGGTCGGGCGGTGCCTGCGCAAGTGTGGAGTATGTACAATGACGGCTGTTCGGTTCGTCTCTTAAATCCGCAGACGTTCGTAGGAAGTGTACATACCCTTTGCTATACACTGGCAGAAGAGTTTTCTTCATTCGTTGGCGCGAACGTATACTTAACTCCCCCTAATACACAAGGCTTTGCACCCCATTGGGACGATATTGATGCGTTTGTCCTGCAGCTCGAAGGCAGAAAACATTGGAAGGTCTACGCTCCACGGTGCCCTGAAGAGGAGTTGCCATTGAATTCGTCGAAAAATCTTGAACGGCACGAACTTGGTGAATTGATTCTCGAGACGGTACTGGAAACGGGCGATCTGCTGTACATGCCTAGGGGTTTTATACATGAAGCTCAAAGCTCTCCCGATACTCACTCGCTGCATATAACCATATCAGCTAACCAACACAACACGTGGTCTGACTTTTTCAAACTGATGCTTCCTGGTGCACTCCAGGTGGCTACAGAGGAAGATCTCGAGTTTCGCCGGACGATGCCAAGAGACTACCTGCGCACGATGGGCATTATGTACTCGGATAGTCGATCGGCTGCCCGAGACAAGTTCTTAGAAATGGCATCGAAGCTCTTTGACAAATTAGTGGACTGTGCACCGATCGACGCTGCAGTCGATCAAATGGCCAAAAACTTTATTCATGATTCGCTGCCGCCCGTTTTACCAGCAGCAGAGCAGAAGATGTCGGCCGCTCAGAAAGCTAAGTGGAACAACGGGAAACCGCCCCTGGTCGAGCTGAATGCAGAAGCGGAAGTGCGGATATTGTCCAGGACTGCATGTCGTATCGTCACTGAGGGTGACATGGTCAATATGTATTATATAAACGATAACACAAAAACCTACCGAGAGCACGACGAGCCTTTCTCCATTGAGCTTACCCCGTTAGAGGCAAATGTCATTGAGTTTCTGCTTACACAGTACCCTAAATATATCAGAATTAAAGACCTACCCTATGAAGGATCGATTGATGACAAGGTCGAATTAGCTATCATGTTATTTCAGAAGGGGCTTCTCCTGGCTAAATGAAACTGCTTTCATACTAAAAATAAATTGATATATTCAACTGTACAAGTTACTAAGTCGCCGTGAAGATGTTCATACTGCTGTTACCAATAGGACGTTGCTTCATGAGTTTTATAAACCCATACGTTGTACATTGTTAATCGGCAATAAACAAATCTCCACATAGGCTTACATGAGGCACGTTTGCTTTTTTATTTTACTATACATCTGATCAAGAAATTGTCGACTATCGCCAACTGCCGATTATCGCTATGTTTTTTGTCCAGCTTTAGTATAACCCAAGCCACCAATGATATTTTCTCTATTTAATTTGACAGTGGCTGCAGTGGCAGATTACTCATCATTTGTAGGGTCGCTTTTACTTAACGTATAGCTGCATCTTCAGTATCCGCCCCAATTTTCTTGGTCATCATTCACAAAAACCTAGCATTTCACCTTCTGTAGTGTTTACAAGATTTTCGTTTAAACTGGCGTTAAATTTAGTAAAGACAGACTGTTAGAGGCATGCAGTTCAATTTTGTCGTCGCTCTTGATATTCTACTGAATATATACTCAATTTTAAATATGCTTCATTTGAGATATTGAGTAGTCTGCAAATGTCCTTAGTAGATAGCGTTAGTCATGTGGAACATTTGTTGGAGCAAGGAGATTTATTACTGCTGAGCACGCACACGTGTTCAGATTTTATACGCAATAACCGAAATTGAAACTAAATAAATACAAAAAAAAAATAGAACAGCGTCGAAAGTGACAAGGACCCTGCGCATCTTAAACACATTGTCTTTTTTCATGTAGCACTTACACAGCGACAGAACTAAGTATAATGTACCTTTTAGCTAAGACGTACTGCCTACCATTAAAGCCATTTCGGTCGATTTGAAGAAAAGTAATAGAGTAGAAGAAGGAGTCTTAGTAAATCGGCGATGTCGTTGGTTGCTTATTTAATTTCAGGCTAATCTTCGGTGCAGGCTAATATGTAGATGGTGGAAAAAACCGTTTTCGGTAGCGTAAATATTATTAGCATGGCGACAATTTTTCTGCTACAGCAGTTACGCGTGCAATGGAGAAAACATTCGATGCCTCCGGGCGCCGGCCCTCGTTACAGCTGAGAGCGATTCATCATATAGCTGCCAATCACGCTCCTGCCACTACTGAAGACAATCATAGCTACGACATAGGTGAAGCTGTAATGGTGGCTATGGGAAGTTTGGCAACGACTTCAGCGAAGGTGCGCGAGGTAGCGCTGAAAAAGCTGCCACCTTCCGTGCATGATAACCGAACCGGTTTATACGGGGCAAAAGCTTTTGCATTACTTGGAGTTTGGTAAGTTGTTGATACGCTGTTCACTGTGCTATACATATAATAATTTTGTTACAGATCAGCACAAGCACTACTCGGAAACAAATGATATGTGTAGAATGACAATCAGAAAATAGCCACATCAATAACTTGCGATTTATATATTAGATTGATACGTTTTGTAGTCTTAGGAACTTCTATGAGCAATTTCGAAAGGATACACCGAACGAGATCGTTCCTTTTCTTTACTCTTGAAATGGCCATAGGCAATACATTGATGTAGGGTGTATTTTCGTGGAGAGTGGTTATTCTCATACAAAAAATGTGAACTATTTGAGACAGTTCACTCGAATAAGCTGTGATTGACTCCAACTATACCTAATTGTGTGTAACTTTCAGGTATTTTTTTAGTTTCACCACGCTCGTTTTAAATAAGTACTTTCTGTCATCTCAGAACGGTGACCCGATCGTGTTAGCTGTCAGCCAGTTACTTGCCTGTTGTCTTGCTGGGGGTGTTCAGCTGAAATGTGGTCGAACGGGACACCCTCAGTCAGCCCCGAATAGAGAAACTCTGAGTAGTGCAGCCATTCTCGGAACGCTACGGTTCTGCACAGTGCTGCTCGGTCAGTATTCAGGCATGAACCTATATTTACTGTTTATTTAATTTATTTCAGTGAACTTTGACAACGTCCTTTATCAGTAAAGCATAATACATCAGTCCAATATTACGTTGATATTGAAGTGTTCGCTTTAATTTTTTTCGTAAGATCAAGCATCATCAACTTTGACTTTATTCAAAAATACAAATCTAAATATGCGAACGAGTTCTGTCAAACGATAATTATCCGAATAGAATAATAAGTTTAGTTGGAGGTCACATCTGATGTTTCATACGTTTACCTGTTCATCCGTCAGGCCTAGTCACACTGTGGTACGTGCCTGTATCCTTTGCTGAGACGGTGAAAAGCTCTGCGCCTGTTTTTACCGTGTTAATTGCCCACGTAGTTCTTGGCGATCGAACGCCATGGCCTGTCGCGCTGTCGCTTTTACCCATTATGTTCGGACTGGCTCTCTGCTCAGCCAATGAGCTTAGTTTCAATCGGCCCGGATTCATTGCTGCTATGGCGACGAATCTCGTTGAATGGTACGCCCAAGGACTCCATAGACGATGTTGACACGGCTAACGATTACCTCTGTAACAAGTATAAAAAATTATGAAATATTTGTTCCATACAATTTAGATACAGCTATTGTTTTAGTATTCTCAATGAGCGTACTCACCTGAAAGCATATAAAAGTAACATGAGAAATTCTCTGTTGATCAGCTTTCAGAATGTCCACTCTAAACATATGCTTTCGGATGAGCGGAAACGTCTATCACCTCTCGAGCTTCAAGCGACCTCGTCCTTTTTTTCGGTGCTCCTGTCTATTCCACTGTTTCTCAAGTACACGCCAAGCGCAGCTCAGGACGATCACTATCCCCCAATGGTAGTTCTGGCATTAGCTGCCTTGTCATTTCACGGTCAGAGTCTAGTTGAGTACGCCCTTCTGACGCGAATATCCCCGGTGACACACAGTGTAGCCAATACGGTAAAGCGAGCCCTTATGATCTGGCTTTCAATCTTCGTTTTCGGCAATCCTGTGACATCTTTAAGTGGCGCTGGAACGTTGATCGTGTTTCTCGGCGTTTTACTTTACAATCATGCGAGGGACGCGGCCTTCCGTAGCGGAAATTTCAGCGGGAGGCCAGTGAAACTGAAAGAAGTTCTTGTTACAGACCATGATGTGTAATCCAATTATAGATTGATGAATAAAATTGTTATAAATGGTAACGATAGTAAAGGTGAAAAGAACGCGATGACGTTAATAACATATCTGTAGCGTAGATTAAAATGCTGAAAGGAAATGAGCCTACTTGTAAACAAACCACCGATTGTAGCGGATTATTTATGCAATACTACAACAAAATATCATAAAATAGGTTGATTATTGACTGTCACTCATAGTGTAGTACATAATGGTTATTAGTATGTAAATTAGTTATAAGTTCAAGCAACTATATCGTAGTCATCTGCACATAACGGTAATAATAGCGATCAAACCAGCGAAGCGCCAATTGAACTTCGTTGAAAAAGTTGGACAAGAAATAGTCACTAGTATGATGTCGACTGTCAGCTTGTAAACAACACGTTTTTCTGTTAAGTGCAGTATTAAAGTAACTTTAAAGTTGCAGGCAGCCTTTTCTTAAGTGTTCGAAAATTTTTTGTGCCGAAGATATACTCTGTATATATAAATAGCCAATGTTGTATGCATTGGTCTGTATGCGTTTACCGTATAATATATTAATCTCTCTAGTAAATCTTCAACAGAGGGTCTATGAGCCGATTTAACTGATATTATAATGTGTAAAATGTGTACTTTCGAAGACAACTTCCTAACGGGCTTGTTTTAATCCTTTCGAGGTAGCGTTGATTAGAAGCCGATTGTTACCGGTCGTGTTCATTCCTGTCTAGATATGAGATGTGCGTAGGTACATTTTGCCTCCTTTTTAAAGTACTAGTATCTATTGATACAAGTTTTAGTGTATGGTCGTCATAAGCAAAAATGCAAGGGCACGGTATGTTAAAAAAAAGACCGTGGTCGGAAAACGGTTCCACGTAGCTGTATCCGCACAAGTACAGTTGATATGGGGGCAATGCAAGTAAAGTTGCGCAGTCATTGTGTGTGTGTGTTTAAACGAGAAGTAAACAACAAGTAAGTCCTTGTGGTTTATAATAGTATCGGAAATCTACTTTAGGCACGACATGCCAGCAGAGAAAAGGGCCCAAAAAACTTTCATAGACTATCCCTGTCCTATTATTATTGCTAGACAAACGAAAACGACTATTAACTTGTGATAGCGCAAATCCATAAGGTATGGTATTGCTATGTTGTTCCTATACGCTCAAGCACCATGATTAATTAATAAATGGTCATATAATTAAAACAGTCAGGGCTATAAACAATAGGATAACAAGAGAGAGAGAGAGAGAGAGAGAAAACTAGCGGGACGAGAGTAACGCACCTTAATTTAAATAAATATACTCTATTTTACCAAATCGAGTGTTTTATTTTTTGTCCTAAATTTAAAAAAACTGTTATTCTTTTCTCTAAGATAGTGTTTTTCGCTCATGTGATTTTGAGTAAAGGAAAAAGGCGACAACTGTAGAAATAAATAGTTAGGTGTAACAGGAAATTGCATTTTCATTATGTCTGTCAACTGCGACTGTATGGCGCAAACTAATCACAGAGAACTATAATAGTGTTGAAGAGAACATAAAGAAAATATATATTATTTTCTTAACAAGAAATTATATAGAGAAGGGATGGCGGGCTTTGGTAGCACAATATTGGTAAATTAAATTTAACATAGTTTGGTCAATGGGAGACAGTGATAAGAAAAACTACAACTAGCTATTGAAGTGTCATGGAAGACACCAGCAAAATGTTAGGTTTGCCACATGATGAAATCACGTTCGAAAACCGAGAGTCAATGCGGCCGAGGCAAAATGTAAAGATTAATTTTCAATACAAGTAAAAGAGATATCAGACATAAATGGAATTTCTTTATCCTGTTACAATCGCTTAAATTTTGCAAAAAAATATACAACGGAAAATACTGTAACGTTGCCACCCGGGAGAGATTGTCAGTTGTCTTAATGAACCACCTTGTCAGAGCTGGACAGTTGAATTCAAATTTTGCTAAGCTTCAAATCTTCGTTGCACTTTAAATAATTCGGCATTTACGTTGGAAACTAATCTGATTCGAATGCACCCCTTCGTGTTTCCTTAAATCTATAATTAGGTAACCCAATAATTGTTACACAGAAAATTCGGGAAATTATACACATTATTTATTTACAGGATAATGTTCAATAATTAATTAAAACAATCAGTTACCTACATGGTTCATGTATAATTAGCCAATTAGGCTGAACTAATATCTTCGTTACGCTTACTACTTATCAGCTACTTATTGTCTATACTATTATTCAACGAGCAGCAGATCAATTATTACATAATATTAACACACCCTCTACCATCGGAACATAAATCTAAATACACAGCAATACTGAACAGAGACAGTAGCAATAAATAGAACGTCGTCAATTGAATCACCATCAGCGTCATGCCGGTAAAGTATCTTACCGTTTACGCGAAAGGAAGGGTTTCTAAAGGAGGTCCTTGGATCTCCAAATTATAGTAATATCATTGTTAGGTTACATTATCTATATTGCATGTTCCATTCCACTTGCCTTTTGCCCTGCTACATCGGATCTACCCACTCATTCAAATGTCCAGAGATTTATTACTGGTTAGTAGCATAATAATGCATTTATATATACCTTTCTTTTCCTTTATATATATATATATATATATATATATATATATATATATATAGCGGAGCTCAAGTGAACCCAATACGAAGAGAGATAACTCGCCCGTCAAAGTAGGTCAGCCGGACACAACAACAGCCGCCGCGCCAGATGTAGATAAACGCACCGACGGTTCGGTCGTTAACTCGTTGATGTTTCACTGAGCGATCGGACGTCCATGTGCGTCGACTCAACCCCACGACTAGCAAAAAATCTCGTTATCTGCATATACAGTTATGTACATGTGTATATCTAGATAACATGCAAGTGCACACTGCCTTCTTTTTCTGCCTCCTTAAGAAATATACACAGCTATGATTCTCAATGTCGTGCTCATCAAAGGTTGAAGGCTTCAGCAAGGTTTAATTACTTACTATTAGTAATACATACCAAGAGCTTGGCTGAAGCTTTGGAAATGTTATAGACTTTGTCAATTTCATTTGTGTTTACATATTTTCTTTTGCTGTGTTATGTTATGTTATTGTAGCTTTTTTTGGAATTCGGATTGCGGTGACAAAACGTTCAAACGGACGAGTATCTATAGTTACTTTTTAATGAGTTATTACGTATTGAACGTGTTTCCCCACGAAATTACATTGTCGAGATCATTTTTCATTATATAACTATGTATCGAATTTTTTTTACCTGCGAAATGGACTCACTTTGCACAGCTCATTTTGAATAGGCGCTAGAATAGCCCTGTTGAAGCACTGAGTTCCTTCGCAACAGATCGGTCGTAAGACTACTTTACTTCCATATAAATAACTCATGTACTGATACCATTCCATTAAATTTGTTATAATCAGCCAAGCATGATCTATAAAAATATCCGATAACATGAGTCTCACGACTCGACTAAAGGTCACGTTAATAAGAGGGATTCAGAACAGAGCACGATAGGTAAATATTACGTCGTAGCAGCTTCAGTACTGAGATGTTGATAGACCTGTCAAAGTCATACATCGGAATGACCTTTGCAGACTCTGCTGTTGACGACATCCCGCTGTATGTAATTCCCTTTGAATCTCTGATTGATCATTTCCGGTGTTTTTTATGCGGCTTGTTCCTAAGTTTCGTGCAGCGTGTGCAGAACCATTCCTCCTCGGCGGATGGTGGGACACTGATACCTACACATTCCCAATGATACCAATCGTCACATTGGTCACATCTGCAACGCCAAAATAGCAAAAAACAGTTTAGCTGTTTAGATTTATAGAACATGATAACTATCTCTCTGATTCCAACTAGAAGGTTTATAAGATAGGTTCAAATGCCACAATACCGAAATATTATTAAACGTTTAAGACACTCTTAGTAGTTTATTTTGCACGATTACATATACATTACATTAAAGAATTGCAGAACTTTACTTTCTATGACCGCAGATGTGTTGCAAGGATCTATGCTGGGCCTTCTGCTACTAAAAAGTATAATGGAATTTTACGCCTATCCGACCTTCTGTTGAAAATTGATTTGACCACCTACACGGACGATCTGGCAGTGACAGTACTTGTGCAAACAGCCGCGGAGCTCTAAGATTGAGTAAATCATGCACTGGCGGCAATAGCAGATTGAACGGAGAAGGACCAATAATGAAAACTAGGTTCTCCTGAATAAAAGGCGGTGCTTCTTACAAGCAGCAGAAACTGTGAAAGAATCGTACTCAAGGTTGAACTGTAGCTGATTCATGGCTAGGACACAGCCAGGGATCCCAGAATTCAAATAGATTAAACTCTTAGAGAAATCACCCATATAATAACCACATCTAAAAGCGTTAAGGTCACCGCTGCCTCCACCGCAACCCCAGAAAAAAATTATCCCCTGAAACCTCTACAGAAGCTGGGGAGAAATATCGTTCCACTTAATGCCAGTACTCATAGGGTTTCTTTTTTTAGTGATTTACATAGAATAGGGAGATTCCCTCGATCATATGTGTTCTGTGCTCACAAGCAAAAGAGGACAGTGCATTTCACACACTGGATGAGTGCAGGCACTGGAAAATGTTAAACGTGTTAAAGAGGCAACATATCGGCGTTCATTAATGATCCTGTAGGTTTTTTAGGGTATATGTGCAGCTTCATGGAACGTTGAAAAAGGGCGACCGACTTGCCAAATAAATCATAAAGATAGAAAATAAATAACTGTGCAAGGCCTGCAATGCTAACTAGTGAAGATCCGGGCTGATACCAGTGAGTTTTTCAATGCTGAATTATTACGCATCCACGGAAGTTGCATTAATGTAAAAAACATCGAAAAGCATAGCACTAGAGTTCTCTGAACCTATACATAGAGTATCTGGCATTTAGACTCTGCTGATCATATCTATTACTGGCGATATTGCTAATCGGTAGTTGAAAAACTACAGTATCGTGTCTATCCCATAGCAACTATAATATCACTGACCCGATCATGGGGCTTCCATCGTCTGGTTTTGCGCACGCTGGACAAATCCAGATTTTATTACCATCGGCGTCTAGAATTGTGCCTACAGTGACCACTTCAACCTGGGCTTCTTGGTTTGGTCCTTTCTCTTTTTCTTTATTAGCCTTTTGTTCCTTTTTGCTTTCTTTTTTGCTTGGCGTATAGTCCTTTTCTTGGTCCTTGTCCTTTTTGCCTCTCGTCGGTCTCTCTTCTCTCGGAGGTACTTCCTCCTTTAGCGCTGCCTTGGACAGTTTTGGTGGCTTCTCTTCCTTCACTTTAACCTTAACCTTCTCAACTACTGGCGGTGGTGGCGGCGACTCGATCTTTTCAATGGCAACGACGCTGGCGGTTGTCGCCGCTGCTTTTTTCTTCTTGCTTTCTTTCACAGGTTTTTCTTTCTTTTTGTCTTTCTTTGACGACGATGGCGCCGGAATCGGCGTTATCGTAATCTCAGGAAGATTTGGCGGCAAAGGTGAGGTCAACTGGAATAATTAGTCACGTATATTATTATCGTTATTACTTTTGTTATCATTATCGCTAACTACTTGTCTTGCTATTACATTCCATAATAGTTATTATAACAAACCTTTGGAGGTGTTTGTTTTTCTTTCTTTGGAGATCGATGCTGCTGCTGCGGCTGTTGTTGTGATTTCGATTCATTCTTGGGCGGCTGCTCTTTGGGCGTTTTGGGCTCTTTGGGCTCCTTAAGTTCCTTGATTTTAGTGGTCTTCGGTTTCGCTGGCGGACTTTTGATTTTTTCCACAACAATAGGTAACGAGGTTTCGCTGTCCGATCCGACTTCAGTGACCATCTTCCGAAGCAGTGAATTTTTCCCCTAGAAACGTATCACGAGTGAAGAGAGAAGTGAATAACTATTTTGCTTATAAATATTAGACATAATACATTTTACAAGGCTGATCTTCTATACCGCACAAGATATACAATTTTCTACGTACCCCACGTACGTTGCGTTGCAGACGTAAAGCAGCAATGGTTTCTAAATTCCATTGAGCCAACAGCGGCACTACATGGATACGCATGCAAGCACGTTATGAGTTAAAACGTCGAGATGGATTATAACGATACGACAGTACCAACCTTGCCTTTTGGCGGCGTCTTGTTGTTGCCCGTTGTCGCCCCCGATTTTTTAGGAGGTACTATAGCCGGTGCAGCGACCAACGGTGTAGGTTCAAACAGCGGCTCGCTTAGAGAAGCAGCCGAACTCAGCAACTTGAGCGTGAGCTTGGGGACTTCTTTTTTTTTACCTCCGGTCTTCTTCTCCTTCTTTTCCTTACGTTTTTCTTTTCGCTTCTTTTTATCTGGGTCAATCTCCAGAGGCGGTAATCCTGTCAAAAAGAGCAAATAAAGAACGTAAACCAGACCAACCGACAATTTTGTGCACGCACAATTTGAAAAAGACTTGTCGCAGGATTGCCTAAACATTTTTAGATTTTTGAGTCACTAGAATTAATATGACCCAATAATCTACCCCAATAATCTGTATATATTTGACGCAAAATTAAATAACATATCAGTAAATTTATGTCTCAGAAATGACATTTATGTAATTGGCTCAACCGCTTAGAAATAGCCGACACTTCAAATTGTTGCAATTGTCAACAATGGCAATTGTTGCTAGCAAAAAATGAACTACTATAATGAAGTTCATATGCGTTTAGAACAAATTTTAATCTACTCGTTATAACAAAAACGCGGTACTCTCTGATTATTACCTATAAAAAGTGAAATAGAAACTCCAAAACTTGCTGTATATGTGAAGAGCCAAATTATCGAAAGTTCACTTACCTTTACGTTCGGCGAGTGTTTTCACGGTAAGTGTTGGTGTCGGTAATGGTAGCGTTGGGGTTGGCGGTGGTGCAGCGTTTAGAGGTGTCAGCGGGACGGGGGTAATTGTGACCGAGGGCGTCAAAAGTCGTGAATTGGAGTCGTCTACCCCACCCATGGGCTCCGATTCCATTCGCAACGGCATTTGGCGAGCTAATTCTTCAAGAGGTGATACCTTCTTCTTTTTTAATAGACGTTTCTCACTATCGGGAGAATTGAAATCTTGAAGGTCGTCACCAGTATCCTTCTGTATTTCTGTAGGCACAAATACATTGTCACCGGAACTGGTCGGTGGAAGGTCTGGTGTTTTTGGATGATCTACAAACGAAACGAAAGGAGTGTTAGTCCATTACCTATCTTTGGCTACTCGTCTACATAATTATCATAGTAGGTGATACTCGCCTATTACTTCAATATCATCGTCGGAATGTGGCGAAGGATCTCGACGCAATTCGGGTTCGCTGTCGCTTAAGAAGACATCCTTTACCACGAGCTTCTTTCGACCCCTCTCATCTGCCAGTGAACGATCGTTAACATTCCGTCGGGCTTCTGCTATCACCGTTGAAATAGCATCATCGATACTCAGCAGAAGCTCCTTTTTGGTGGAAGGGGGTTCTTTAACAACTTTCGCAGCTTCTTTAGTATCGGGAGAATTCTTAATTTTTAGCTCTCGGCGTCCTTTTTTGTTCTTTATTTTTAAAAGACGTTCCTTCTTCTCTAAACGTTCGGCTTTGGTTACCTGTGAAATAAAGATATAGGGATTACAATTTCAAACGTTCGCTAACTAATAGCAGTCCGTTGAGACAATTGAAGTGATTCGTTTTTCGTCCTAAAAGCCGAAAGAGGGATTACTTTAATAATGGCTATTTGTTGTCAATGAGAGAGAAACACGATATCAAAATAATTAAAATAATCAAAAGATCTTGATTGAGCCGTAACTCTCGATTTTTCTTTCGTTTACTAATAATACTTCATTTTCGAATGATACATCTTATGTAGTTTATGTTTTACTTATATTGTTTTCATAACATTCTTATGATGAATTCCTTTTTATTTGGATTATTCTTATTGAATTTAACCAATCCTAACATATTATTCTAACATATTATATTATTATAGTCTCTTCCTATATTTTTGGGAACTCCATAAAAGACATTTTTTGGTAGAAATTATATTGTGCTTTGGTGTCTTACAACAATTAGAGCTTGCATACATTGTATGCGGCCTACCTGTCTATCTCCCATCATGAAAATATATCGAAAAAATCTTGGAACGACAGGCGTACCTTAAGTTTCACTGGTGGCTGTGGAACTTGTGTAGTAGTTACGAGGTCGTCGTTAACTTTCAACTTCACTGGGCTCTGGCTATCGTTGTCAGAATGAATGTCATTGTTTGTGCAAGCGTCTACCTTTTTCTTGCGGCTAGAGTCAGCCTCGTCAGCATCAAGCTTTACGGAATCAGGTCGTGGTAATTTCGTGGTTATCATGGGGAGACGACGTTTGGTCCCATCTCCCTTCGAAGGCGATGACAGTCGAGCTACCTTAGCAGGCTAAAATTAAATAGAGATATTTAACATTTAGATGGCAAAAAATAAAAGCTTTTTCAAAAATGTGGATATTTTCAAATATATAATTTCAAAAGTTTAAAGTGCTCAAGCAATCAGCACCCTTAGTACATACATTTTACTCTTCGAATAAACGGACTAAAAATATCTCAATTTATTTAGCGGTTTAGAGCTGGAAATTAAATTAGATTATCTATTCCCTTTGCCCATCTTTATTTACCAAACATTATTTTATGTTTTCTCTTTTAACTCGAAATTCACTCGAATATTGTCTTCAGTAAAGGGAATCTATTACGACGACGACATTAATTACATCCGGATTTATTCGATAATATTCAAATACCTTTGGCGGGCGTCCTCCGGTCGGGTTTTTTCGCTTTTTGCCTTTTTTCGTTTTTAGAAGAAGTAGTTTCGCGGCTTTGTCTTTGCTCTCTTTTACCTTGGCCAGCTTGGATAGCTTCCCCATTTTAACTTTTTCCTTATCCTTCGACTTATCTTTATCTTTTGTCTTTTTCTCTTTGATAGTACCCGCTTGCTTGTCGAGTTTGATGGAAGTGATCAGCGATCCCGATGTATTGACTTTATCACTGTCCTTATTATTATTATCATTATTACTGTTATCAGTATTATTATTATTATTATTATTATTATTGTTAACAATATTACTGTTGGTGTTACTATTGTTAGTGTTCGAAACAATCTTCTCATCGAAGAATTTGTCTGCCTTCGCCTCAGCTGCCGTCTTGCCTCCTGTTGAAGAAACAATTCATACAAATCATATAAAGGGTTCTTATTTTTCTTTGTTTTTCAAATTACTTAGAAAAAAGAAAAAAAATATATATATTTACGTAAGCTGTGCTAATGAATAACCCACAAACAGTTTCATAATATAACAATATATTTTTGTTACTGCTTTCTAAATAAATGTACCGAAAGGCATCGTGCTACGTGATATTTTTTTCTCAGGCTTGTCCAAATCTTCAACATACGCAGCTTTCAACGGCAACACAACATAGAACGTAGATTCAACTCATTTTTTTATGGCAGAAGAGCGATACGTATAGACAATGGTACCGTTAGGGTTGTACCAATTAGCCTACCTTAAGGCCTTGTTTCAGTGTATCTATAATAAATTACCGTAGTAGAAATAAACAAGCATGAACATGCTAAAATCCAAAAATGCAAAGATACCTATTTGACGTTTTAGTGTAATTATATATGTATTGTTCAAATAAGACAAAAACAAAGCTCGTAAGTATAATTTTTTTAATGTACCTCGTTTTCGTTTCTTGCCGGCGGCTTTGGCGCTGCCCGCTGCTGCTCCTGTGGTCTGCTTCAACGGGTCGGGGCTCGGTTCGTCGTCTGAGCTGTTTTCGTGTTCCGAACTACGGGGGTCGAGTAGCAACTTTGATGGGTGGCATGCGTCGGGGAGACGGCCATCACGAATTGCTGACAAAAATCCTGATGGAGTCATTTGAATGAAGATCACCTCACGCATTGGCGTACCTTCTTCAGCTAAAACCTGGCGCGTAAATAAACGAACATCAACCAATGAGAAACGAAAACTAGCGCTCGGAATAAAAAACCAAAGCAGTACGTCATACTCATTTTATTAGCAAATGTTTTGTCTTGTAGTAGATTTCTTTTTGATGAAAGATCATGAAGCTAAGCGAACAGCAATTATGCCGAATGTTTACCTCATTTTTAACACATGTAAGTGATTATCAAATTATGGGTTTTAACCTTTATAGACATATTTACTATGAAGATACAAAGTGAATACGATTCATAGGTAATCACTCTAGCATTTATTTCTTTTTTTTTTTTTCTTAAAAGAGTGTGAACATGTTTTTATTGCACTTCTCGCATGTGTATCTGAAACAACTAGTAAAATATGAATCAAGAAGATTAATAAATAGGTTAATGTCATTATTCATGTTTTTCTTTGTTGCCATTAGAACTTTTAGTGGAGCTTAACAACACTATCTTAGTTTAAAGGCAGTTTTGCTAATAATTGCAATTTCAGGGCAATGTCATTGCCACGTTCTAGTCGTTTTCAAACTAACCTTGACCTTTTTGCTGCTACTGACCTTCACTGAACCATCTTCAGGCCGTTTCGTACCGTTTTCCACCTGAAAATGTCTCCTCTAAATGTTATATCCTAATTAAAGACCAAAGTCGATCCTACATGAATTTGTATCGTGGAACCGGCGCAAAATAGGGTGACGTAAGAAGCAGATAATCCGAATAATCGTACAGCGGATATCGCAATTTAATACGGCTATTATATTACGTACTCTGTAAATAGTAATGGCATATATAAGTATTGGCGTGTTGAAGATATACAGGTTCGATGATGGGTACCTGTGGAGAGGTTGGAGCTACTTGAGGCTGATGTTCGGGAGTTTCATATTCAATAGCTGGAACTGCTGCAGTTAATTGGCCGTTAGGCCCGGTTCCATTTGATGGCGCAGCAGAAGTCAGTTCGGATTCGGGCCGTGTGGCTGGAAAATAGCTTGGTATCCATTCTGGCCGTTGTGGATCCTCAATTTTTGGAAAACACAGCTGCGCGGGCTGTTGAACCGGAAACCGTGGAAGTCTACTCCCCATACAAAGGAATAATCACACGTAGGAAAGATGTGGCAATCATTAAACCAAACAATGGACAAGAACCGAGGTACAATTTGTCTTGTGCATATTACGTTTGAAAAGGTTGGCTCTATCGTAACTTTAAAAAGCCTAATGTTAGCGGCCCCAGAAGTAACAACTCTGAAAGATAAAATGTATTTTGTTAATATGGTATCTAGTACTCTGGATGAGCCTTAAGAGATTAATTACAACTTACTACACATTCATGTTACTCGTTGTCAACTAGTATAGCTGCACCTCAAAATCAAAACACAATGAAGAGTCACGCTTATTTCAAGGCAGTAAATGTATGACCACATACAATAGAGAGCCCTTATAAAATAAAATTGTAAAGAAGTTGTAGTTATGTTGAAAAAGGCCCAATTTTCTTTATAGAAGCAAGGTAAGCTTATTTCCAGTACGTATGTATCATGCGTACTAGAAGTAAGCTGTCCTACTCACTTTGATGGAAAAGGTAACGAATCGACGTTGAGAAGATAGTCGAGCAAATCGCTTTCCGTAATACCAAAATCACTGAAGGCAAGGAACACATCCTCGGTGTTGGTTTCAGTTCGACCCGCTCCATTAGTGAATGCATGCGCACACTTTCCCAGCTCAATTAAATACCTGCCAATTAAGAACCCATAAAAATAAAGAAACCACTCCACTGATATCATCAGTCAACTCTATTGTGTCGAACAAAAAAATTAGCTTAAATTAATAATCACTTTCGCCTCGCATACTGAAAAATATGCATTTATGCCGAATAAGCTTGATAGCCTGCGGTATTGATCTTGCAACAATTGGCAAACAGTACATATAACGCATTTCTATAACAGCTAAAGAGATGAAAAGGAGGGGGCTTTTGGACCAGAAAATTTTTCTTTTTGTTGTATATATCATGCGGAAAAGGTTTCTCCCGGTTTAACTAGTCGTTGTCGTTATTATAAATAATCCTTTGCAAAAACACCTGATATTACTACTTCAGTTACTGTTATCTAAAGCCACTGAACCGGTTAGCACTGTAAAAGCTGTTAACCCTTTCGGAAATGCAACACTAGATAAATTATGATATTCAATAGAATGACATTATGCAATTGCGAAGTCAAAGCACGCTGCTATAACTTTTCACGATACAACTTATATTCCAAGTTTCATCAAACGATAATCGACAGTTCGTTAACTGAAAACTAACTTAGTATTTATTTTATTACTTTGTGACCATATAATATTTTGAACCTCCGACAGAAATTGGTTATGTGCTTTATTTAAATATGTACTTTAAGTACATACTTTTTACAATAGTAGCTCTTAATAGTGAGAGAAGTTTCTAGAATTTTTCTGCTTTCTTTTTGCCTAAAGTCATGTCTCCTTTCAGGCAAAAATCAACGATTCGAAACGTTTTTTTCGTTGTTACTTGTTATATCACGATACTGTGTGCATGGCGCCCAGCATAATCAAATTACATATATGATAAACTAGTTGATATATATACAGTAATAACACATACACACCTATATAGTATGCCAAGAATAATAGATTGTAAAGCGGCTAGCTTTTGCCGGTCTCTACTAACTCTCCATAGGCAAACAGTCCACGAATAGACAATGTCAATAGACAACAAAAGTGGTATACGACAGCAAGCGATTAGCAAATAGATATCAAAGCACCATCGAAGAGAACAAATTGTGTGGACGGTTGTAAAGCAATGCAATAAACAATAATGGGCAAGGAGGGGTGGCGCCTATTTGCCTAGCTTTGTCCTGCCCTGGCCTTAATTAGTAGTTTTTCGTTTTATTAGACTCCGAAAATGCATCGTTCAACATGCGCCACACCGTATCGGACAAGGTTTTCGTCAAATCAGACGATGAAGGACGCAACCCGCGAAAATTCCTCTGTTTCTTTTGTATCTTCAGTTGACATAGCTTGTGCGCTTTTTCTTCTCTGCCTGCTCTCCCTTCGATCCAGCCTCTTTCCCTTTTTTTTTTCTAAATAGAAGACTCTATAAGTATGGAATACCCATACATGTTAATATGTATATTTATATGTATGTAGGGACGAACCGCTGCAGGATGTCGACGAGAATGCTGAGCGAAGATTGTTGAATATTATTCCAGCCGACGTTGAGACAGATGTGGCCGACAACTTTGCCTAGGAGCGCCGTTGAAAATTCGCGACTCATATTTGCCAGCGTCCTAATCCTAGCTAGTTTTACTATTCTTTCCGAATAGCTATCGTTATATCGGGGCGAGTGCAGGCGAATCGTTCGGTTCGCAACGCTCGTTTAGCATATCAGAAGGTTGTTTCAGTATTTACGGCAGTGTGTTGTTGACCAGCCGTTCACCAGAACCGTTGCACGGTGCCAACTGGTTCGTAGTGCACCCGATAACCAGAAGCGGAAACAGCAATAGCGGCCTCAGAAAGCCCGCTCTAACCGGGGGGCGCAGGACCCCGGCCAATATTCACCGCACCGCCTCAGGATTTCGCCACACAGACGCACTGTACACACGAAATATCATTGCTGATTCATTTCAGACGTCAATGTTGATCAAAACACAATTAAATTGAACTACATGTTACTAGTTTTGTACACAATAAACAGAGCAGGTCCACCTCGCCTGCAACTGTAACATTGACGGCCCAGCCAGCAGCAACACTACGTTTCGACCCCAACGACATGTTGTTAGTTTGCTCCAACGAATGAACGCTCTATTTTGCTAAGAACTCATATTATGATGGCGGCGGGCGGTTGAGCCACGCCGGAGAGGGCGATTCATGAGAGGGGCACATTGCAGCCCTTTCTCGAAAAACTGATATTTGTGTCAGCACTGTACTAATCGACAGCCCGTTCTCTGACCGAACTTCGAAGGAACGTTGGAGTACCGAAAGTGTTATTTCGGTATTATTAGGCTCCAGAGCTGTCATGATAGAGTTTTGCAGGAAGGATGTGGTAAAATTTGAACATAAAACATTATTCTGTTAAGTAGTACTGAGACACTATCTGTTGCTATCAGCAACACTTGTTTGTACCGAAGCTAATAATAATGATAAGTTTCCAGTGCTCACTCTCGAGCCATTGATTCACCTCCTATTCCCATGGCATATACAATTAAAGGCAATGGAATGGTAGGCAAATGATGATCGAAAATCGTGAAGATACAAATTATGTATAATTCGAAATAATTCCACTATGTTGTAAGATTGTTAGTTGTTTCATTATATAGTTAAATCTAATCTATATAGCTGTTTTTTTTTTTCGATATGTGGGTGTCCAAGAGTGGCTAACAAAAAAGTAAACAATACCTAAATAAACTGTGTTATACTACCTGATGACACCCGACGTATAATATATACATGTGTCAGCCTACGCAAATGTAAACGGGTCCTTGTGAATATGACTAAGCTATGGAAACTTTTAGAAGCATTTTAAGATTGTTAAAGTAAATTTTTAATTAATAGTTACAATGCAAGTACCTTCATATCCTCTTTAATGAAGTTCTTATCTCAAAATACGGCGTATAGCGTTGCGAAATCGTTGGAAATTTGATTACAGATGCAAACAATTAGAGTGGTAGGAAAAAAGAGCCTGTTGCAAGGTAATAATCGTGATCAGTCAAGATGCCTATATATTGTCTATTTATCTAGCCTCAATAATCCGCAGAACTTTCCATCAAGGTGAATGCCACTCAAGATTTGAAGTTCCACCTGCAAATATTGTTAAGACGGTGTCGAAACGTTTGCGGTATTACATTAGAGTAAAGCCTGTTAAAATAGCTGAGGACAGATAGTGTTCATCATATTTTATAAACGGAAAATGCAATGGATCCTGCATGTACATTTAATATGTTTAGATAGTAGCGAGATAATAACGTTTTTACAGTCTCATAGCAGGCGTTGAGCTGGTGACACTGCCTTTGACATTTCCTTTTCATTTGTAATCTTCAATAGCACTTTATGTAGTTCTTTGAGGAATCCGATAAACGTTGTTCCAAAGGTACGTTTTTATAACCTGGAAACCACAATAATTAAGATTATCCTGGAAACGGATGATACTGGCGAGCACTTTCAACAGCGTCTACCGGACATTGCCATGAATATTGTTATGGACGCTTCGAAAATGTAACGCAGCTTGTCATCAGCAGCTTTTATTTTACCTTAACAATCCGACTGTATACGAGTAGATACATATAGAAATTTTCCGCAGATTATTCTACCATCTTTCTTGGCCCATGGAGATATAAATTTATTTAATACATTGTATGGCAGAGGTTCTTGGGCGGGGCACACATTGAAGTTTACTAGTGAATGTTTTATGTTTGACCGCGGATTTGTGATGGGAAGTGCAACTTTTGTACCTTTCGTGTGCTAGAAGGTCGGGCAGATTCTACTGCGTATCGTTGCAGAGCGTTATTGGAAGCATGCGAAAGTAATCTGAAGGTAGGGAATCTGCTCGTTGATAGAGTGAATTAGTATTAAGATCCGATAATTTCTTTGATGGTAGAGCTGCCGGTGTACCTAATTTTTAGGTTGAGTACGTCAAATGTCAGCATTATAGTATAGGTAACAAATACTGAAATGGACTTAAACCCGTTTTCATGAAAATCATCTAAGTTCCATGTGACTTTTAGGAAAAATTAGCGAAGTATATGTAGACTGTTCGCTCAGACCATTTTAACAGCAATCAAACACCGCACGTAAGCGTTGCTGCACAGACCCCATACTCTAGATGTACGTCTGAAAATGCTGATGTAGCAAACTTTGCCGCTGTAGTTTGGAAGATTATCAAGGGCGGCATAAAGATTCAGGAAATACATTGACTAAACGCCCGTTGAACAGAAACATATTTTAAATCATCAGAATTTTTTTTGCAATTATGAGCTAAGAATATAACTTTGCCGCTATGCTATTGGCTCACTAAAAGCTATAACTTATTTATTTAGTTTTATTGTTTATTTTTGTTTGCTTACCCCAAAACCAACCCCAAAATATAAAGCCAAAGTATATTTCACTTCGTGCTAAGCGGGGCCAAACGTCTTAAGCTCTGCCGTCAACGGCTGTGTCGGAAAGTTCAATATCAACCCGGCTATATCCTAACCTGTATTGCTATATGCTAATCTCAAGTGTCTTGAGCACGGTTAAACATAAAATGGTTAGAAGCAGATTGACATAGATTTCGGCCTATATCGGACTAATTCGTTTATTTTACCACTGTTTATATTTTTCGATTCGGTCACAAATTTCATCCGTTTGAGATGGTATATATATATCCATCAAGCGGCTAGTGTGGCGCCCGAATGGTTCGTCATCACAACGCATAAGCTATTCTTACGTTTCTTTACAATGCGTTATATCGACTGGGAGAACGATCAGTTTTTATGTTGGTCCTTGAGCATTCCCAATTGGCGTATCAGTCCTTCATCGTTCTTATCACCGAAAATCGCATCGGCATAATGGAACACACGGAACTCACAGTTGCTTTCAACGTGACAGCTTCACTTTTGCCCTCCAATGGAAATGTTGTCTTGCGTAAGTAGCTGACGTGTATATATTAACGCGTATTTAGATTTTAATTATTTTCTGACAATGCAATGTCGAGCCACATATAAGTACAGTTAGCTTCTTTCCATATGATAGACGCTTTTTTCTTCGGTCGAACGGCAACGGAATTGGTCTCGTTGAGCGTCTTGGGCGCCGTTTGGCTGGACACCGGAAAACACGTTAAGGCTGTGCTCAAATAATCTGTCGCTGTCAGCGCTCTACGGTCACCATGCCGAAGCGGTAGCGCTTGACGTTATTAGGTGACGGATTTTTACAGAGCAGTTGAGTAGTAGGCAAAATAAGTACGTGGAAATGGGCAGCCAGTAAAATTCGATCCGTCACAAGATAAACCCAGCTTTTAATCGCTACGCAAGACATGATTTAACGTTGCGTCTCTATTTCGCAACGCGACCCAGCAGCACTCGGCGAATGTTTGCTCGTCTGTAGCATAACTATGGTTTCCTGCAATAGGTATATTCTGAGACGAACAATGAACTTTACTTAATTTATATTGTAGAAGATGCTTTTTATGCCAGGTGATTACAGAAACACACAGACTGATGTCACCTCTCGCATTCAGCTAAGAAGGCGTATGCTTTCTATGAGCATCGTTACAAATCAGCTTGGACGGTACTGCCGCTGAAATTTTCCCTAAAGTACAAAATAGCCATGGTTACTATAAACCGTCAAAAAGCATGTATTGTTTAGTAACTTGAAAATCTTCTCTAGATCAACTAACCTAGTTTGCCTTCAAGTTTATACGTCTGAAATGTTACCTGACGAGACCCGGTCGAAATTTATTTCCGTATGGTTCAATCTGCAGAGCACTATATCGATCTACACAACAGAGCTCTTCTGTTTAATGAATCTTGTCCTTTATGATTGGTTTTTCATTCATTCCATTTGGCCTCTTTAGGGCAGATACCATGAACTGCCACGCAATGACGGAAGTACACTTAGCACTTTGTTCTACACACGCATAGAACAAAGGAATTTATATTGTACCTAGTACGTACGCACAAGGTATTTTTTCAGTCGCTCAAATCAGCGATCATTGTTTCCCCTCTGACAGGGGAATTAAGCAGATTCCTCTCCCATAAATAAGGTTTTACTCAATTGTCAACCTATATTGTATATCGATGTTTTGGAAAATATCCTCAGCGCTAAAACCCAACGATATTAATCCAGCTTTTGCTGAATCGCCGTTTCAGGCTTATGGTGATTGCGCAGAATGTTATGGTCCGTTTTGGAAATCATTTTAACATCGCCCGCTGGCTGAATACATGAATGACTATGTCTTTGTAATATTTTAAATATATTAATTCATGTGTTGCAATGAAAGCAGAGCGATACTGTCGAATTTACCCAAGTCGCAAGACACCTCTCAACTGACGTGATAGAGTTTGCGTTTGCCTGCTTTCTAATACTAAACCTGCCACTACTGGCCTATTTGTTGGCTTGTTCTCGATACGTAAAGGTGGATAAGCGAGAAGTATCTCTACAGTATCTTTAGAGAATACCGTTTCAGCTTTTACTTGAAGTGTTCTCCATTACGTTATGGAAAAGGCTTTTTACTCCGGTTAAAAGACGCTCAGTGGTGCTAAAAGTTCTATGCTTTGCAAAGACAGCGGCCTAACGACGTGGTTATTTACTGTGGCCGGGCTTATATAATAAGTTATGCGATGACCTGTTACTTCACCCCTACACACGGAGTTGCTTTAAAACTAGACACAGATAAGATATCTACACGTAATGGAACAAAGACATCAGTCCTTAGTTATAATATGTTGCCTCATGCCTCCCTTCGGCGGCATCGTAACTCTATTCGCGTGATGCATTAGTTGCATTTGTACATATCCAGCCAACGCGTACTGGTTAGGTTTTGCTTCGACGAGTAGGTTACGCTGTTTGCCTTAAGGACACAGTGAGCATTCAAATAACGCTGAGTAGAAGTGGATGGGCTGCCTCTATCATTACTGCAAGAAGACGGGGGAACTGGCGATCAACGAGAGAGACTAGGGACGGGTTCAGTTGGCATTCAGGAGTACAGCAGAGAAGTAACGTAGAAGACAGCGCTTCATATCGTTGGAGTGATGTGCATGCGGTAAAGCCAAGAGAAAAGGGGCCGTTTTACAGTTAAAAGAGTGACGCTATCTGAAGAGCCATTAAGTATGAAAATTCATCATAAAACATATTTTTCGCGCCTGTATGCCTTCGCTCGTCCGGACGCACACTTTGTGTTGCCGCCGCTCTGAGATGAGTACACGAGGTGACCACGAAAGCCTCGTAGGAGAGTGGCCAGGCATCTTTCTATAAAATAATTTGTTTTTGGTGCGCATACAAACCAATTAGAGCCTTGACCTTCTACAACCATACATTTTCTTGGCAACAGAGTCGCCTGTTAAACAGTACCTGCTAAATCGGCAACGTAAGGCTATGGTCTTCACAATAGAATTTCTGTACCTGCTTGCAATGTTCAGCGCAATGTCTTCGAAGAACATCGATACTACCCTTTGCTCTGTATTATACATTTGTTTTTATAGTTAATCACTAAAGGCTCGTTATCCAACACAAAGGTAAAACACAAGTACATAACACAGTACTAACAAATTGTATTCACTGCATATTCTTCTATGCGGCGCGTCTGTACCACTTGTCGCACCGAACGTTAGCTCTCCTGCTTTTCAATGGCCTCATTGAAAGAATTGTGGAAAAAAGAAGACGAAGTAGAGGACGAGTTGTCGGGAAGTGCAAAAGAGAGGACTAAAGTGGGAATTTAAAATGCGATATCCCAGCAGCAGTAGCGGCCGTCTCACCACTTCCATGACTGCTATGACCATGATGGCGATGGCCAGAAGGGCCACCACTAAAACCGACAGCGGCTGCTGCTGCTGCTACTGTTACTGGGGTGGAAACTCGCTCTCTTTCTCGCTGTTTCTCTCCCTCCGCCTATATCGCGTCTCCCCCGTCCCTTTTCTAGTTGTCATGTTGCTCTCTTGTGTCTGGATGGCCACGGCGAAGTGTCCATCCTTTCTGCCCTTGCTACAATTTTATCAGCGTCTGCCCTTACCTCTCTCGCTATTCCTCTTTACCCCTCCCCGTTCTATCGGTCCCGTCTATCTCCTTTCGCCTTGTTCCTGTCGCTTTACTGCACTCGTCCCGCCTGTTTCTTTCGGCGCGGCCACCGTCTCTGGCAATGGCACTGTTCGCTCGATGGTCGCCTCACTCGTATGGTATCATCTATCCAGTTTTCGGACAGTAACACAGTCTCTTCTCTTCACACCTTCCGCCCATCTTCGCCCCTAGTCGACCATCAGATCCAGTGTCGTTCGTTCCCTTTGTCTGCTCTCCCAGAAAATGCTTTCACTCCTTTGCTGCCATATCTTCCTCTTGGATGCCTTTGCTCTTCCATGACGTAGCCCCCATTCTTTGGCCTCCCTGCATGCTGCCCTGTTTCTCCCATGTCCGCCCACTCTCATTTAACTTTCTGCCAGGCCATCTATTCCTGCTCATCTCACGCAGCTTTCCTTCGCACTGCACTACCCACCGGAAGTGGGTTGGCGCAATGGCATCCACCAGCAGAGATCGCCGGCGCTGCCATTTGAAATCGCTACCAGCAGAACTAATGCTTCTGAGGGACCTTATTTCGCTCTTCGAATTTCGTGGTCTCTTGTCGTGGCATTTTATTCCTTTTTATGATCGTCGAATGTGTTGTCGCCCTTTTCATCCGTCAGCGCCCCCTGCACTCCTGTGTCGCGACAAACTGGTGACCAGATTATAGCGGCTTAGCGAAAGCTACGATCAGGTCAATGTTTGCGTCCGATTATCTGTCGGACAAGGCACCTTCGGTGCCCCTTAAGTTGCTTGTTCACTTCTAGAAGGTATAAGTTATGTTTTCGTTTAGCCTAGTATGATTGCAATCTTGCTTATCGCTTGCCCGTACCTGTTGCGTCATGTAATTTTAGCTCGTTTTAGATTCTTTACATTAGGTTAGACGTATTGAAATCTTACCGCATATCGTTTCCTAGCTTTATTTCGCTATAGCGACTACATATTATCTCCTATAGGTGCTATAACCTGTCACGGTGCTAAGGTTATCATTTTGCTGGATGGGGTTCATGGTTACAGTTGAAGCCCGTATTGCATTTTCTGTATAGTAATGCCTTTGCTAGCGAAAGTTAAAAATGGCGAAAATGGTTGCTCGATTAATGATATGACTATTTTCAGATGACTATCTTTGCAAGATTTTGCAACTCAT